ATTTAATTTTCAGGTGCTCTTTCATTGGGTTGCTACCCACCATTGGAGGGAAATTTATACCGAAAACTTCTTCTGGTTCCTTCTTATTTATCTGAGATTGAAATGCTTTTAGCTATTGAAATCTTCCTGGTATCTAATGCTAGTAGTATTCAGAGTCCTGGAAATTCTACACAGATGCTGCAGATAGTTTTGAAAAGGTTAGTTGATATAATTTCTAACTGCATCCTGAAAGCAGATCTTGGCTACCCACACCTGTCCTAGGATGTAAATGTTTTTATATATACATATGCACACACACATATACATATACCAGTATACAAGCCTATAAATTTGTATGCATATATATTTAGATACTTGTATATGTATATACATGTAAACTTCAGTGACACTCAAATTGAGAAAGGATTTGACCTGATTAAGAGTTAAAACTAAACAAGTTGGTAGCATTCAGTAAACACCTTAACAACTACAGAGATGTTAGATGTTCAGGGGCGGGTCCTCTTTAGGTCTCAATCTTTGTCTTGTACTAATAGTTTTTAGTTAGATACCTAAAAGTAACTTTTTGTTCAACACAAAAGATCTAAACGCCAGGTCTAAAAAGGAAAATAAAGCTATCAGCCTAGTTTCTGTATTTTAAAATGATGGTATAAGTGCATAAACATTATAACATGGCTACTGGACCAGAGATTGAAAGTTCCATAATTTAGGCTTATACCACTCCTATTTCTTGTCAGCCTTATCTGGGCAACGTGCTATCAGAATCTCAAGGAACTCCTATTTTAGAGCTTCCTGACAAGAATTTTTCTTCAGTTTACTGGTGTTACAAACCAAATCCTCAGACTGAATGTTCTGCCAGGTGTTTTTACTGTGCATAAATTATCTCAAAACTTAGTCGCTTAAAACAGCAAATATTTCCTCAGTTCAGTGAGTCAGGAGTTTTGGAGTAGCTTAGGATGGTTTTGGCTCACTGTCTCTCATGTAATTGGACTCAGGATGTGGTCAGGAGGTGCGGTCACCTGTGGCATGACTAGGGATGAAAGATCCATGTCCTAGGTGGGTCACTTACATGCCTATTGGTAGGAAGTCTAGGTTTTTCCCCAAATAGTACCTCCATAGGTTCTCTGTCTTTATGACTTGACAGCTCATTTCTGACAAGGTAACAATCCAGATGATAAAAAGAGGAAGCTACTATACCTTTTATACCTTATATCAAGAACTATGAAGGCTTTGATATTATACCCTATTTGCAGGCTACAAGTCAGCCTGCCACACAGTTTATAGATCCTAGCATGAAACTCAAGACTCCAAGTTAGAGCAGAAGAGTTTAATCCTGATGTTGGAGCAAGCAGCCTGATTATCTGCATATTTGTATCTTTCTCTCACTCCCAAGTGGCACAAGATGAGCTGGGATGGAAACCTTCATATGCAGTGGGTTCTAATGCAGGAGAAGCTTGACCTTAGGAAACCCAAATCTTTTATAATAGGTAATAAGCACACTGGCCCCTTGCTCTGCAAAGAAACACTAACTCCATCTAGTAAGACTGTAAGCAAACTGCCTTTTGCTCTAAAAGGAGAAACTATCTTTGTCTTTCAGAGATGTTCGCTATATAACATCATCAAATCTGAAATAAGGGATTAGTGTCTCTGCACTCAAAACTTCAGAAATGCAACAGACTCATGAAGAATTATCGAACAACCTAGTGTCCAAAGTTGTACACTGTCATTTCTGCTTCATTCTCTTTGTGATAAACAAGTCATTAATCTAGAACATAACTAAGAGGAGAAGAATTATGAAATAATTTCTTTTAGCTCCACCTTTTATTTTAAACCCACCTAAATTAATTTTCTTTTATATATAGCTCTATTCTGAGAACTTCCTTATTTACCACTGTATACTGCAGTGGCATGAGGCATTTGGGTTCACACTCATCCCAATGAGGGTTTAGTTTCTTCATAGCTTTTTCATTACCCACATACATGCAGCCTCTTGATTTGTTGAATTTGGGGAGTATTGGTGATCCTAATACATAGCTAGTGACATACATAGATCTTTGATTTCATCCAAGCCAGTATTAGTTTTCTCTATTGTTATGATACTGAGTTAGGTCTTGTTACATTAACCTCTATGAGAAAGAGAATTTTATTCCTCTTTAGACTTTCAAAAACTACACAAAAGTTGGCATATGCCCACTCTATCAGATTCCAGGCACCAATTCCTAAGCCAGAATGTACTGAAGACCTGGCCTACCTTTCCTCTGTGTGAGCAATGGTTCCATTCCCACCACTCTGTAGAGCACACTGTGTATTAATGCAGGTAGGCTCATTCTAGGACCTTGCTGCTGAGACCTACTAGTACCAAGAGCAGGACACAGTGAACACAAAGGAAAAATGATGCCTAATATAATAACCACATCTCTGTCTTAAATACTTTCCTGTCCCATAGGAAAATGGTCATACAGTATAAAGTCTATGAAATTTCAAGACTGATAGAAAAGTTACTAGAAAAGCAAATTCTAGCATTTAGTGAAGTAAATCAGGACTGAAGAATATAAGTGGAAATTTAATAAAGGCATATTGCTACAATTTCTGTTACCAGATATTGACTAGATATTAAGTATATGCTTATAATTTAAAAATATCTATTACCAAGGTAAAATGTGAATGTTAGTGACTTGTTTAAATTCATTATTCTGCCATGCATCATAATAATCATGTAGTTACTAACTTTGAAAAAATCAGCAGTCAAGGTTATTAGCTATGTTCTAGATCAGTGCTTTTCAAACTGCAGAGTAATCAATTAAGATAACTGCAACCACATTATTAAAAAAAGAAAGCTAACAAAGTAGAGCACATCATCATATAAGTAAGTCTTGTTTCATGAAACTTCAGTTTCTATATGAGGTATGTTCTGGATCTCAGCATACCATGTCTTACTGTGTGTCGTGATCAAAAAAGTTGGAAAGACTTTAAAGGAATATAATCAAAAGACTGATAGCTTAGTACCAATAATGTAAATAACTATATTTGAAGAAACTAAATAGCTTCTTTTGAGAGTTTCTGACTTTGTGAGGTGTTCACTTTATAGATGTGAAGAAAGCAAATCTCGGAGCAAGGATGATTACCAAGCTGCAGTGGAAAGATTAATTATGGCTGCTCGTATATCGGATCCAAAGCTTTTCATTAAGCACATGACTGTCAATGTTAATAAGGAACAGGTTTATAGTTTGGAACATTGTTCTGCCCTGAAATGGTTGAAAGAGAATATGAAGTGGGCTGGAAAGGTTTGGCTTTTCAGTAACCATTAGCCTAATAAAGACTTTTTTTTTTTTTAAGTTCAAGTAATCATTGTTGAAAATAAAAGGTAATAAAAACAGTTATTATATTCAGCTTTTGCTCCTTGTTGATTTACAGTAAGTTTTCAAACACTAAAAATGTCAATTGGTATATGCAATTTACAGTGGGTTTACCAACACTGAAAAGTGATTTTTCAAATTACTTTTTGGCTTCTCTTTAACTTAGGTTAACATAAGTATGGTTAAGTCCCTATTTATTCTGAAATCCAAACAATGAAAAGTCACAAACTGAATATTGTGCAGAATTTAGTAGGAGGGACACTTAAAAGGAAAAAAATGCAAGCAGGTAACTGGAGTTTTCAGAAAAACCTTTAGGGCTATGAAAAAGTGAATATTCAGTCCAGTCTCTAAGTCTATCTACATCTGCAATCTAGGCTAGTAAATTACTGTAAACTTTCCCAAACACTAAAATTCCAGAGGATCTTGTTACCAAAAAAAATTGTAATTACCCTCAGAATATTTTCCTTTAGTATATATTAGATTATATGTATTTTCAAAATTTTAATTTGTTACGTTAGGTATGACTAAAACAGTATTTTAAATAAATATAGTAGAACTTAGATATTCAAAGAAGTCATCTTCAGAATCTGTGGCAAAGTAATTCTCCAAGGTGTTCACCCTCAACCCTTAAATCGATGTTAGATTTGGTACTTTAAACCATAATTTAAAATCACTTAGAGAAAAGCCTGAATGAAGTAAGTAATAAAAGAATAGGTTATGAGTAGGGGTGGCTGACAGTAACTCTTAAAGGAGTTCCCAAATACATAATGGCAGTATAATGGAATAAATCTATAACCTCACAAGACAAAAAGTTAAATCCTAGCACTTAGCAAAACGCCTTACTATGATGAAAGGTGGAATGAACGAGAGGTACGGGAAGTGAGGCAGATGGAGTCTTAAAAAAATATACCCAGTTCTTCAGTATGAACAAATTGGGTGACTAACATGAACCACTTAAAAGCTACACTTGGAGATAAATTGGGTCTAGAGATTACTACCATCAGTTGGAGGTACCTTTGAGAACAAACGCGGAATGATAAATGAGCGATTATAGTCTTTTCTGTAAATCGTAACTGAAACCCAAAGGAATTAGAAATATGAAACCGTTTAGATGCTGGTAGACGGATGCATTTGAGATAACGAAGGTGCGAGAGAGAAGCTTTTGGGGAAAGTGGGACTACAGTAAGAGCCCATAATGCTGGAGGCTTCAGCCAGCAGTGTCAAAAGGTGGAAAAGGAAAGAGCCTTTTGATTTGCCTAATTTCATCTGGGTCAATTTCTGGGGGTAATCAAAGTCACGGGAATGAAATAAAGCTAAAGTATAAAACCCAAAAGAATGGTGTAGAAAGCTTTAGTTTTGAAAGCGTATATCGAAGTGGTCAAATTCAAAAGAAATGCAAACCAGAGAAGAAAAAAAAATTAAGGAAAGCCAAAGAGCAGCTACTTCGATAGGACCTTTAGAAACTGGAGAACCGTCCTAAAGTAAGGCCCGAGGGCTGATCGCCGGCCCAGCCTCGTCCCCTTCTCCGGGCTGCCCTTGGTGGAGGAACGGGGCGGGGGTGGAGGGGGTGGGGGTGGGGGGGGGGGCAGTAAGGTGGCGGTGAATGAGCCTGCGCGCATGCGCGTCCTTCACCCCACCCAGCTACAGACCCTGGCTCGCGCCCGGTCACCCCACGTTCCCTGCCCTTCTACCGACCCTCAGGCCTGGCCCGCCACCTGCCGCCCTACCACTCTCCGACTCCCCCGCCCAGGCCTCATCTCCGAGTGCTCATCTGCGCCCCCTGAAGCTTTCGGCGGGGCGCCCGGCGCCTCATCCGAGCGAGACGGTAAGGCGAGGGGGCGGGCGCTTCGCTGCGGCGGGGAGGGCGGGCGGGCGGGCGGGCGGGCCCCTGGGCACTGACGTCATGACAGGGCCGCGGGGCGCCAGGTTTCCACCGCGTCGGGCGCTGCGCGCAGGCGCTCGGGGAGGAAGGCCCGGCACGCCTCAGCCAATGAGAGCGGGGCCTGCGGCCTCGTGCTCGTGCCCGCACTCACCTCGAGCCGCCCGCCGGGGCAGGCGCCGGATGGACGGCCGGAGCGGCGCGCGCCCCGCGGGGATTTCAGGGGCGGGGGCCCGGAGAGCACCGCGGGTAGGCGCCTGGCAGGGCCTGCGGTCCGGAGGGCGAGGGCGGGCGCCGGCGCGTGCTCGGGGCCCGGCTGCACCCCCGCTGCGCATGCGCCCTCCCTCACCCCCCCCCCTTCACCCCCCCCACCCCCGGCTCAGCCCTGCGGGAGGAGCGACCATCCTCCCGGGCACCCGGTGGGCGGTGGAGCGGGTCGGAGGCAGCCCCCGCGGCCGACCCTGGCCGCACTGTAAGCTGGAGGGAGGGGCTCCCTGCGGGCTGCCCGGGCGGAGAGGCGGGCGGGCGGGCGACGCCAGGTCACGCCAGCTCGTCGTGCTCACTTTTGAGCTCAGGCAATGCCACGGGCCGGGCACTCACCTCGCATCGGTTTTAACTTGTTTTGAAAGGAGAAAGCAAAAGACGATTTAGGTTTTGTTGTTTCCGACTCTATTTCTATTTGGACTTACCCTATGAGAGTGTTAGGACTCAGATCCCATAGCAGAGGATTTAGGGCAAGGAAGCTACCTGCGCTGCGGTTGCTACAATTTATTAATTTATCTACTATTACTTCCTTCTTTTCTTTTTTTTAACCCGGTCTCTAAGATGCTTTCAACTGAAAAGCATTGAAAAATTGCCTGATTATCTCTCTCCTTGATGGAACAAACTGCTTTTTTAAACCTTCACGATAGTTACTAAGTTTACATCAGAGTCACCCGAGGGAGTGAACTGCTGTTAAGTTACTTTCAAATAGAAATTGTGCCAAATGGTCAAAGATCAACCCTAGGACCAATCTACTAGGCAATCACGATTAGTTTATTGTCTATCAAAAGTAATTCAAGTGCAACAAATGACCTTTCCATCGATTTAGATCTACCAAATTTGACTTGAAACTGCACAGAATTAAAATCAGAAAATTTTATGAATTAGAAGCTAATTATCGGGCCTCCCCGGTGGCGCAGCGGTTGAGCGCTGGGTTGCGAAGCTGCCCGCAGCCTCTGCAGCACCGGTTCGATCCCTGGCTGCTCCCCGGCCACCGGAGGAGGGTCCCACATGGCACACAGACCTCTCCTGCCGCCCGCTGCTCCCCTCAGCAGTGTACTTCGGTCCTTCTGCCTGCTCTGCTCCCCGCTCTGGCTCTGGTGAATTCTCTCACCCTCCCGCACTTCTGACTGTACCCAGTGCATGTATAAATAAAGTAAATAAATCTTAACAGAAAAAAAAAAAAGAAGCTAATTATCACTGTTAGTGGATTACAGCAACCATTTACAGTGGTTTGTCGGTGAATTGTGCCCTCCCCCCTTTGCCACCTTCTGTTCTGAGTGGTCACTATTTCCTGGGAAAAGACCTTCATTCTAGGTGTACCACCTGCGAATTTCCCATAGCACTCTGCAGGGCTGTCTCATTTCATTTGCTGCATTGTTTTATTAGTATCTACTTGCGTCTGTTTTCCCACTCTCCTCACCTCTAGATTGTATGTTTTGGAGAAGTGGAATGGTGTAGAGCCTGAAGCCTGACTTGCTAGGTGCTTGGAGAATGCCTGCTGAGTTGGGTAAACTAAGAACTCAGAGTGCCTCATAATATAGTGTAATCGTTTTAGTTGTTTTGTAGCATACCTCGTTCTTTTTTTTGAAGAGCGAATGAAAATTTGTGTTTTATTACTAAGCAAGTGCTAACTCTTGTTTTCGAATAATGAAAATAAACACCTATGCGTATTTGTTCAGATAAATTCCATTTTCCCCCCTGAAGTTAGTGAAATGAAGTAATTCATTTGTTAGTGAAATGAAGTAATTCATGAAGTTTTGACTTGTTTAGAACTAACAAAAGTTCTATTTTTAGAACTTTCAGACACAAATCCCTTATTTCAATCATTCTGAATTTTCCAATCTCAGATTTTGTCTTCACATAAAATGTGTTTACAGCATGTTCTAGCTATAGATGTGCTTATTAGGAGGGGGGAAGAATTCTACAGTTTTTATACAACCTGGATTATACGATAATTGTTGCCCCTTTTATAAACTTTCTATGTGCCAGGTATTGCTAACCCCCTTATGTATATTATTTTACTTACTGTGGAGACTGCCTTATCTGACCATGTCACGTTAACTTAAAGCACTTTTGCCTGGCATTGAGTAGGGTCAGCAGAGTCTGCTAGAAATAAAATGTGAGCCACAGGTGTAATTTTACTTTCTAATAGTAAATTGCAAAAGACAGTTAAAGCCAGGTTGTGTTTTACTTTTTAAAAAGCAAAAAGAAAGAAGTGAGCTTAATTTTAATGAATTGTCTCATTTCAGCATCTAATCAACGTAAAAAAAAATGAGATACTTTGCATTCTTTCTTTGTACAAAGCTTTAACATCCAATGAGTACTTTACTTTTGAAACACATCTCAATTCAGAATGACCATGTTCCAGGTGCCCACTAGCCTCCTTGTGGCCCCTTTAGACAACTGGGGCTCATTTCTTGCTCCACTGAGTGTGAACCTTTTTAGGAAATAGCCTTTTCACCAGAAAAGTTGACAGAAAACAGCTAACTCTTAACCTGGATTAACCTAATTTTTAAAAGTTCTCTTTCTTAGATCTAGAAAGCATGATTTAATAATCATGCTTATATTGGAAAATGAAGGGACTCAGAATAGGCCTCCCCAAGAGGTACCCCTTTTGATGGATGGTTTATTTAGAGCTGAACTCAATCAAGAGTTCATTATGCGGCAAATTACCCTGGCCAGCTGAAGAGAAAGTTTTCTCACTCCTTTAACTACCTAGGAAAATGTAGATTAAGGGTCTTACCCAGGATTAGGGTTATTACCAGAAATAACCTTTCTATTTGAATAACTTATCTTTGTCAGAACAAACATCTACTTAACCAGACATCTGCCTTCTTTTCATCATGTGAATTGCCATCCTTCCCTTCTTGAAGCCCAGACCCCTATCCCATGCCTTAGCCCAGGATGGCCTGTCTATGTAACTTTGCTGTCAGTCCTCAAACCACTCATGTCTATGTGGGCTCCCTATACATACAAAATTAATTAATTTTTTTCTCCTGTTAATCTGTGTGATGTTAATTTGTTTATTCAGTCAACCCAAGAGGAACCAAGAGGGGTAGGGGAAAATTGTCCCTCCTGCCCCACAAGAACATTTTATTTTCGGTGGGATAATCTGTTGTCATAGTTCCATATATTGATGTCCTTTACTAGTCATTCCTCAAAGTAGTTTAGTTCTATTGTGTCTTTGAGCAATGAAAGAGTAATTTTTCTGCATAACTAAAACCAGTATTTTAAGGACAGAAACATTTTACTTAGAATATTTTTGACAGATGTTTCTGAAACATGCTTCATAATTCTCTCTGCACAACGTTCTTTATGCTTTATGTTTGAAAACCACTAAAGAGCTTCATGGCTGCTGCCAGGTTTTGGCAATTATGAATAAAATTGTTATAAACATCTGTGTGCAGGTTTGTGTGTAGACATCTGTGTGGGTAAATACCAGGCAGTGTAATTGCTGCATAATGAACATTATAAGTTTTGTAAGAAACTGTCCAAACTATCTTTCAAAGTGGTTGTACCATTTTGTATTCCTACCAGCAATGAATGAGAGTTCCTGTTGCCGTACATCCTCACCAGCATTTGATGTTGTCACTGTTTTGGATTTTGGCTGTTCTCATTCTTTTAATATGCAATGTCCTAATAACATTATGTAAATCACCTTTTCTTGTGCTTATTTGTTATCTGTTTATCTTCTTTTATGAGGTGTCTATTAAGGTCTTTAAAACATTTTCTAATTGCATTGTTCATTTTCTATTGTTGACTTTTAAAGATTCTTTGTGTATTTTGGAGGACTGTCCTTAATTAAATATCTATATCTTTTGCAAGTAATTTCTCCAAGACTGTGACTCATCTCATTCTTTCACAGCACACAAGTTTGTATTTTTTTTAATATAATGAAGTTCAGCTTATTCAGTTTCTTTTTTTAAAAAGATTTATTGATTTATGCATACAAGAACTGGGGTATAGGCCAGAGGTGTGGGGGGGTACGAAGATTCACCAGAGACAGAGTGGGGAGTAGAACAGGCGGATTGACTGAAATACACTGCTGAGGGGAGCAGCAGGCGAGAAAGCCGTCTGCTGCGCCATGTGGGTTACCTCCCTGACTGGGCATCAAACTCATGCTGCAGTGGCTGCAGACAGCTTCAAAGTGCTGTGTCTTAACCCCTTGTACCACCAGGGAGGCCCCTTATTCAATTTCTTAATGGCTTGTACCTTTGGTGTTTTAGCTAACAAGTAAAATTGCCATACCCAAGCTATTTCAGAAAGATCATCTCGGTTTTCTCTAATGTTATCTTCTAGGAGTTTATATTTTACGTTTAGGTCTGAAGTCCATTTGAGTTAATTTTTATGAAGGATGTAAGGTCTGTGTCTAGATTAACTTTTTCCTTGCCCCAGCACCAGTTATGTCTTTGCTCCACTGTGTTGCCTTTGCTTCTTTGTCAGAGATCAGGTGACTGTATTTATGTAGGTCTATTTTTTGGCTCTCTGTTTTGTTCCATTTGTCTATTGTTTCACCCATACCACACTATTTTAATTACCATAAGCTTTATAATAAGTCTTGAAGTAGTTCTATCCTCTTCTTTGTTCAGTGTTGAGCTGTCTTTTCTGAGTTTTAGCCTCTCCATATAAACTTTATATGTGTCATGCCCACAAAATAATTTCCTAGGATTTAAATTAGAATTACCTTAAATTTACACATCAAATTGGAGAGAACCGGTATCTTGACAATATTGAATCTTCCTGTCCGTAAGCATGGAATATTTCTCTAATTTTCCTTCAATTTCTTTCATCAAAGTTTTGTAGTTTCTCTCATGTAGAGCTTACATATATTTTATTAGATTTATACCTACATATTTCATTTTGGGGAGTATTAATGTAAATGATAACGTGTTTTAATTTTGCATTCCACTTGTTCATTACTGGTATCTGCTTAATTTTTTTTTCTGCTTAATTTCTTAAGCAATTAAGGATGCCTAGAAGTTGATGTACATTTATATTAAGAAATGTTTTGCCACCTGAGACCTGTGAGGAGGTAAGCTTCATGGTCCATTCTGTAATTAATATGGGGGAAATATGTTATGCATTTGGTTAATTTCAAATTATTGGGTTTTTTTAAATTCTAAAGTTACAATGTAGGGAAGGAAGAAAAAAAGAAAATTTATTTGAGCATCTGAGTCCATTCAAAGCAGAAGGTGAAAAGAATACTGTCTTTCAAAATATTCCAGTGTGGAAATTTTAAGAGGAAAAAATGTAAAGTTTGTCCTCAGCACAATTCTTATCATGTTATCTTTAAGTCCATTGCTATCCTATGGAAAACCACTTTGTATTTAAATTAATAGCAAGATCATTTGACTACTACATTTCCCATCTGTGTATGTATAATCTAAAACCCGTCCACTTGAAAAAATGATTTAAGGAGTTCAATAACATAAATTTAACTGGCATACTGATAGTCATATAGAGGGTAAATGAAATAGAGATCAGAAGCCCTGGAGAGAGAGGGGACCATTGTGTGAACAACTAATTGAACAATTACTCAGACAATTAAATTTAATTCTGGCTTCTTATCAGCCGCATCAAAAAGGAAAATAAATTATTCACTTGGCTCAAAATACAATTTGACCTGTTATGTAAAAATATGTGAAGTATTAGGTTTCTAAAACAAATGTAGCAATAGTTAGTGCCTTTAAATAGCTATTCTGTATGTGACTATTTTCAGCAGTCACTGTTAAAAGGAAGTTCTCTAGGGGAAGCCAACTTTCCACCAGCTGAGTTTATGACAGGGATTATTAAAGGGAGACTTTCTCTGATTGAATTCATGACACAAATTGCTTTTTTTAAAAAGTGGGAAAGAAACGAGAGAAAGAGAGCAAGACAAAGAAACTGGGATACTGGAAAATCTCAGGCAGTGCTTCTGGTTGTGGAGACATCCCCACAGTGGTAGCCTTTCAGCGCCCCTGACGGGCAGTACAGGGGTCCCTGCATCCCGAGTCACCCCTGCTGTTCGACTTTATTGCTCCCAGCCTTCAGCAAACTATTTTAGTCATGGCCCATAAAAAGTTTCATTACCATCATGACCCTTGCCACACACAATATCCCATGGTATTTTCTGTTCTGTGTTTTTGTTTTTGTTTTTAACGTGGCTCATAGCCTAGTAAGTTGATTTCACAACTCAGTGATTTCTGGAAACACTGCTGTAGAGTAATGGTGTGCAAATTCTTTGCTGTTGATTAGAAATCAAGTGGCTGTAAGTACAAAATAGACACCAGTGGTGGCATTTGTGACTTACTACTACTTTTGGGGGGGAATTTTACTATTATTATCTAATATCTTCTCATATTGCATCAGAAGATTCATATCCATTGTGTTTAGAAACTTTGTAGCACTCACTGATAAGAGAATAAATTCCAGGAAACCACAAAGTTAGGCATTTTGCTTCCTCTCTTGTTTCTAGTGTTTTGTTCATACATAGTAATTTCAATGTGACTGTCACTTTAGGCAGTGGGGATTTGTGTGTATATCAGTGCCCCAGTGAGTAATAAAGCCACTTCTTTTTAAAAGGTTATGTCTGGAGAAGATATTTCCACACTGGTTTCCCTACTCAAGAGCTTTATCAGGAGCTGAAGCTGTCAATGCTTTGAGACCGTTTTATTTTGCAGTACATCCAGATTTCTTTGGACAGCATCCCAAGGAACGGGTAAATTTTTTTTACTTTAGTCTACTTTTCTGTTTAGTTTATCTTTGACACTATATAACAGAGAGTTCTATAAATTTGCTCTTTGGTGATGATACAATCAGTGCTTTGAACTAATGTGAAATATAGATACTGAAAGTAGAAAATATAACTACTGTTTTTGGTGACAGGTGGTAGTGCTTATGCACACAACAAAACTCATGTAAACTCTTTAGGGTGTCCATAATCATGTTTCCTGTCCCAGTTTTTAGAGTAAAATTGAGGATTGGAAAGAAAAGTTCGGGCCTCTAGTATCATCAGTTCTTGTTTGAAGGATGATCCAGGAAGAATTCTCCACACCCTAGTGGAGTTCCCTAGGCTGCGTGTTGCGGTCCACTCCTCTGTAGCTGCTTATGTGTTTATTGTGGCTAAGAACAACATCTTACAATAAATTAAATAGACAAAAATAAGCTGTGCCTGATTTCAGATAACACTGTGTGTTTCATCGCTTCACAGTGATAAGAAGTTGTTATATGTGCCATTCTATAGAGCTGTTCTTTCACTAAAGGACTTTTTTTTTTAACTTAACAATATATTCTGGTTGAAAGGATGTGCCATAATTCAACCAATCTCCTCTGGATGGGCATTTTAAGAGCCATTTATATAGAGAGAAATTTGCCCTTTTCTATGAAACAACTTGCAAAAAAATTCTCCCAGTTGGTTGTCTATAGACTGCTTGTGTGTGTGTGTGTGTGTGGTTTTTTTATGTGTTCTTTTAGTTTTTAGAATTTTTTTATGTAATTGGACTTATCAATCTTTTATTACTTTGGGATATTTAGTCATAATTAACCTTTTTCCATACCTAAGTTATAGAGGAATTTAGCCATCTTTTCTTCATTTCATCCATATGGAGTTTATCTGTTACATGTTGTAGGTCCAAAGAGCTATGCTGAATTATTGAATAACCTAATAATATACTTAAAAAGTGAAGATATAATTTCTGTTATTTCCTTGTTTTTAATATTTTTTTCCTAGGAAATCAATGAAAATTCTCTTAAGAGATTAAGTGCCTACTTAGAAAGCCTTCAGAAGCCAGGCTTCAAGTCTTTGAAACCAACTCAGCTTATGTTTTATGTGAGAGAAACAGACCAGAATTCCTCTGATGGCCAGGAACACTTAAGCTCTTCCGGTAGGTTTTAATATTTCTAGTACATCCCATGCAAACTTCATGTTAATGTATTCATGGATGTTCAAAGTAAGATATCAGAATGATACCATTCATATATTAAAAAGAGACCATTGGAACTGTGGCTGTGTGTAAACATATATATAATATATACGCATAAGCATGCACAAAAGGTCTAGAGCAGTGCTGTCCAAGAAAATTTTCTGTGATGACACAAATGTTACACATCTGCACTAATACCACAGGCACTAACCCCATGTGGCTGTTGAGCATTCAGATGTAGCTAGTATGACCAAGGAACCGAATTTTATTGACTTTCATTTAACTATCATATCAGACAGTGCAGGTCTAAAACCATACTGTGTGTTACATGGGAAATTATGTCTGGTAGAGATTTGAGATTGTGTGCTTCTTCACATAAGACCTTTATTTATATATGTATACACATATATAATCTTAGATAAGGGTGTATTTATATAATACTTGTATAAATTTCAAAACCAATTTAAAATATTTTTTAAAAAAGAAGAGTCGGTGAGTTATACTGGAGAAAATACCTGTCTTGTTGTCAGCTTGTATTTAAGCCCTCGCTCCATCCCTTTTTAACCTCCTTCAATCTGTATTTCTTCACATTTGGAAAGAGAGATCATAATGGTATAATTGATGGGAATATTGCTGAAAAGTTGTGTTAAACTCAGCTACAACCACACCTATAAAACCCAATAAAGGGAGGAAGATAAACACCAAACAATGGATGTCCTACTGACAACAAGGTAAATTATTAACTTCAGCCCAAAGTCTACCCAGTGTCAGAATCAGATTATGAAGCATTAACTTTTAAACAACTAGGGAATTTTAAATCACTTCTCGAAATACACTTAGTAGCTAGTTGGGTGGGGAAGTGTGAGGACAATCTCTTACAACCATAGGGAAAATTCAGGATGAGTTTCTGTGACCTCTAAGACCAGAATTACGTGACCTCTCCTCACCTACCACAGTGCAGCCTCCTGCCAGCTTCTCCACCCCACCCCCTTCATTTCAGTCCTGGAAACTGCCCTTGATGGATATTTGCTCATAAGAAAGTGTTTCCATCACTGTACAGACCAGACTCAGGAGTGGCAGTGAAGATACTCTGAATCCCCTTCTTGGACTGGGCAGGGTTTGATGTCAAAGTAGAAAAGAAAACAGACAGCTAGAGGAATTCATGAAGATAAAGACAGTGTGGTATCTAATTTGAGAGGGAAGTCGATTTCTGTTTATAGATGATTGCCAATAGGCAGAATCTTAATTGGTAATGGAATGTTTTAAAAGCGTTTGAGCCAATGTGTGCATGAAAAATTATTTTTAAAGTAAAGTAAATAAGCATCTGTATTAATTGGGGTAATTATGTTCTCTAGGATTTCGAGCAGTCAAATTTACTTTGCACACCAGAGACCTGCTAAGCACAGTATTACATATTCTCAACTGCTGCAGCTTGTCTATTGAACACATCCAAAGCTTGAATACTAATGTGCATTCCCAGCCTCTCAAAGAGGCTAAAAGGATGCCTGACAGGCCCATCAAATGGGACAAGTCTTATTACACCTTTACTGGATTCAAGGACCCTGATGAAGACCTTGAACAAGTCTCAAGAATGGAAACAACTCTACCGTATGTAAAAGTTTTTATTCAACAAAATTTGCTTGTAGTTCATTTTTTTAAAGATTTATTTATTTATGCATACAAGAACTGGGGTACAGGCCAGAGGTATGGGGGGTGAGAGGATTCACCAGAGACAGAGTGGGGAGAAGAACAGGCAGATTGACTGAAATACACTGCTAAGGGGAGCAGCGGGTGAGTCAGGAGAGGTCTGCTGTGCCATGTGGGTAGCTCCCTGGCCGGGGATTAAACTCATGCTGCAGTGTCTGCTGATAGTTTCATAGGATGCGTCTTAACCCCTTGCGCCACCAGGGAGGCCCTGTAGTTCATATTTAAAATTAAGCTATCATTTTCCAGGAAAAGCAGTCCTATTGATATAGTTAATCTGATAGCCATTATGAAAAATTTCATATTTCTTACTTAAATGCCAGAATACTGCCAATTCTTTTAAATTTTTTGGCTTTTTGATACATATAAGAGATTGTTTTAAGTTTTAAAAATTCTGCTCCTCAAGTTATTCCAGGTATGGAGAAAGGACTATAAAAAAATATTAAGTATCTCACATGGTAAGCATTTCCAGTTTCTTCAGAAAGTTCAATAGTAAGGTACTTTAGTGTCATAATCCATACATAAGTACATAGAGACAACATTTCATTTTAGTTATAAAAGCTATGTATACAATATGTTTGTCATTTGTTATTTATCATTAATGTTTTTTGAGCAAGCCATTTCTGAACTTCCTAAAGACCAACCACATTCCATTCATGTAGTTGTCACTAAAGAGTCCATGGCTTAGCAGAGGGCTCTCTCATTATGGCACAGTAATTATGCTCCACTCCGCACTGGCAGAGTATCTGCCTTGTGGATGACCTACTAACTCAGGAATTCCTCTCGTTATCTAGTGAGGTCCCAAATAAGGCTAAAGAGACAGGAAGGTAGCAGAGTCCATCACAGAAGGGAAACAAATGTCTGTCTGAAAGCGTGTGTGTAGATGTCTATCCATCTGTATCTGCTGTGTTGGTCTGTCCCTGATATATGTCTCTATGTGTAACTGATGGACAAAACACCTCCCTGAGCATGTAGATTTTAATTGTTAAGATTCTCTTCTGGGGCCTCCCTGGTGGCGCAGCGGTTGAGCGCTGGGTTGCGATGCTGCCCGCAGCCTCTGCAGTGCCGGTTCGATCCCCGGCTGCTCCCCGGCCACCGGAGGAGGGTCCCACATGGCGCGCTAGACCTCTCCTGCCGCCCGCTGCTCCCCTCAGCAGTGTACTTCTGTCCTTCTGCCTGTTCTGCATCCTGCTCTGACTCTGGTGAATTCTCTCACCCTCCCGTGCTTCTGACTATACCCAGTGCTTGTATAAATAAATAAATCTTAAAAAAAAAAAATAAAAAAAAAAAATGAGCAAACAAACAAAATTTAAAAAAAAAAAAAAAAAAAGATTCTCTTCTGTAAACAAAACCAAGAGGAGAATACAGCTCTGGGAATGATAATTTAACAACAGGTCAGAAGTAATGAGTCAGTAAGATATGGGGTCAGAAAATGTCCACAGTCAGGGTGGAAGAGAGATTGTAGATTGTGAATTGCATGGAAGTGGGACACAATAGCATTGGAATCACTACTACAAAATGTTTCGGGATTTTATACTCATGACATGCTTCAGACTACAGAACATCTGCACAAATAATACAAAGAATTGCCTCCAGGCAGATTCCCCCAATAGCTAACACTGGGGTGAGGTGGGTGGGAGCAGGAGGTGGGTAGAGTTCAGGCAGACAGTCTCACATCATACATTGGCTCTCCTCCTGGTTTATAGGTTAATTTAGTGTTTTTCCAATCACAAAGTTTAACAAAATTTAATGATTTGAAATATCAAAGTTGTTCTGCTTTGCTTTTTTTCTTTAAAATTGTTTAAGTGTTGTGTCTCAAAAGTCATGTGTATGCTGGGTCACCATTTAAGCTGCTTCTTACTGTGGGTTGCTGCAGTTTGGATCTTGGCTTTCCTTTTCGTCTTGTTTTTTTTATTTTTATTTTTTGTGGGACCCTCGCCGGCGGCTGGGGAACAAACCAGCGCTGCAGAGGCTGCGGGCAGCCTCACAGCCCAGTGCTCAACCGCTGCGCCACCAGGGGAGGCCCTCCTTTTCATCTTCTTAAACACATGAAAAACTGAACTTCTCTTGAGATAACTAAAAGATTTTTTATCTCTAGGAACTAAACCAAACATCTTCAAGTTGCAGTGCAACTTTAGATCCTGTGGCTCCATTTCATTGTCACCTTTTTCCTCTTTGCCTGGATCTTGTAACAATGCATGCAGTTAACCTATTATTATAATATGACAAAATCATTTTTTAATCAAGACAAGGTCCAGTAAACAAATTAACCACTGTGAGATGCCACTTCATACCCTAAGCTGGCTATAATCAAAACGAGAACAACAAATGTGACAAAGATGTAGGGAAAGACAGATGTCCACACAAAAACTTGTTCAGAGTAGCATTATTCATAATAGCCAAAAAGTGGAAACAACCCAAATGTCCATCAACTGATAAATGACAAGCAAAATGTGGTACATTCACACAGTGGAATAGTATTTGGCCATAAGAATAAACACAGGACTGATACATGCTAGCACAGGGATGAACTTTGAAAACATGCTCAGTGAACGAAGCTGGTCCTAATGGACCATTAGCACATGATTCCATTTATGTGAACTGTCCAGAATAGAACCATCAGAATAGAGACAGGAAGTGGATTAATGGTTGCTTAGAGCTGGGTGGGAGGACTGGAGTAACTGCTAATGGGCACATAATTTCTTATCAGGGTGATGAAAGTGTCCTCAAATTGATCATAAAACTCTGAACACACTAAAAATAAGTGACTTGTCTGGTACAAGTGTTATATTTCAATAAAGCTTTTAAAAAATGATTACTACTGTTTTGTAGAAAACCCATATCAGTGATTACTAAGTAACACCTTAGATTACTTCATTTTTTAATATTTATATATATATAATCAGCATTTCTGATACTTTTGGGCTTATGAAACTAAAGGGATGACCTCAGCTCTACAAAAATATAAACAAAACTGTGCATAGCCAACGTGGTAGCCAACGAGTCTGGCAGTTTCTGGGCCCCTTAGTCTCCTTCGAGATACTGTCCCTTGAGTCTTACAATTTGAAAGCTCTTAAATGGTTCAACAGTTTTACAACTATTTACAGAATAATTACAAGGGTTTTTTTTTTTTAATTAATCATTGAAACAAGAAATTGCAAGGTCTTTTTACATAAGCATGGACCCTTATACCTTCTACATAAGACCCTTATACCATTCTTCTACATAAGAATGGACCCTTATACCTTCTGAAATTGTGTTAAAGAAATTAAATATATGGGCAACTAATACTGCAGAAGTTAATGGGCATAAAAACTAATTCCAAAAAATGTGTCCCCTGATGGCCTTCCCATGACTTGTTAGTTTTACTGATTTCATCAAAATTCTTTCGCACATGATGGTATCTCTTGTACATCAAACACCAAAATTATAAAAAAAAAATTTCCAGTTTGGTTTTTCATATATTCAAAAATAAAGACATTCTCTGTAGTTTTTGCCTCTAGATAAATGCTTGAAAATAACTAACCTAGGCCTTACTTTTTAAATCTATCTTTTATTTCTACTTTGACATACTTACAGACTTATAGAACATCGTAAGAATAATAGAAGAATTACCTCCATGTAGGTTCCCCCAAAAGCTGACATGGGGGCAAGGTGGGCTGGAGGAGAAGCTGGAGGTGGGAAAGTTCAGGCAGACAGTAGGGACTTTCTGTGCAGCCTGAGCAGGGGCCACCAGAAGGGAGAATGGGAAGAGAGGACAGGGAAGAGTAATTATAGTTGGGTTAAAGCTTTGCTAGAAACTCAGTATAACATTGGAGTAACTTTAAGGTGAGGCATATGTCTTTTAATAGTGGAGGTGTTGGCATTATAATTAGTATGGGGGGGGGGTGTGTATGTATATTTCTAGTGTTGTGTTTTTTTCTTTGTAGATCCTGGTTAGATAACAATGGAAAAAGTGCTGTTAAAAAGCTGAAGAATAGTTTGCCACTTAGAAAAGAACTAGATCGTTTAAAAGATGAACTGTCTCATCAATTGCAACTCACAGATATCAGGTAATAAAGAAAAGAGAACCCAACTTAGAGATTAAAATAAGCATGTAGTACCTATTGGTAAAGCTTTCCAACACTTAAATATTTGCATCTTTAATTGTTCTGATAATGAAATATTTTTCAATTATCTTTTTATGGAACTCATCAAATGTTCATCTCTATAAGAAGCTATTGTCAGTTCTTGTTTAATATAGTAAGGTTCAGATGGTGACATTTTTAGCATAAGAAGTTTGTTTTTTTGAGTTTATAAGAAAAACGTCCTTTTCCATATGTACATAATATATTTTAAAAAATTTTCCCCCATCACATAAGCTTGGTATTCAAGCTTAATAATAGGAAAGAGAAAATGGATGTTGTATTCTTGGTTCTGTCACATAGCGTGACTTCTTAAATAAGTGATCATAAACTAGGAAATCACCATTATATAAAGATACACACTAAAGCTTATTATAAAAGTACATTCAAGAGCTGTTAAAACTGTAAGGAAGGGGGTCACAAGAGCCTCAGAAAATGGTCACCAGGCTTTGTGCTTAAACATTCCTATTACTTTTTGCTCTAGTCAGTTTTGTTGTTTTCAACCCTCATGATCAGGACATTTTTCTTACATTGAACCAGGAGACTATTTGGTACTCACCTATTAGGTTCTCACCTTCTTCCTGTGCTTACAGAGTACAGATAATACTTATATGTTCTGTTCTTGTATATTCAAGTCATAGTTATCTGAGATTATTCACATTTCAAAAGACAGCGTTGAGACTTAGAGTGGATATGGTATTTGGATTTGTGCTGATAACTGCTCTTTTGTTATCACATGTATCGTTTGGGTGCCAAAATTTGGTTAAAGAGGCTTCTTCCAACTCCACAGTCTAAAAGCATAGACTTTTCTGCCCACAAACAAAATAATGAGATCCTTTTTTTTCAAAGTTTATAAAATAAAATACATGAAAATAACTTTTTTCTCTTACACATGTTAAAAGTTCTATCAAATCAGACTGGGATTAGGAGAATGAAAACATCTCTTTAATATTAAAGTAGTAAGCATTATTTTAAAATATTGTAGAGAAATTTCTCAACTTTATTCTTATTATGATAAATATCAGTAGACTGAGCCCACATGACCATGAACAGGACAGCTTCTTACCTTCCTGGAAATCAGCCCCCCTCCAACAAATGGAAACAGCATGACTCCTGGCATTGTCCCTGATTCTAAGCAACCTGTGCTAAAGACCACTTGCTAATAAAAACAGCATTTACTAGTCTTATCACAATGTTAATTCTTTGAAATTATATCTTAGTTTTTCAAATGAGGGATAAGGGGAAAATAACTGATTACATTTTATCAGAAATGACATTACACTCATCATTTTTTAAGTTTTCTGAGAGCTTGTTTGGAGTGCCTTCTTCACAAACATCCTTCAGATGATGTCCAGTAAATACTTCCTGTGCTGCCGGGTAAATGTCCTCACTTTGTGTGAAAGAGAAACCTCAGGAAGGCAAGAAGCAGCTTGTTCAAGGTCACAAAGCTATTGAAGTATGAGTTTAGAATTCAAACATGAGTTTTCTGACACTGCGTAAGGCCAGTGCTCCTTCCATGTGCACAGTGCTGTGTCTGTGACACTTATCACACCACAAGATGCCATTTTGCTGCTAAGAAATAATTGTTGTTTGTAAAATGAGCAGGTTACACGATGCCATAAAAATCGGTTCTCTAAGGTCTGATTTTTTAAAAAAAAGGTCTGATAAACATAATTGGAATTTCTAATTGAAACTTAAATCTAAAACAAGATAATTGTTTTACCATGGAAAAGAAGATTTTTTGAAAGTTTTTCCCATTTTAACTTATTTTAAAATAGAAGCAATAATGTGTTTGCCTGTTTTAAACCCTTAGCTACCTAAACATAGTAGTAATACTTTACCCCGATAAGCCATTTTCGATTTAGTTGTTTCATGAAAAATGAGCTAGCATGGAAACACGTTGTGTGCCTACTAAAGAAACTCATTGGCTTCCATGGGAACCAAGCATTTGGGGGTGAATGCACGCCCTCTTTCAGGGGCCCGGGTGGTAACGCGCCTGTGTGCTCTGTTGGACTAGGTGGCAGAGGAGCTGGGGCATCGCCCACCGCTGCAGCCAGCTGCATAGTTTAGGCCGCTTAGCACAGCAGAACTTGGAAACACTTAAAAATGCAAAAGGTAAACATTTCCATTTTCTTTTAAAATATCAAATAGTTGCTATACCCAGCTGTAAATTGTAGAAGAAAACTAATAACAAACCTTGAGATGTGACTTTAACACAACTGAACTTTTCAATCTATTCCTTTGAATAAAACAGTGACATAAAATTAGCCTTTAAGCTTCTACTGAATTTAATCCTGAATCTACACACTGAATTTAAGTAACTGTTTGCACAACGCTAAAAAAATGAAGCATCTCTGAACAGGGTTTGTGTTTTATCATCAGGATGTACAATAATCTTTACAGACCGTTCTGGAATGAGCGCAGTGGGGCATGTGATGCTGGGGACCATGGATGTCCACCATCACTGGACAAAAGTAAGAGAAAGCTTAAAAGTAAAACAAAAACTGTTTTTGCCATTGACATACTTTTGTTTCAAACAATGCTATTATGTCAAGGAATTAAAAAAGATTTTAAATTGTAACTTCAGCCGTTTTCAAATAAAATGCTTAATATCACAGAGTTAAAATTCTCAGAGAGCTGATTGTTAGATCAGTTTTTATTTGGAAATGTTGTAGTTGTTTCTGAAGTATAGCCTAAGCTTGCATTCTCTTATTTTGTTTTGTTTTAAAAAGATTCATTGAGGGCCTCCCCGGTGGCGCAGCGGTTGAGTGCTGGGTTGCGAAGCTGCCCGCAGCCTCCGCAGCGCCGGTTCGATCCCCGGCTGCTCCCCGGCCACCGGAGGAGGGTCCCACATGGCGCGCAGACCTCTCCTGCCGCCTGCTGCTCCCCTCAGCAGTGTACTTCGGTCCTTCTGCCTGCTCTGCTCCCCGCTCTGGTGAATTCTCTCACCCTCCCGCGCTTCTGACTGTACCCAGTGCATGTATAAACAAAACAAACAAACAAACAAATAAATAAATAAATAAAACATGCCTCTATTAAAAAAAAAAAATGTTTAAAAACAAAAAGATTCATTGAGGCATAACAGGTGTACAATATTTAGTGTATGTAATTGTATGAGATTTTACACCTAAATACTCGCCAAAAACCATTCCACAATCAAGGCGTATTTATTTACTCCTTTGTGTTGGAGGGGGTGTCTGCTTTCATTCATTCAGCATAATTGAGATTTATCCATGCTGTTACCTGTATCAAAAGTTTGTTCTTTTTTATTGCCGTATGATATTTCATTGTATAGATGTACCGTTGTTTGTTTATCCACTTGCCTGTTGATGGACCTTGGGCTGTGTCAGGTTTTGGCTATTAGAAACTGCCACGGACCAGCCCAGTGGCGGCGGGAGATCGAGACAATCTCCGAGATTGAGTGAGAACGAGCAAAAGGTGGTCAAAGGAATTAGGGCGAGGGACAAGAAAGAATGACACACAGACACACTCAAGGGAGAGTGAAAATCTGAGTGCAATTTATTAAAATCAACCTTCTCTTTTTATACATTTCTGTGACAATTACCTAAGATTATTTTTCACAGTTTGTGGTAAATCATACATCAGATATGCAGTGAAACATAGCAAGAATTATTACATACTGTTTTTCACCTAAATTCCATTTAAGTACAATTATCGATGAATCAAGCACTTACTGTAATTTACTCAGAGGAGGTCTTTGTTATCCTAACCTTAACTTAAATATTACCTACATGATTTTTATTATGATCATGTTTTATATATTTATCATAACATTAGTTTTTTTTGTTTTTTTTTTTTTTAAAGATTTATTTATTTATTTGTTTATACAAACACTGGATACAGTCAGAAGCGCGGGAGGGTGAGAGAATTCACCAGAGAGAGAGCGGGGAGCAGAGCAGGCAGAAGGACCGAAGTACACTGCTGAGGGGAGCAGCGGGCGGCAGGAGAGGTCTGCGCGCCATGTGGGACCCTCCTCCGGTGGCCGGGGAGCAGCCGGGGATCGAACCGGCGCTGCAGAGGCTGCGGGCAGCTTCGCAACCCAGCGCTCAACCGCTGCGCCACCGGGGAGGCCCCATAACATTAGTTTTTAATTACCACATACTATTATTTGTTATTAGCATTTACTATAAAATCACAATGATTACTTTTTCTTAGTCATATATTTAAGCATGTTCTAAAAGCAGCTAAACCAGTTTAAAGCATACAGCTGGGCAGTGCAGCACAGGGCTATTGAATTGTAAGTTAAAGATTAACGGTGTGTGTCTCAGTGTTTTCAGGCAGTGTTTGTTGGTTGCTTATGGCGCCGATGCACAGCAATCCTTTCCTGTAACATCAGAGGGGGTCTTTTCTGCTTAACATGAACGCCAAAGTTTATTATGCTGAATCCCCTCGGGGACTGCGCCTGTCTTAGGTCGTCAGGAGTCACAGACATGCGGCTAGCCAGTGCCTTCTTTAGTCTGCCCCCGATCTTACCCGTCATTGACTGTCCAGTCCAGCGCACAGGGGAAGGGGGTCTTATATACTCTGACTTATGTCTGAGTTAAAGCCTCCCTCTTTCCAATAAGTTTACGGGCATCCAGCAACAGAGGCTGACACAGTGGCAGGGGCTGTCACAAGAAACAAATCTACTGTGAGGATGTCAGAACTCTTTGTCCTGAACCTGGGAGAGAGGAATGAAGCAGCACCCAGCAACCTGTGCTGCTGCTACTGCTATTAATGTGTAGATATCACTCTGATAGCTGTTACTACAAGTGCAGCTTAAATTAAGTGATTTAGGGGACTCATTTAACCTTAATACTGCTAGTTTTGAAATGACTCTAGAGTTGGAAAAGATACAGTGATATGAAAGATTATGAGATAAGGTTATACTTATCTGTATTCCTATGAAAACTATTTACATATTTGTTTCATGTGGATTTTTATTCACTTTTTGAACATGCAACTAAAGAATGCCCCTCAGCTATAGAGCAAGCATTTGTAGCTTGTTGATTGGCAGACTGGGCCAAAAGCTTAGTGACCTCTTTTAAAAATAAAATATCTTGAAACTTAAAAAGAGAAAAAAAAGGGCGGTGATATTTATTTACAAATGTTGGTGATGTATTGTTCAAATTAAATATTTAGAAGTAAATACTTGCAAACCACATATCTCACAAAGATTTTAAATATAGAACATAGATTTTACATATAAGATATATCTAGAATACATCTAGAACTCTCCAAACTCAACAGTAAGAAACAGTTTAACCAGAAAATGGGCACACAGATGACAGGAAGCACATGAAAAGATGTTCAATGTCAGGAGCCACCGAGAAATGCAAATCAAAACTATCATAAAATAGTACCCACCTGTCAGAATGGCTAAGGTGAAAAATAGTGTTAAGACCAGTTGTTGCTGAGGATGCAGCAAAACTGGAGCACTCACCCCTCGCTAGTGGGAATTACAGTGGTACAGGCACTCTAGGAAAGAGTGGGACCAATTCTTACAGAACTAAATATGTGCTTGCCATATGCCCAGCAGTTGCAGTCTTGGGCATTTACACTGGAGAACTGAAAAACTATAAATTCATATAAAAATGTATACACAAATATTCATAATAGCCCTCAAACAAGAAGAAACCACATGTCCTTCAGTGTGTGAATGGTTCAAGAAAGTGGCACGTCCACACTGGATACTGTCCAGCACTAAAGAGGAAGGAATTAGTAACAAAAGCAGCAACCTAAGGGGATCTCAAAGGCCTTGTATTGAGTAAAAAAAGCCAGTCTCAGAAGATTATATGTTGTCTGATTTCATCCCTATTATTTTCTTATAATAATAAAATTATAGAAAGAACAAATCAGTGGTTGCCAGGGGTTGGGAAGTAGGGGAGCAGAGGTGACTGTGACTATAAAAGGGTGGCATGAGAGACCCTTTTGATAGACCTTTTCTGAACTTCACTATGGTTGTGATAATAATGTACACGTGTAATAAAACTGCACACATACATTCAGACAAGTAAAACCCATGAAGCCTGAATAAGGTTCGTGAATTGTACCAAACTCAATTTCCTGGTTATGATGTTATGTAATTTTAAAAGATGTTACCATTGGGAAAACTGGATAAAAAGTTGTGTGAATCTCATTATCTAAAAATAAAATAAAAGGGGCTTCCCCCGGTGGCACAGCGGTTGAGCGCTGGGTTTCTGAGCTGCCCGCAGCCTCTGCAGCGCCGGTTCGATTCACGGCTGCTCCCGGGCCACCGGAGGAGGGTCCCGCATGGCGCGCAGACCTCTCCTGCGCCTGCTGCTCCCCTCAGCAGTGTACTTCGGTCCTTCTGCCTGCTCTGCTCCCCGCTCTGGCTCTGGTGAGTTCTCTCACCCTCCCGCGCTTCTGACTGTACCCAGTGCTTGTATAAATAAATAAATAAATCTTTAAAAAATAAATAAATAAAAAATAAAATAAAAGGGCCTCCCCGGTGGCGCAGCGGTTGAGCGCTGGGTTCCGGGGCTGCCCGCTGCCTATGCGGCTCCGGTTCGATCCCCGGCTGCTCCCCGGCCACCGGAGGAGGGTCCCACATAGCGCGCAGACCTCTCCTGCCGCCCGCTGCTCCCCTCAGCAGTGTACTTCTGTCCTTCTGCCTGCTCTGCTCCCCGCTCTCTCTCTGGTGAATTCTCTCACCCTCCCGCGCTTCTGACTGTACCCGGTGCTTGTATAAATAAATAAATAAATATTAAAAAATAAAAAAATAAAATAAAATAAAACTTTCCAGTGTAGTTACCATTTACACATGACTAACCCATTGAGAGAAACATTGAAAAAGTAGGCAGGAGAATTATTTTACACAAAGTGCTAGAAATACATTATAAATAATTTGTAGAATTTACACTGCTGACGGCTTTGATTATAGAAGAGCTTTTGAAGCCTTTTGTCTCCTCTAAAAGTTGTATAACATAACTTTCAATATTAAATCTGAGTTGTGAAGCAGACCTGGAGTTGAAATATATATACTTTATTTCTAAGGCCCTTCTTTATCATACCATTTAATAATTCTAAACTAATCCGAGTGTTTTACTTGAATATTTAACTGACAGGATGTATTTGGAAGATTTTCCATCTTTTTAGATCCTATTTAAAAATTCCTAAGATTTGCAGTGGTTTGTTTTGACTATTAATATTTCTGTCGATAGCATTACGTTGTCTTTTTATCACTCACTTGAACTTGCATTCTCGGAAAATAATTTCCTTGTTAAAATTTCTAAGTACATTTGTTGCAACCCTAAAACTGAGCTATTACAGTAATAGAAAATGAAATATTTTTCCTTTTTTTCAACACTAGCTTTTTGAAAGATTACCAACTTATTTTGACCTTCAGAGGAGGTTAATGCTTTTGGAAGATCAAATAAGCCATCTTCTAGGTGGCATCCAAGTTGTTTATATCGAAGAATTACAGCCAGTATTGACCCTTGAAGAATATTACTCTCTTCTCAATGTGTTCTACAACAGATTATTAAAAAGTAGAATACCTTTCCACCCTCGAAGTCTGCGTGGCTTACAGATGCTCCTGAATAGGTAACTATCTAAAATGGAGGAATTATTATTCCTTCCCTTAGGTGGGCTGGGTGGGACGTGTATTAAACTGTATTGTATTTCATTGGGTAGTTGATGGTAATTATAAAAAGACTGTCACAGCTCTGTCCATGACATTCTCTTACACATTAGAAAAGAGGATTGAAGGATAGACTCTCTAGTACATTCTGTAAATATATTGCCACTGAAGGGGCTAAGTCAATCCTCTGGAAAGCTTTTTAGGATTCAGCTCATGTTGAATCAGTAGGCCACATTTCTCTGCACACACTCCTTTCCAGGCACGGGGCGTGGTGCTTAAGAGCATTCTCTTTCACCTCATAACCTCAATGATAGTGGGTTATTACCCCGTTTCACAAATGACCAAGGTCACAGGGCTAGGAAGGATGTAGGTGGCATGACAAAGTCTGTATCTTTAGGGACAGCAGAATTTATGTCAGTTTTGCTGCACTTTTATGGCAAATCCCTTTTCAGTTAATCAGACTAAGAAAATGTTTTCTTTAGGGCTGAGGTGCAGGGGATGGAGGAATAATGTTTTTCCTTTCATGTATGTCTCATTCCAGTGACAGATATGCTCCAAGCTTGCATGAACTCGGGCATTTTAACATCCCAATTCTCTGTGATCCAGCAAACCTCCAGTGGTTTATTCTTACTAAAGCTCAACAGGCCAGAGAGAACATGAAAAGAAAAGAGGAGTAAGTGCTGTCAGCCCTCTGTAGTGCCTTGACATTCAGCCTAACCTGTGAAAATTCAGACATCGGAATTCACAAATGGATATTAAACTTAGGAGACTGACTTTGTCGATATTCCATATTTATTTATTCCCCACTTTGTTCTGCCAGAGATTGGATGTGACTGTATGCTAAGTGTCATGACCTAATGACATGCGCACCATGTACCTCAATTTGGGAAACAGGGCTTGTTAATGTAAAGGTCAGCTCTAGAACAGAATAAAATATAAGACCATCAGAAAGAAATGCCCAGATGTGAAAAGAAATCTTTAATGTTTAAAAATTTGAAAATAACTGATATGCAGTAAATTTCATCTGCATTTTAAGTAAATGAGAAGAAATTTTAAAATTAAAATATTATTTCAGCTCGGGCCTCCCGGGTGGCGCAGCGGTTGAACGCTGGGTTGCGAGGCTGCCTGCAGCCTCTGCAGCACCGGTTCGATCCCTGGCCACCAGGCGAGGGTCCTGCATGGCGCTCAGACCTCTCCTGCCGCCAGCTGCTCCCCTCAACAGTGTACTTCAGTCCTTCTGCCTGTTCTGCTCCCTGCTTTGGCTCCGGTGAATTCTCTCACCCTCCCGCGCTTCTGACTGTACCCAGTGCTTGTATAGATAAATAAATCTTTAAAAAAAAAAAAAAAAAGAAAAAAGAAGAGCTGTCTCTGTGCAGTTTGCATCTTTGATGAAATCATATCATAGCCTACAGTTTCCTATTTTGTGGACTGTGGGATAGTGCTGGGTCATGTTTTGTCTCGCCTGGGAAAAAAGGAAGGTATTACATTTCGAAGGGAGTTGTTTTTCTGACGATCTTGCCTAGGAGGCTTGGTTACCAAGGGTTTCTTCATTCCTCCACCATCTGCTGGGACGGTTGTGTGCCCGAAGCCGGCACAGGTGCCTTGGATGGAAATACACTGTCCTGTCCCCTGGTCCCCGAATGCATCTCTGGTAGGAGGTTTGAGCACTGTAGGGGTGTGAGTGGTAGCAGGAGCGGAGATGAGGTTGAGCGGGCAGATGAGCCCTCGGAACCACGGCAGTTTTGTTTCATTCACCTTATCTCGTGGTTTCCCAGGTGAGGTACCAGTCGGCCTGGTACACCTGTGAGGGCGTGACAAGGCTGAGTCCTCTTTCACACAGCCCAAGATTTGAGGGGTTGCATCCATTGACTAAAACTACATCTTCATAGCCACCTGGGGGAGAAAGTGTTGAAGACACTGAGTCATTTACCTCGTGGGCTTTACCCCAAGCCCTTGATGCACTAGACAGTGTGGCCCTGGAGAAAGGGGCAGCAGCTGATGGGAGAGCCAGAGAGAAAAGGACCTACCCTCGGGAGCCTGGTCTCCTCTGAGCCTGCTGTTGATAGGGAAGGTTTCGAAGTCATCACCGCCCAAGGGGCAGGCCAGGCTGCAGGTAGCTCCTCAAGCTAGGCATTCCTCCGTGCCTAAGAGCTTCCAGCTGAGGCAGGAGAAGAGTTCTTTAAAATGTCTTATTTTTACCCCATCACTGCTTACAAAAAAGATTTAATAAGTACTTAAAGAGACACGTGTGAAAATAAGCCAGTAGGTACTGGCTGCATGGTAACTGTCTTTCTAAGCAGGTAAGGTAGCATTTGTGGGTGCCATTTTCAGTGTTGTGAGTAGACTGTCTTAGCCCGATGTATAAAAATATATTTACAGTTCTTTTATTTGGTTATAACTCGTGGCAATATTATGTTTATTTTTAATATAACAGGTTAAAGGTTATTGAAAATGAATTGATGCAGGCTTCAACAAAGAAATTTTCTCTGGAAAAGTTCTATAAGGAGCCCAGCGTATCCAGCAAACAGATGGTGGACTGTTGTAAGAGACTTCTAGAACAATCACTGCCTTATCTACAAGGGATGCACCTCTGTGTTTCACATTTTTACTCTGTTATGCAGGATGGAGATCTTTGTATTCCTTGGAATTGGAAGAATGAAGAAGATGTGAAATAACACCAAAAATCTGTATTATTTTTTAAAGAGATAAGAAACTGTTACTTATTTAAATGCAGAGTTTGAAATAACAGTATTATTTGCATATTATGAAAACAAAGTTTCTAACTGCTGCTTTAAAAGTAGACTTTTTAAAAAAAAATTAATTTCCACAAAGAAACTTGTTTTTAAAAGGTTCTAGCTCCCAACCTTAATCTGACTGGAAGGATTGAGTTGAAAGATGTTGACGTGAAAGAACCTATTTTAGTGGTATGTAAATGAGGACTTTAAAGAGATATATTTTTATATGAATCAAAGTTGGTAAGTACAAACAGGTCTCATGCGGTTCACTTCTAAAGTAACGGAACTCCCTCCCACGTGCAATGTCATTCAGCACACACCTTTATAGGTCCCCCTCCTGTGTCCACACACATGTATTTTGCAGCCAGTACAGACAGGTGATGTTCTGAACAGATGGTGGATGGGTAGCAAGAATGAAGGCAACTAAATTTTACCTAAAATAAGCAGAAAAGTGGGGAAAGCAATTGAACAGCTGACAGCAGTTTGTGAAACACCTTACTGACGAGAATTTAGCTTCAAATCCATTGAATTTTCCTACCCATTAAAATACTGTAACTGGTGGTAGCACGGAACCAGTAGACAGTGAGTGGTTCTGAATCATTCATTGAGGTGACTCATTTGTTTTCATGGACAAACACTACCCAGGAAAAGCCTTGCTTGTTTCCCGAAGAGTTTCAACAAGCAGGGTCAGGTGCACATGGTCAAGACCAGTAGGGATTCCAGTCACCCCTCTCATCTGGGTCTTCCTGCTTCGACCAGTGTCTGTAGTGCTGGTAAGAGCCCCTTGGGGCCACCTCTGGGCCACAGCAGTATGGGTCTCGCTGTAGCCCCCACGCAGTCCAGCTTCTCTTGCTGCTGAGTGTCCCCTAGGATAACATTTTTAACCAGGTCTAGACTGATAACATTTTTAACCACTTCAGCCTGTTTCTCCAAAGGAGAATGTGACTCCTGGTTTGGGACAGTGACTCTTACTGCTAAAGATGAGAAAGGAACTTTTTCTGCAATGGATTCAAAAGGAAAGATGTTAAAAGTTGTTCTTGAAGTATGTTTTAAATATATATAAAACACACTGATTAAACTGTTTCAATTCAAATGAGTGTTCAAAAGTGTTGATTTCAGTTATTATACTCTGTGCATATTATATGTTTCTATCCGTGCCTAACAACTATACATATTTTTTTTTCTAATGTAACAAATGTTGCCTATGAAGATTTTCCAGAGCCAAATGATGGGAGTAAAAAATTCCATAAAGGTTACATAAGAAAATCTATTGGAAAAATGGTTTTGGATTATGCCATTTTCTCAAATCAACTAATATAGAATCATCAGTAATATGTTTTGAAGTGGACTCTGGACTCTGTCTCAGAACTAATTGTTATATAATAAATACTGCATTAATCAGATCATTGTTTTTCTTATTATTTATTAATAGTTATACAAATATCACTATGTAATAAGAAATCATAGGCCATTGGTGGCCTGCATAGGCCTGTTCGACTCCTCTCCCAAATCCAACATAAAAGAGAAAATTTTGTCCCACCCCTTAAAACTACACAGGATCAGGCCCTGCTAACCACAAAAGCTCAGGTCAGAAATCATCTCCAGAGTTCCACATCCAGGCTAGGGCCCCCAAGGGAGATCCGGCCCTCAGCTCACTGGGGCTGCACCCATTGCTCGGGCGACCCCGTCTGGAAGGCATATGTTTAAAGCCACACAGTTCTCCCTAGGCCTCCTTCCTTTTTCTCTTAAAAACCTCCACCTGCAGGGCCTCCCTGGTGGCACAAGGGGTTGAGCAATGCACTATGAAGCAATATGCAGCTTCTGCAGCACGAATTCTATCCCTGGCCGGCCAGGGAGCAACCCACATGGCGCAGCAGACCTCCTGACTCCCCCGCTGCTCCCCTCAGCAGTGTATTTCAGTCAGTCTGTTCTGTTCCCCACTCGATCTCTGGTGAGTCTTCTCACCCAACCACCCCACCCACCCCCACCCCCAGCATCTCTGGCCTGTGCCCTGGCTCTTGTATGCATAAGTAAATAAATCTTAAAAAAAAAAACAAACCCTCCACCACCAAGCAGCTGCCCTGAGCTAAAGAGAGGGTGATGGGCCTTGAGGAAGAGCAGGCAGAGCAAGAAGGCTAACTCGAGCCAGCTCACTTTGAGACCAAGCTCTGGGGGACTCTCAGTCAGAGGTCTTTGAAGTGAGCCCCTCCAACTCAGGCCACTGTCCAGCATCCTGGGGGCTCCCACAGAGGCTGCCACCTCACCCCCAGCTGCCCGGGAAGGTTCTGACCATCCTTCGCCAGGATGCCCCCCCCACCCCCCGCCGTGAGTGCATGCCAGCCTTCCCCGTGCCTCAGGGCTCTGCTGAGCCCTCTCTTGAGCCTAGGTACAAAGTCAGAACCAGCCTGCCTGGAACTCTGACCTGAGCACCTGTCCCAGGCCCCGAGCCCGGAGGGCACTGCATGTGTGCGGGCACGGGTGGGAAGGAGAAGCCTGGAGCAGCCCTGGAGTTGAAAGGCACCAGGGACTAGAGGAAACAGATGAGGGCTGGGGTTTTGTCGCTGAACGCCGGAAACTGTGGCTCCCGTGGTGGGGGTGGGAGGGACCGCAGTGCGGGCTGGAGAGGAGGGTGCTTAGCCCAGGCTGCCTCCCAGCCCCCTGGGGGCATGTGGGTGGGTAGGACCCTGTGGGCATCCGCTGGGGCAGGGGGATGGGGGGACCTTATTGTTGCCCATTGGCTGGGCTCTTGTGTTCTAGCAATTGAGGAATAATGGAAGGGATAATCACCGACACTGATGCACCGGGCTGGAGATTAGCAAGCTCAGGTTTATTGCCAGAGAAACTCCTGACAGCAGGAGGGGCTTCAAGGGAGGAGCCCTTACTAAAGGGGGTAGGCTCCCTTTTGAAGCGCTCTTGGGGACTCTCCACTGTTCTTAAGAACTCCCACTTTTTCTGCTTTGGGGTACTTTTCCACTGCCCTAGTTTGCCTCATCTGGCCCCTTTGTTACCCAGAGGTAGGAAGCCACCGCAAGCTGCTGTTTCCTCACACCTCTCTTGTGGCTGCCAGCTCATGCCTGCCAGCTTTGTGGCTGTCAGCCTTTGCCCACTAGCCCCCTTCACTATGAGCATGTGCAGGCTGAGGGGCCTCCAAATCCACCACTTCCGTCCTCCAGCAGGGCTTGTCCACACTGTGCTTGCACACCTCTGGCGATGGAGAGCTGTCTTCCCCGGCGACCCCCAGTCCCTGAATGGAGCTGAAACCTGCCCCGGAGTGTCCCCCCTGAGTCCCACACTAGCTTCCAGGTCAGCAGGAGGTCCGGTACACACCTGCCTCTCTTCCTCCAGACCTGGCAGCCCCAGGACCTGCGGCATCCCCCAGGAAGCCCCTCCCTCGGGCATAAACATCAGACAACCTAGCCACTGCCCAGCTCTGCTCTGGTCAGCCACCCGCAAGCTGATGTGCGTTTTGCACAGGAGACGTGAAAAGCTGTGATTTGGGCTGTGCCCCAAATACTCCCTTGTCAAAGCCCCCCAAAACTCCCCCCAACCCAGCATGGCTGGATGAGGAGGCACCAGTCAATACACTCCGAGGGTGCCGAGGGGCAACCCCCAGCCCCACCGAAGCATCACCCAGAGCCTGTTCCGCCAGGGAAGGCGCAGGCCCGGAGCAGAGAGGGGCCAGCACAGCCCTGAGTGGTCCCTCCAGTCCAGCTGGCCCAGGCTGTGCCCAGGGCCTTTTGTTTCCCCCTCCCGACCCCCGCTCCCCACCCCGCCCCCCGCCCCCCCCCCACGACCCCCGCCCCGCGCCCCTGTATACCCATCCCAAGCAAGGAGGAGCTAACACCCATGTCTGACATCAACACCAGAAATGAGTTCTCGAACCCCAAAGAGTTAAAATACCGAATGACTTGGGAGGTAAAGGAAGTTCTAGAAGTTTTGCATCAAAAGTGAAGGGGAGTTTATGTTGGGTTTGCCGAGAGCCCCGCGTGCCCGCAGGGGCCGCGCAGACGGCGGTGGCCACGGATGGCCCCGCGAGGAGCTTCAGGGCGCGGCCCGGCAGACGTTGTCAAGTTCAGAAGGAAAAGCGGTGGCTGCCCGTCAGCACATTTTTCAGCCGGCCGGGGAAGGCCCAGGGTGCGGAGGGGCTGGCGGGAAAGGTGGAGGCTGGTGACGGAAAGGAGGGTGCGAGGGGCCGAAGGCGGGCGGGGCGCCTCCTGGGGACGAGACGACGACAGGAACCGTGGAGAACAGAGCGGGGCTCCCGGCCCCGGCCCTCAGCGGGCGCGGAGTCGGTGGAGAGAGGAGGGGGTGTCTTGAGGCGGCTTCTTTCAGGGGCGCGGTAGGGGGCGGGAGAGAGGCGGTCCTTTGCCCTGGAACGCTGACCGGGTCGGGGTCCGGAGCCCTCGGAGGGGAGCCCTGCACACCCCCGCTCTGAGGCCCGGGCGTCTCCCCGGGGTTCTCAGGAGAAGCTGGAGAAGCTGCGGGCGCATCTGCCTTCTGTGGGGGGTGGGTGATTTCTCCAGTTACCTCGTTTACCCAGTAAAAGGTATCTAGAGGTTTCTTCCCATGTCCAAACTGATTCCTAGACATAGCTACAAGGGAGAAAATCGAGACAACATAGGAGCATCTTCCAGATGTGACCCGGGGGCGGGGGTGGGGGGGTGGGGGTGGGTGGAGCGCTCCACTTACATAACCGGGGTCAAAAGGAGCCACTAGACCCTGGATTTCTACAAGCCACCCTTGCTAGGTCTGTCAGGGAGATGCCTTCCCAGATGCTCCAAGCCCAGGAGCAGGAGCAGGCCTAATGGAGGCTCCAGATGATTTCTACGGTGTTCTTCTTAATTGTCTTTTCAAATCTCTTTTATCTTAACCAAGTATACTAAGAAGCATACTTTGCACCCTGATCTAGCTCAGGGGTGTGGGGAGGCATGTGTGTATGCATGAATACCAACAATTTCATGGAACCTAACTAGTATGTGCTATATATAGCATTTGATATTTTCTATGCAATTCAACTCTGTTACATCCTACTAGACTTCTTAAGCTCATTGTGTAAAGAGAACAACAATGATCAGTAGCTTTAAACACATTCTTACAGTAAAAAGAATGGAGAATGCTGGAAGACCCAAAACTCACTCTTGCAAATTTGACAAAAACATGGGTATATGTGTTCAGCAGAATGGTCCCCCCAAAATGGCCGTGCCCTCATCCATGGAACCTGAGAAATGTATGTTTCATTACATGACGAAAGGGATTTTACAGATATAATCAAATTCATAAAGCTTAAACGAGGGATATTATCTTGCATGATCTGGAAAGCAGATGCTTTCTCTGACTGGGGCCCAAAGGTGCAGCAAAGGGAAAGTGACAGATGCTAAGCGGAAGGACACTCCTGCCGTTGCTGACTTGGTGGCAGGCGTTAAGTAGAAACCATGAATTTTCCCTAGAGCCTCTGCTGAAGAACGCAGGGTGGACACAACTTTGATGTATGGTGAGACCCTCAGAGAGCACCAAGCCCCGCTGCTGGACCAAGCACCTACGGTTCTGTGGGGTAAGAATGGCTCATCCAAGCAGGTGAATGTGTGGTCATGTCTAACAGCAGCAAAAAGAAACGCATGCGCATGTGGACACTTTCCCAGGACCCATGAAAGACAGGGGCTGCAAAGCTGATGTTTTCTAGCTCAAGCCCACCTTTGGAGTGGGCCTCTCAGCTGGTGTAGGGACGCTTCCTGTTTCCTTGCTAACAAGCATGCTGATTGCTTTGCCATCCTCAGAATGGACAGTGACTACCACCCCTGAGAAATGGGGATATACCTAGCATGTCATCCCATTTTCCTGACATCTGCTTCCTATGTGAAGCCCTCAATTTGCCTTCAGGCAGAGAGGGTGGCCCACTGTCCCCTGCTAGTCCATAAGGCCACAGAGAAGTCAGCACATCCAGCCCAGGTTTCCAGAATCAGGGTAGCTGGTAGCAAGGGCACCGCTGGGTTGAGCAGGTAGGGGCCCACCAGGAGCTGAGGACTAGAAAGGTAGGAAGGGTTTGAAGTTTACCTGTCAAAAGGTCTGAGGTGGAGGAGTCTGTTGGAAGGAGCTTCAGAGGAGGAGCCTCAGAAGACTGGGGGGCTCCTAGCAACCTTATCTTTGTTGTGTAAAGTGTTTCCCACCCCACCCTGGCCTAGATTCCGCCTGGTGAACTCACACTCTCCAGCACAGTCATACACATACCTCACCAACTTGATCCCCTCTGTCACAGTGTCCCTGGCATCTGCCCTTCCCCGCCCCACAGCTCTTGGCTTCTGCCAGTCCCATCACATGACCTATAAGCAGCTTCTGTTTGTACATAGACAAACATGTCTCTTTGGGACACAGGCTCATACACCAAGGGGGAGGTCCTCCTCTGGTCCGGCGACTTCATTTTCAGAATAATGGATGTCAGGGCTTCTTGGGCTGGGAATTCCTCACAGATCCACTCCCTACTCAGCAAGATTTGGCTCACCCTGGGCCTCCCATCCTCTTCACAGCCTGTCTACATGAGAATTGGCTCTGTGCCCCATGGTTGCCTCTGTTGAGATCCTCACAAAGCCCATCTTGAATCCTCACCAAGGCACTCCTGGCCTGGGGTCTTCCTGTTCCAGCGACCCAGAAGCTGCCATGCGTCACAGGGTGTTGGCCCACCAGCCTGACAGGAGATGGAATGGCCCATCCTCTTGAACTCGCCCAGCTTTAGATCCTACTTCTCACTGGCTGTACCCAACTGATGTGGGGCCATTAGTAAGCACCACTGAATCATGTGATCCATTGATCTCACTCTCTTCTATGTCCTGGATTTCCCCACCAGCAGCCTCCGCCAGTGACCTTCCATTGATATCAGGCCTTGAGCCTCCCAGGCACTTCCACCTGCCTGTCCCTAGCACGAGGCCATTGCTAAGGTGAACAAGACAGCTTCCGTCTCCTCTGCTTCTTCTCTCCACTTATCCCCTCCCTACTTATCTTGGCCCATGTGAGTCCCCCCCACTATTTTCCCCAGCACCTCCATCTCTGTCTCCTCAAGGGTATAGGTTGTTAACTCATGCCATTACTTTGTCCCACTTGATCTTGAAAACTCAGCTGGCTGTGAATATTATCAGCCTTAAGATTTTACTAGCTTCTGTCTCCTCAGCATTCAGCTCTTGAAAAACGGACTCTGAGGGCTTTGTCTTCTACACATTTGAAAATTCTGATTGGCAATAATCAACCTTTGACCTTTGTACTTATTGGAGCACCAACCTGTGGTCACAGCTCAGTTCTCTGGCATCTGACCGTCTTACTTTCTGCCACTTCCCGGTGAGGCCCCTGCTTCCTGCACATTTTCTCATTCTGCCACTAACGTCCATACATAGTTTTCTAATTGGCTTCATTTCACCAAAAGTCACAATCATAGTGATCACTTTTAAGGAATTTTGATATAGACAAAATCGTTCACTTGAGAGGTATCTGGAAACAAAAACAAAGCAAAATTCTTACTTTTCAATAGTCTGCTTTCTTCAGCTGGTGTGAGAAGCTTTCTGAACACAATTTGGACTCAAAATTGTCTCCATCGATTATTACTTAGCTAAATCGAACATAGGAGCTTCTCCCTCCCCAGCACCTTTAGCTTCTGATGACATTTCCAATGCTCTTTCCAATGAGTTAAAAGCTTAAAGTCAGAAATCACAGAGACGTTAGGGAAACAAACATGTTGATAAATCCCATCACATAAATATCAGCATAAACCATCCTTGGCTATAGAGTTTAAGACAACTCTAGATACTAAAACAAAAGAAGTCGCATAAGGAAGCGAGTTGCCTTGTTTGCCAATCAGCCTTTTATTTCACGCAGATGGCATCACTTCCTTTCTTTCCAAATACTGGGAAATAAGGATTTTGTGCCAACTTGACGGGGCTGTGTGGTCCCCATGCTGAGGGGAGCAGGAGGCAAGACAAGAGAGGTCTGCTGCACTATGTGAGTTAGCTCCTTGGCCGGGACTCGAACTCATGCTGAGTGTGTAATAATCAGACTTCCCCAGTATTGCCAGAGTGAGGTTCTGTGTTGTATCAGGGAACACATCCCAGGAACATGCTGAGAGAGAGATGAGTTGTGAGCAGGCTTACAAGGCAAGACTCTGCTGATCAAAGAGCAGTCCACTTGCTATTAGCAGAAAATAACAAATGTGAATGAACATGTGACAACGGTATGACAACAAAGTTTTAAGAGGAATAAGATTAAAGGGAGCGGGGGCATAAAAAACTTTTATGGGTAGCAAAAAGAGACACGCCGACCAAGACAAATCTGTGTACAAAGCTTCTTGTGTAAACAGTTGTATGTAATGATGTTATCTATGGAAATATTCTCAGACCACCCCAGGCCATGGTCTCAAAAATCACATCAATGGTTCCTAGGCATCCCCAGGCCTGCCTCTATGATGAGGGCTATTATCTTAGGGCAATCATTCAAGAATGTCCCCTGTGAGTTTAAACAATGCTGGGTCCTGGTTACTAGGTTACGTGTACCATGAAGAAGGTCACAGTTCTTAACTGACACTAATGGCAGAAAACTCAAAGTGCCATGTGGTCCCCTAGTCTGAGCATGAGCATATGGAGGTCAGGTAATCAATGGAGTTTTGGTTAAGTAGATTCCTGGATCGACACTGCAGTTAACTGCCCAGTATATACAGATTGGAACACAGATATTCAGAAACTTGCAGAATTCCCACATCGTTCCCTGACCCATGGAATAAAAGCTACTATGGTAGGAAAGGCCAAATGGAAGCCACTAGAACTACCTCTACCCAAAAAAAGGGCTACCTGAAGTAATACTCCAGTCCTGTCAAAATGCCAAGATTAGTGCCACTATCAAAGACTTGAAACCACAGCCCCATTCAACTCATCTATGTGGCCTTTGCAGAACACACATGGATCTTGAAGACAGATTATTATACACTTACACAGTGACTCCAAGAGCAACTATTATTCCCACGTGTTGCTGAGCAAATAAACCGTTTGCAGTTACTAATCTGGTGGATTTTTTTCTCTCTGCACCTCTTAGCAGAGTTCGTCAAAGCAGTTGCTTTCACTATCAACTCTACAACCTTAGTCACAACCTAGTTCACAGCTATTTGATCACCTTCCCATCCACACGACACTACAGCAATCCATTACAGTTGACACTTGAATGATTCCAGGAATAGAGACATCAAATCCCCCCACCCAATGCAGTCAAAAGCCTGAGTAGAACTTTTGACTCTCCCAAATTAATAGCCTGCTGTTGACTGTAAGCCTTACTAACACCACTGCTGCTTTGTAACTTGCCCTGTGAGGGTGTAATCAGTATTATACCAGCTCAAATCAGTTCACATGTTGAGACTAATGACATCACACACATCAAGAGGTTGTGAAAAAGTTTATTATGCACAAAATGCCGCAGAAGAGGACAGGAACCCAAGCCTGTTGGTTTGCCTTGACTGAAAGTAGTCAGTAGCTCTGGTTTTTATAGTGGTTAGGAGTGACGGGTCCAACACAAAATAAAAAGCCAGGGTTTGCACCAACTTCCCTTCTGGCACTGAAAGAGAGTGCTGGGGCTTGCTTATCAGCGGCCCAGATGTGAGGCAGAATGGGAAGGGAAAGGGCTTGAAAGCTGTCAGTGGTCAAACGTCAAAAATGAGGTTGACACTATTATAATTCCCAGTCCGGGGGGTGTGGGGGGGGCAGCCGCTTGCTGCAAGTTACTCACCGCCCCCCGCCCCTGGCATCTTAGCATTCTCTTTTTGTCTTTCTTGTTTCTTAGAGAACCAGACAGCAATTTCTTATAAATTCTTTTTGTTAAAATAGTTGGTATGGGTCATGGCTCTTAACTAGATACTGGCTGATATAAATCTTCCTGGCTTTTTTAGCAGTTTTTGAATCGGTTTAAAAGGTGTGGTAGATGCTATGAAACTGACTCGCGACCTTTCCTCACCTCCCTAACAAAGTGGGATGTCTGACTCAGCTTCTCTTCCCCTGGACCCTTGAACTTGTGAGTCCCTAGAGCTTCTGGTTTCCCTTATTTTTAGGATGAACGAAAGGAAATAGGGCTTATTATTTTCTAATAACTACATGTCCCAGTGATCACGTCAACAAATGGAGAAAATACCCCTTTTGAACTGTTGCATGGTGTGCCACCAAAAATGTGCCAGACTGGTTTAACCATTTCTTTACAACTGGCCATTTGTGTTGCTCCTGATTTTGGCAGGTAAAGACCCTGGAACCTAGAGATTGAATGGCTCACTCTAAGTAACAGCACATAAATAGCAGAGCCAGAGTTTCCATAAAATCATCAGGTATCAGAGCCCATGCTTAAAAATATTTTTATTAAATATTTTAATCAAAGTTTAAAAAGGAACCACCAGACTATCCTGTTTAATCAACATGCTGACCCATCTACATCAATTTTATAAGACAACAGAAGACTCCATGTACCCGCCCTGATTTCATCAGCAACTCCTGCCCTGGAAAGGCACAGGATCTCTTTCACACATCATCCTAGTACATGTCACTTGAACTTCATATAATTTGAATCCACTGAAAATATATTATGCAAAACAGTAACAACACTGTTTGTGCCAACGATGCTTACATGCCAGCTACTATTCTAAGCACTTTACATGCAATATTTCATTAACTGTTTCCCCAACCCCAATCATCCTGTGAGGCTGGCACTACTATTCCATTTTACAGAAAAAATGAAACACAACTAAGTTTAAATGTGCCCACAGACACAGTTGTTTAACTTTACATAAATGGTATATTGTATATACCTTCTGCAACTTGCTCAGCATCAATTTTGATTTGTCTGTTAAAACCAATGTAAAATGTACCTCTCTTTTCTATTCACTTTCCAAAGACCCCCAAAACAACCCATTTATTTACCTGTTCTTCTGTTGATGGCAATTTAGGCTTTTTCCAATCTTGCCAGCTAAACAATACTGCAAAAGTCTTATACACATTTCCTTCTTCACAGAGCTTCTCTAGAGTTCTTCAGGAGTAGAAATGTTGGGTGGTAGAGGACACACAACTTTACGAGATCTGGCAAATTGCTTGGCACAGTAGTTGACACAATTTCCATTCCCATAGCAGTGTGTTCCCAGTTCCACAGGAACTTGATGAAAGTGAGAGGGTCCGTATTAATTTACATGCCCTGTATGTCCTTCTCTGCACATGCCTGTCTGGGCTGAAAGTCCCTGCCAGCAAGGGAAGGAATGAGCTCACTCAACAGCTAACTGAAAGACCTTCTGTTACCCCTCCTCCCTGTGGCGGTCCAGTCCCTCTGCCTCTCCCCAGCCCCAACGTCAGTTCCTTCTACAAAGCAAAATGAAGTGGGACAGGGTTGGGTGAAGGCTGCAAGTTGTCCAGGCAGGATGAGGTATGAGAGGACAACTGGTGACTGAGACAATCAAAAACCATCCGCTGGAGCCATACATCTCAGAATCATCGTAGCTGTGATCCTAACTAGCAGAAGCATGCTTGTGGGAGGCCTCTAGTCAACATTTCACTCAAGAGCCGCTTCAAAATACTCCAATCCTGACTTACCTTAGAGGCAACTCTGTGCAAATCTTCTCTACACCACATATAAATAAGCACCCAACCCTGGCCTCCAGAGTACTCGGTCTGACTACAGTGATGGAGTAACCCAGACAACATCTATCAGAGCAGCTAGAAGAACAGCGGAGGTGCAGCCAGGGAGGGTACAGAGGGGCGAGAATCAGGGAAGACTAGGCCTTCATGAGTGAGGACCTCGGCCAGCATGAATAGTGCTTCTGGCACTCCAGGTGAAGGTGGCCAGCACAAGGCAGGTCAGTCCAGGGACATTCAAGGAGAGGCAATCAAGTGAAGTTCAACACTCATATCATCAGACTTTTAGTTCCAAAGAATCACTTTTCCTTGTCCTTTTAGCTAATGTATATTTACTAATATTTTCATAATCACATATTTAAACCACTAGAATTAGTTAAAAACTCAGGTTATTGAACAGACTGCATCAGTACAATCCCAAAATATTAACAACTTACCTCAGTATAGAGGAATTTCACTTGATTTTTATTTTATTCTTTATGAATTTAAAATTTTGACTTGAATGTTTAAAAATAAGTATATCTCATTTTATTAAAATGGCAGTAAAAACACCTCTATTGAGGCAGGAACTCTATGATGTGCTAGGTGGCCTAAGGAGTGGAGCAATGAAAATATGGACAGAAAAGGGGAACTTCCATGGTTGTGGCACCAACTGATATGGGAGTAGCAGTTCTGTGAGGGCTCTGGTCCTATAAATTAGCCAACTAATCCAGAGCCTTAGCAAGCTGGGCCCTCGTTCACCAAGCCCAGAGCCAGATAGCACAGTAAGTTACTCTAATGTTACACGGAAGCAGATGCAGGGGCTCAGTGACTCACCTAAGGATGTCCTGCTAAGGAAAAGCACAGTGGACCTAGAATCAATACCTGATGACTCCAAGGACCTTCCCTTGACCCTAGGCCCTCAAAACATGGGACCTGGTCCCTGTCCAAACTCTTCTAGGCACTGTTCCAATGAAAGGACACATGATTCCAGGCTGTGGGCAACTATTGCCATGGGAAAGCAGAAGGGGTACAGAGTCAAGATGACCAAATCTTCCAGAACACAAAGCCTAGTGGGTACCAAACACCAACAGGAGATGCCTGTCCAGTGTCTCTTTTCCCTCCCCCTTGGCCATCCCATGTGACATCCCACACAGGGATCAGAGCCTTCATTTTCACCTGCCGTGGCAAGCCAGAATGGGTAAGATTATTTTTTATTATGACTCTACTGAAGCTACTCCAGGATTTGGTTTCTTCTGACTACAGGAATGGTCTCTTTCATAAATGTGCCCCGACTCACCTCTGGTGATGGTGAGAGGTCTTACAGGAAATTCAGACATGGGGGTGGAGAGAGCATCCCATTTATGGACACTGGCAGCAGAGACAAGTGCATAAAAGTCTTTTGCTACATGATTTGCCTGAGTTTTTGCTCCTCTAGTTAAGCCCTGAAGATGTACTTCAGACTCAGACCATATTACACCTCAAGTCAAAGCCAACCCAAAGTTTCCTACCTCCCTCGGAAGCAGCCCAAGTCCCAGCGAGGACCCATGAAGCTCAGCCTCCCAGCTCTCCGGGCCCCTTTTCCAGCTGACTCAACCACCCCAGCTTGGGGTTCCCCTTGCCATTTCCTAAGGACACTAGGCAAGTCTCCACTGCCTATGCCTGAATCTATAGAGCTCGGGGCTCACTCCCTGACCGCCTTCAGGCCTATGCTCAAATTTCATCTAGTTGAGGCACTCCCTGACCAGCCTATTTAAAATCACAATGTACCTCCCAATCCAACACTCCCTTCTCACACTGCTGATTTATTAAGTCTACAACACATATCACCACCCAAAATACTAGATAGCTCATTTGCTTATCATCTATAAAGATCCAAGTCAGCAGATTGTTGGTTCCAGACACTGCTAGTTTTCTGGCACACACAACAGTACCTGGCATTCAATAGGTGCTCCACACATTTCTGTTAAACAGATGAACCCTTGCTGCCATGCACACCTGCAGGAAGATGGTGATGAGGCCCTTGTAGAGCTCCATTCGCCGGGTGATAGAGACTAGCACTCTGCCCTCCTCCACTTGCTGTCTGCTGTTGATTCCTGTGACCATGGCAGGAATCAAAAGCCAGCAGTATAGGCTGAAGCCACGGCCACAGCTTGCCAGGAGACGTCTAGGTAAACTAGGAGTTCTTGCTACTGTTTTGCTGCCATTGTTTACAAGAACAAACAGAATAAGCACCCAAGGAGAAATTTAAGATCCACTGGCTCTTCCCAGCAGTCACAGTCCACCATGCCACAGGCATGTTGTCAAACCACAAAGGGCATTGGTCTCTTTCTTAAGAGTTGAGGCTGGGAGCCCCAGGCTTTTGTGCCAAGGCTACTCCTGGAGGGCCCCAAAGAACATGTTGCTGCTCTTTCCTAGCATATCACTTCCCAGTGGGTAGGATGGGGGGGCACCCTGAGTTTTTGAAGCCTCTCAGCATTCTCTGCCACTAGCTTCCAAAACAGAGACCTTTGTGAGGGTTCCCCCTGTTCTTTAGCAGAGTGCCTAGGGATCCTTCTCCTGCCATTGCCAGGCCCCAGGCTAATCTCTAATATGGTTTTTCATGTGCCGAGCCAAATTTGAAGACCACCTGAAGGTCTTCCCACACTCTCTGCACTTGAAGGGCCTTTCTCGAGTATGAAATCGTTTGTGGCTAATCAGCTGTGAGCTCTTGCTAAAAGTTTTCCCACACGTGCTACATTTGTGGCACTTTTCCCCAACAGGAATGTTCAGGAGTCCAGTGAGCCGGGAGCTCTGGTCACAAGTTTCCTTACAATCTCCAATAGGCTTCTCTCCACTTGGTTTTAATTCCTGTAAATTCGTTCCTGTATCCTGGGAGGAAGATAACCCAGCCAGGCTGCGTTCAGACTGTGCGACTCTGGTATGTTTTCTCTGGTGAATACTGAGGGTATGCCTTGCAATGAAATCCTTCCCACACAACTGACATTTAAAAGGTCTCTCTTTAGTGTGGATTCTCTGATGATTAACAAGGCGATAATTTCTATCATAAGATTTTCCACACAGATTACATTTATAGCGCTTTTCTCCACTGTGTATTCCCTTGTGATCTAAGAGAGACCGTTTCCGTGTAAAGGATTTCCCACATTCTTGGCACCAGAAAGGCTTTCCATCAGTGATGATCTGCGGCTGCAGATTTGGCATGTTTCCACTCCCATGATACTCATACCGATTTTTGAAAGAGTGAATCCGCTGATGTCGGGAGAGGTTAGAGCTCCATCTGAAAGCTTTCCCACATTCCCTGCACTTATAAGGCTTCTCTCTGGTGTGAATCCTCTGATGGATAAGAAGAAATGAGTGATTACGGAAGGCTTTGCCACACTGGCTACATGTATAGGGTTCTTCTGTGGTATGACTGCTCTGAGGAACTTGGAATGTTCTGTCCTCACTAAAAGATGGCCCATCCTCAGGTTTTCCTGTAATGGCATGCTGCTTCTTATGAACAATAAAGGCTGACCTCTGGGTAAACTCTTTTGCACATTCGCCACATTGGTATGGCTTCTTGCCTGTGTGGATTCTCTGGTGATTAATGAGCGATTTCTTCCTAATAAATGTTTTCCCACACTGCTGGCAGAGAAAAGCTTTCTCCACAGTGGGCACATCCGGGGACTGACTGCAGGCAGAGGTCTGTTTAACATCTTCTCTACATTTGTCTTGATCATAGAACTTTTCCTCATGATGCATTCTCATATGACGAGTGAAGTTTGACCTCCACCTAAAGGTTTTTCTACATCTGATACATTTATAGGGTTTCTCCTGGGTGTGAATCCTTTGATGTTCTAGAATATACGATTTACAGTGAAAGGATTTCCTACATTGGCTGCAGTCAAAGGGTTTCTCCCCAGTTTGGTCTTTCAAATGATGATCAAACTTTGAGTCATACGGGAGAGGATCCTCATACTGATTAGGTTCTAGAAATGTCTGCTTAGTATGGGTTTCCTGGTGCATTCGGTAGGCAGACATGCGTTGGAAGGCTTTGTCACATAAGCTGCATTTATAGGGTTTCACTCCAGTGTGAATTTTCTCATGTCGCACACAGTTTGAGCTCCACCTGAAGGCTTTCCCACATACCCTACATTTAAATGGTTTCTCAGGAGAGTGAAGTCTCTGATGACATGAAAGATGGGAGCTACAACTGAAGCTCCTTCCACAGTCACTGCACTTGTATGATGTTCCCCCCACGTGCAGATTCTGCCCAGGCTGGTGATGAGAGCTCAGGCTAGAGCTCTTCCCACATACATCCTTCACATTCCCTTTCAGTCCAGCATGAATTCTCGGATGCAGGTTAAACCTGCCCATGATGTGTCTAAGCCCTTTCCCATATTCCTTGTACTCAGAGTGGTATGAATTCCCTCTGAAAAGTCTGCCACAGCCATGTTTAAGGGAGTGCTTTCTTCTGGGACCTCTCAAATATATAACATGTTTTAGATTAAGATAATTACTTTTTCCTGATTCTTCAGACTCTTCTTCTGTCTTGTGTCTGAAATTGGTCTCTTCTTTCTTAACTCTCATCTGTAGGGGGTTTTCACATTGTTCCTTTAACCCACTCTTCTGCTGAAAAGATTCTCCCTCAGAAACACTTGTCACATCACATTCTGATGGCACGACTGAGGTTTCTGCTCCTTCCAAAGGTTCATGTTTTAAGATGAACTTGTTGGTTTTAATCTGGAGCTCACCTCCTGACACAAAATAAAACACAAAAGTCTCTTTTCCCATACTTGGAATTAAAGAAAGTACCAAAGGACAAAATAATGCCAAGAATTTAGGTGGTAGTTTTGTTTTCCCATTTCTACTTTTTTTATGCAATTAAATTTATTTATTTTCTTACACTGTTGTTCATTTTTGTACAGTATTTGATTTCTCCCTTCTACAGTCCCCATAGTTCTCCCACCTTAGGTGGTAAGGTTTTTATCTGACTGCCAATACCTTTACAAAATAGTTAGGAGTAAGTCCAAACATGGAAGAGTATCCCTGATGACAGGAAAGGCAGGAGACATAAGATGGGTGTGCATGCAAATATATGCAGAAACCACATCTAGTTGAAAACTAAAAAGGATGCAGGGAGGGTAACAGCAAGAAAGGGGCGTGGAATCATGGCACAAGAGCACAACAGGGAGGTCCCCGGATGTGAGGAGTGATGTTCCAAGGAGGGCCTGGCTGACAGGTCTGCAGATCAGGCTATTACACAGGGAAGGTCCAAACAACAAAAAGGAGCAGCAGTGGGGTCAGTGTTCCTTAGAGCGGGAAGGGGCGGACAAGGGGGTTAGTGGAGTGTAGCGCAGAGCTGAAGAGAAGTATCAATCAACAGAAAAGAGATGAACAATGAAGAACTGTCACTGAGAGGGCTACTGGGGAAAGGGCAGAACCAGAAATGAACGTCTAATAAGCCAGTTGGAGGGAGGAAGCCCAGGGGCCCAGCATTCCTTAAAAATAATGTTAAAGACCTTCCTTTTAGCAAACAATGGAATAAGGTCCCCGTGGTTTACCTGGCATAGAAGACTAGGGAAGAGAAGAGCAGATTCAAGAGGAGAAGAACCTGGCAGGTTCTCTGGAACTCACCTGTAGGGGCAGCAGCTGGAATACTCTTGGGCTGAGGTCCCTGGATATTCAGGCCCCATGGCTCCCGTGCCTCCAACCAGGAGATCAGAGCAGGTTTGGTGAATGGCCCTACTGCAGAACAGAGAGGAATGAAACAGGACGGAACAGTAGATGAATAAAAACCAACTCTCTATGACCCTCTCAGGCCTGAGGTCCTGGCAGGCAGGAGGGAAAAGCTAGTGGGAAAGTGGAGAAAGCTAAGGCAGGAGGCCCAGATAGTCATTTCTGACAGCCCTGAGCAGAGACTAGACAAGCTGAGTCAAGTCACAGCTAAAAGGATCACTAGGATTCTCTACATGACAACTCAATCATTTCAATCAGCCACCATTTTCTGAATGTCTAAATGAATGGGACTGACATATATTACTTAAAACCTATAACAAGCCAGCATGCAGCCATTATTATCCCCATTTTTTTCAAGAGAGGAAACTGAGGTGATAGATTAAGTAATTAGATTGGTAATTATAGAGCCCAGGTCAGCACCATAATGAAAACCAAGAAGACAGAAGCAAAGACATGGAAGCATGAGCATGCTGATGCCTTACCCAGAGAAGCCACGTTCCTGTAATTCTCCAGCATTACATCCCTGTACAAGTTCCTCTGGGCAGGGGGCAGCCATCCCCACTCATCCTGGGAGAAGGTCAGCTCCACATCCTTAAAAGTCAGGGCCTCCTGAAAAGATACAATCCTATTGTCTAAAGCCCACTCACATGTCCCAGCTTTCAGAAGGGGGCAAGGGAATGGGGCTGCCTCTGAGTAAATACAGCACAGACCTAATAAGGGCGAAAGCTCTCTGGGCTCAGGGGAATAATCTGGTCTCGGGGACGTGGGTCTCTGGATGTGAGGTCGGGGATGTGAGGTCACTGGACAGAGACCCAGGATGAGGGAAAGCTGCGGTTACTCCACTCGGCAGCAATGCTGGAATAGCAGGAAGGACTGAAAGTCCTGTGGCTCACCTGAGGCTGGGCTGTTTCCTGGTCTCCTGGGCATCCCTCTCTCTGGGAAGGAACCTGGGTAGCAGGAGAATCTGAAAGAGAAGGAAGAGCTATGAGAAAGTGTACCCTATTAAGAAGCCCACTCTTCTCCCACACAGAGGAATCTGGGCCCACAGGCAGGGCTGGACCAGTGTTAAACAGCCATTTCACATTTTCCCAGTCTGCTGGGAGTGGGCAACGGGGGGGGGGGGGGGGGTAGGGGAGTTCCAGGGGAAGAGGGGCTGGCCAGACATGGGCCACAGAAGGGGTAGAAAGGATACGGAGCTAAGGCAGACAAAATGAGATTCTCATGAGAGGACAGATGGCGAGAAGATGACATTATAGGAAATTCAGGCTCTGTGGCATAAGGCGGGGGTCTCAGGGTCAGGCGGCGAGTACCAGATTGCCCAGCCAGGAAGTCACGTTTTCCTATTTCAGAAGGAGGTTCCAGGTGGTCCCCCAGAACAGAGCCGCTCCTGAGAGGTGAGGCTGAGGGCCATGTCTGTGTGGCTTGAAGGGCTCTCGTACCCATCCATTGCACATCCGGGTTCTGGGCAGGGGCTGGGTCCTGGTGAGAAGAAAATGTGAGAGGAGCCCCACAGGAACCAGAAAGCAAACTCAAAGAAGAGGCCAAATGGCCAGTCTCTAAAAGGCAAAGGTCCAGGGGAGCTAGTCCTCTTATTGCCTACATGCAGAGAGGAAAAGAAAAAGGAGAAGTAGTCGTTGAGCACTTAATATCCCTGGGCTCCAGCATGAGACCCAGGGGAGAGAGATGGAGTGCTCCCAGCTCGACCTGCAACTGGCAAGTCGCTCACAGCATTGGGGTCAGGCCGCGAGTGCAGTGACACTTTGCCATTTGTCATCAGCCCTCAGCCCCCACCCCTGGCCTGGAACTCAGAAATGAGAGAAGAAATTTATCCCTGAGAGTTAAACACATAATGGTTCATAACACAGATGCCGCTGGATAATGTCTACCATGTATCACGTATGCTCTAGGCAATGACATAAAAAGTGACATCAAAGAGGCTACCAGTCTACAAGCCTGACTAGAGAGACAATGCCATCTGGGAGTCAGTCATGGGAGCAGAGAAGAAAAAGTCCCAGGTACAAAAAATGGCAGTACCCATCCAAGCAGAGACCTAGGAAGAGTTCCTTGTTCTGGGACTTCAAAGAGTTCTTAGTTCTGTCTGAGGCAAGGCTATCTCTGCTGTGTGAGTAACGGAAACTACAATTAACGAGCTTCAAGTTTCCTGGTTCTGTGGCCAACTCATTCTCTACATGTACATGGACAAATCTTAGCCTGAGGTCATTAAACAGCTGATATAGAGCTACCCTCCTGACAAACAAAGAAACTGTAAGAATACAGAAGCAAGGGCCAAAAGTGTGAGGACAAATGTTCTCAGGCCCTAGTTTCTCATTCTGCTGAACCAAAAGGTGATCCTATGACTTCATATGCATCTTGAGAATTTTTGTTCATTTTTTCAGAATAAGGAGGCTTTCTCCCAGACCCTATTTTCTGTTTGCCAATTTTCTGCTAGCCCTTTCTGCTCATTTGGCAATGTTTTCACATTATGGTTGAACTTTATATCTAACTCTAAATGAATTGAATATAACCAAGCCACAAGTTTATACCTACTGCTTGCCTTACTTGCTTTAATAAATTATTTTTAGATTATTTTGAACATCCCATCATTTTGGTTTATAATGATGAGTGTGCTTTTAGATTTTTAAAAATTAGTATCCAATATTAAGCAAAGAGATTGTCTTTATAATTAGTCACTCCTAACATTGATTTATTACCATTTACTGCTGGTATGCCATGTTCAGATGCATTATTTGATTGAATTTTTATATTAAATTTTTGGATGCTTATATTAAATTTGGGGGAATGTCCAAAGTTTCTCCAAAAATCTTAAAAGTAATGTTCCTTTTGCATGAGCCATATATGTAGAATTATACATATTTTATAGAAATAATAATATTAAAGAAGTCTACAAAAATGATAAATGCTCATAAAAAAAAAAAACTTCAGATACAGGAAGCACTGGGAAATCCACCTGGGTGGGTTAGAGGGGCCAGGAGGAGGGCACTTTAACCCTTTGCACTCCACTGTCCCCTCTCAGGGGACATCGGAATTCTAGCATATCACTCGGATGTCCCCTCTCAGGGGACATTGCAATTTATTACTGATTACGGGGAATTGAGTTATTTCAACACAACTTTTTGAGACATGCATGTTTCCCTGAAGTTTTATCTTGAAATGGCATAAGAAATTAAATCAAAATATCGTAAAATTACTAAGATATATACAAGAAATGTCAGCGGGTTTTGTGTCGGACGAGAATGTGAGATGCTTGCTCACGACGGTCCGAGCACTTCGCAACGCCACTTGAAAAGAGCGATAAGGGAGTTTGTAGAAGAAAGGTCGGTTTTCGAACATAGCGCGCACTGTATAGTAAGATATGTAATTACAAATAAACAAGTCTACATCTGGAGGAACAGATTTTCAAAGCTGAGCTCATTTTGGTTTGAAGCTTCGAGCAGTGCACATAGATCTAACGAGGAGAAAATCGGAAAAGTGATTCTTTTCTTAGTGAATAAATTGTTTGGTGAAAGCTATTTTGGTAAATATCATCTTGTCAGTTAGTAATAACAATTAGAAATTTTCAACCCATGCATTTGTTCAAATTTTTTATTAGAACAATGGCAAAGCGTCCAACCACGAATGAGTCTCATGACACAAGTAGTAGTGAAGATGAGCTCCAGATAGACCTCTATACAGACATGTCAAACATGCACTAATCAGCCTGCAATGCATACTGGGGAGTGTTACAAAACTTATCATACTGTACAAAATTATAAACAATAAAATATTTTTTTTTGCAAATATACATTCCTCGATGTCACCCAATTCATGTAACTCCAATATCATTATAATACGTTACTTGGTTCCAAAATTATACTAAATAATACGAGGGTCTGTAAATGCACGTTTCCGCCGCAAAGTAGAGTCAAGTACCTGGTAGCCAATGTCCAGAATGGTTCGGAGTGCAAAGGGTTAAATGACCTGCTGCTCTACCAATGCCACCTGTTTCCAGCACTAAGGCCTGGTAAGCACTCAAATACATATGAACAAATTCGCACTATTAGATTATTTTTGCTTTTTTTTTTTTTCCCAATAAACCAAGACTTTGAAAAGTACAATGTGGGCAAGGATACTGAGGTTGTGGAATGAAATCTAAGTTGAGGTCTTCCAAATTCCTGGCCCTGGGCTATCCCTCAGCACTCTTCTCCCTTTCTCCCCAGCACAGAACAAATCCTCAAAAGCGTATTGAGAAAGAAGCAATATGGTATATGGAGGTTGCTCTTCTAAGCCCTTCATGTACTCAGAAGCCAAGAGTCCTGTTCTAATGCTCCCCACACCTTACAAGGAAGACGTCACCCTCACTGAACAGGTCAATGAGTCAAATGAGATAATATGCAGAGATGAACTTTTTCTACTCTAAGTTACTGGGTCAAAACCTCAGTAATTTTACTTATGGGTACTTGCTGACCCTCTTCCAGGAGTGGATACTCCTTTGGGAAGACGGGGAGGCCTGTCGGCTAGAAAGTCCTCAGCCTGGGGTCTAGTTCTCAGGTGCCATGGGAATGAGAAAGGAAGAGTTCTCCTACATTGCTCAATGCTGAGGAGTCAGAGGCCATCCCAAACCCAGACAAGCTGGATCACTGCCAGGCAGAGATCAGCACCCAACACACCTGCTCACACTCACCGTCCATGCAGTCCCATCATGGTCCCATTGTAACTCCTCCAGGAGGGCCACAGCCTCCCCACCATTCTCAGGGTGATGCAGCTGCACCCAGGTCCGGAGCTCCCCTGGAAGAATGCTCAGAAACTGCTCGAGCACCAGCAGCTCCAGAATCTGGGCCTTGGAAAGAACATCAGGCCTCAGCCACCAGCGGCAGAGCTCCTCGAGCCGGCTGAGAGTCTCTAAGGGCCCAGAAGACTCATGATAGCGAAGCTGCCTAAAGAGCTGGCGGAAAAGCTCCTGGCCAGGGCGGTTGAGTGTCTGCGGCCTTGCCACCTGCACTGCAGTGTAGCCTTCATCCTCTTCCTCCTTCTTTACCATCTGCAGGCGCCCCCGCTCCCTTGAAGCCTGGGCCTGAGCTGGACGGACTGCATACCACCTGCCTGGAGTCATCACTCTCGTTCAGGGTGTACCCAGCAGAGGGCAAACAAGTCTGTGTTAGCCGTGTTGCTGCTGGGACCTCAGGAGTATCTTTTCAGCATTTCAGTGGCAATGCCATTTGCTGGAGCATCATATGTCACTGGCAAGAGACTGAAATAACCGATATTATTTTTCAGGAGGAATGTGAAAATGATGGCGCAGTTAGATTCTGTTAGTTCGGCTCATCTTTAGATACAGAGCAAAGAGCACACAAGTAAAACTAAAAAGTCTTGTTACTTATGCCCCAGGAATTTCACTTCTAGGAATCTCCCCAGAAAAATACTTGCATAGATATACAGACATTTGCACAGGTGTTCACTATAATACAATATGGAAAATAACCGACTTGCCCATCAATGAAGCGAAATAAAAGTACAACAGTTTACAAATCAAATACCATACAATACAAAAAGACTAAATTAGACCCTTAAGTATCAACATAATTATTTCCTCTCTACAGGATGGTTAGGCATGTGGTCAAGGTTAAAAATAGCAGAGAAGTGTCACCTACAGAGGAGACCACGGTGTGAATGGTCGGACAACATTCACGCCAGACTCAAGCAGTAGAGTGTTTACTGAAGCAAGAGAGGAGAGAGGGTATACAAGAATGAACCCCTTGCAACCCACAGGTCCCCCATGACCAACAGGTCCACTTTGCAGCCAAAGCTGGGTAGATGGTGTGGACAGAAGAACCACACTTCAATCTCTCACCTGTGGAGTCTGAAATACAGAAAGCAGTGGAGAATGGTCACTGACACTGGCTCTTAAGCAATATAAAGGGATATACACTGAGCACTATGCAGGAAAAGACACTCCTTCGCAAGGCATAAGTCCAACACCGGCTGTGAGAGCACTTTATCTCTCTGCAAAGAAATGCTGCCAGCTCAAGGCCACTCTAAAGCCTGTATGCCAGAGAGGAAAAACTGCATTTGACTGCCTTTACCAACCATAGCAAAAACATACGCTAAGTTAAAAAGTGCATTCTAGATGTAATTTGTAGGGAAAAAACCAGTGTTACCTATGTGCATATAAGCATGTACATGTGTGAAATACATATAAGTACTCAAATAAATTAAAAATGGCCTAGAAGCGTTCACTGTGTGAACATTTAGCAGCACTGATGGCATTTTGTGAACTGAGCTCCATCTTAGAGATGGGAAACCCTAAGCTTCACTAACAGTATTGATGAATTCTTTTCACTCTATTGACAACTAAAAACGAAACTTCTGAATGTTATAATAAACAGGACCTACTGAAAGTAAGGACTTTATAGGTAATAGGGAAGACTTGGTAAATTCCAATGAACTATAAAGATGTTGGCCTTTGATCAATTATTACATACTATAAACAGACTGTCATTTAGGCTTAAATTCTTCAAGATTCATATGAAAATCTCAGTACAAATCCCCTCTCCTGTACACTCTTCAGAACTACCCTGGACTGTGTGCCAGAAATGAGATTCCCCAGTCACCAAATAATCACTTTTGCTTTTATTTCACAACCTTGTAGTAACTTGGCTTGATAACAAAAACTGTTAATAATTGGGGGGTTGGAATATTTGGGAATAGTAATTGTTATAAATACTATTTATGGTGATTTGATGTTTTACTATCACATTTATGCATGAGTCCTCTTTAAGACTACGAAAAAAAATGATGAATGCAAGCAAATCAAAAGTGATTACGCCTGTGTTGGAAATATGCCTGCCTGTTACTTTCTGTTTCATATGTTTGGTCTTTTCCCAAATAACCAAAATAAAAAGTATATTTAAAAGTTTTCCAAATTACACTTAGGGAAACATTTAGGCCTTAAAATAAATCAGAGCTTGCGTATTCAGAATAAAATTCCTAAGCCTTCTCCACCAAAATGTTTCCAGTCATTATCTCCTCTGGCAGGTAGAATGACAGGGCTTTCCTATTTATCTATGTACCCTAAAGTGTTATGTGTTACTTTTATAATCAGCAAAGTGATAAACAATTCTCCTTAAAAACAAATCAAATAAGTAACAGCTCCCTAAAATGAAGGGGTGGATGTGGAGCAGAAGCAGCACACTCTTGGCTCCTTAATAAACAAATTCTCCTAAAAAACAAATCAAATAAGTTACAGCTCCCTAAAGTGAAGGGGTGGATGTGGAGCAGAAGCAGCACACTCTTGGCCGGTAGCTGCAGCTTAAAATGCAAAAGGAAAAGAAAATCAGGTAACTTACCAAATGGAAAGAAGCTTTTGAAGACAGAAGAAAAGCTTCATTTATCAACTTGCTAATAAATGGGAGGCCTTGGGGCTTTGCAGCAACCTGAGCTAAAGCTGGCCGTGTCTCCCAGAGCTTCATATCTGAACTCAGTTTCATCCCCACAATGAAAATGGCCTCGGAAAGATATGGAAAAATCCCAAGCAATCATATGGATATTTTTCAGGGACATTTTCTTCTTTTGTTTCTTCATCTCCTATGCAGTGTACTTTTCTTCCTTTTAAAACTCTCATTGTCTCTTACTCTCTGTTTTTCCCACCAGTGTTAAGTGTACGTAAGGTTTATTTTATACACTGTTAATAAGCAAATGACTAAGTCTCACCACTAAAGAAAACTGTTTGCAGTATATATTTAATAATGTAAAACCAATTTAATAATTATTGGAAAGTTTAAACCTAGTGTCCCAAATTTGGTTTTTATAAACTGTTCTCCAATAAAGGGAACCAAGGCTCTTGAAGAAGTACTTGATTTCAGTGATGGAGAGGGAAAGAAAAGAATGTCCAATATTTCACTGATATAACTTATTGAATGAATAAACAAATGGAGAATAAGGCACAACTTTTTCTCACCAAAAAAGTTCATTTAATAAGTGTAGAAAGAAATGAAAGTCACCATCAAACCACTACAGTTAATGAAGACACTAGGCAAGATCCACCAATGGCTGCTGACTAGTGAGTGAAAGTTCGAGAGACAGGGTATTTTCAAGCAGTCTCAAAGTATCTGTCCCCAAATACTTAATAATTACATGGAAACGGCAGTATCTTTATAATGGACCAATATGAATATCACCAGTAATAAGACACATCAGTAATCCAAACAGGGGAAGCATCTGACAAAACGAAATTGAGGCTCATTCAAAAAATATAAAAGCATCAAGATCATGAAAAACAAGGAGAGGCTGAAGAGCTGCCACAGACTGAAGGAGGTTAAGGAGGGGTGCCAGCTAAATGGAACGAGGGGCTCCAGACTGAATCCCGGAACAGAAAAAGGACATTAGTGGAAAACTGATGACTGACTAAAGTCAGCAGTTTAACTAATAGTACTGTACCACTGTAAATTTCTTAAGCTGGATGACTGTCCTATGGTGATAGGTGGAGATACTAACTTTTGGCAAGTTGGGGGAAGAGCCTAAGGGAATGCTGTTAAATTTGCAATTATTCAAATACGAAGGCTTTAGATTAAAGAAGTTTGAGCTGTTATTCTTTATCTTGGCTCTCAAGGGTTAATTGGCAACCAAGGATATTAAAGTCTGTCAATCTTTTCTCCAGTTTGGAATCATTCTTTCATGAAATCAATAAATATTTATCGAGCACCTACTACTGTACTGCGGGTATGAAAGTCTCAGCAGTAAATAGAGGGCAAAAATCACTGCTTTGACAGACAATGAAATAAAATACATAGCTGCTAGACAGTGACAGGTGCTATGTAGGCTATCAAAACCAAGGAGAATTAAAGGTTTAAGTGCAGGGAAGGAAAGGTGTAAGTTCAAAAATTCAAGTTTGTGGAACATGTAGTAATTCACCTCAGGGAGCTCTTTCACGTTATTTCTAACATTAAAATACAGAGACTAAAAAATTGTTAAAGTTAAATATGATTTCACTTTCAAGCATCTAACTCTGGCATCACAGAAGGCTTAGGCACCAATAACTCCTTGGATACCAGGATCCCAGAAAACTTAAAGGAGGCAGAGCTCACATATTTCACATTATTTCATGTGTCTGTTTTCCCTTTTAAGTACATACTGAATTTTATCTTCAAAACATCCCCAAATTTGTCTGCATAGCTTCAGCATTTACATAATATGTAAGAGAAACCTCATCATTACTTCCTGGATAGCATAGATATACATGTGTGCAAGAGCTGGAAGTTACCTGAAATTCTTTCATCAAATTACAGCTAAAACCACTTGCTGACACTTTCTTGCAAAACAACCAAACCAAACCAACATTAATGGGTTTTCAGGACCGCCTCACCAATAGTTTGAAACTGGATGGTGTTCTCTCCTGACCACAGCTTTTAATTTAGGAAGGAGAACATACTAGATTCCTTTTAATTTAGGAAGAACATACTAGATGGCTTTAGAAACTAGAGCTGTACCCTATGTTTCAAGACTGTATTTTATATATTCCTTTTTCATTTTGAAAACAGAAACAATCACCCTAAAAAACAAAAATTTGCTATTTCCCATACAAATATACTTGTTGAGCACTTACAGTTTCATGCAATGTGGAGAAGGGAAAAACCTGAAGACCAATGTTTCCTTTAATTACACCTGCCTGGTGTCAAATGCTAGCACCAATTCTAACCAATGTATAAGTAAATGCATTCTGCAAGACATAATTTTCAAAATGTAATAATATGAATATACCTGGTGCCAGTACATTATACCCTTTGAACGGCAAACATGTATATTTTGCCACAACATTGTTTCATCACAGTATTTTTAATAAAAAAAAATAAAAAGCAATGGCGTTTGCACAATTATGCACACATTTTTAAAAATCTGGAAGCGTCAGGAAGAAAATATTTTGACATTCCAATTACTTTTACTTTTCTTACTCACCAGCGACATCTAGTTGTCTGTAATTACTTCCCTTTGTTTGCATAATTAGGAGTGCTAAAACACAGAAATCTACTCTCTCCACCTGGGTGCCCCGAGCGACGCGGATCCACACAAGCTCTCGTCTCGGTGGGGACTCGACTTAGACCAACCCCGCTGGAGGCGCAGCCCCCGGGCCCGGCCTTACGCGCCGCCCCCGAGGGCAGGTCCCGCGCCTTCCGGGAACCCCGCGCCCCGCACGGCAGCCCGCAGCACCCCCCGCGCGCCGCCGCGCCGCTCACCGACGCCCCCGGCCGCCCCACAGTCACTCCCGAAGCCGCACGGCCCGCCCCACGCCGTCCCCGGGCCAGACGCTCCGCCGCGCCAGGTCGCGCACGCGCGTCGCCGCCCAGGCCGCGGAGGTCTCTCTAGGAAAGTAGGAGGGCCAACGTCTCGCCTTTTCCCCGGCTGAAAGCTGTGCTGTGGGGTCTGCGAGCCAAGCCCAGAGTCGGGTACTTGGGCTCCCCCAACCCCGCCTCTGCACTCTGCAGGGCCCTGAGGCCGACGGCAGTTCTGTCAGCCTTTCCCGGTTTCCCCACTTCCCTCCCAGAGTGTGTGTAGGGCTACCCTGGAAGCCTCCCTCCCCACCCCAGGGAAGAATAGGATCCAAAGCTAGGCTTTCAAAATAGTTCCTGCTGACCTGTTCTGCCTCGGGGGAACTCTTAAAGAGAAAGAGGGTAACCAGTCCTAAGGGAGGCTAGTCTCAAACAAGACCCTTCCCCTGTCACCACATAGGGGGTAACTGCGCATTCCCAGCCCACAGGCCTGCAAAAACCGTGCCTTCTCTGGCCTCCAGCTGTTTACTGCTGTTCAAGAAATACAACTGAGTAAATGTTTTGTTATCTTTTAAGTGATTCATGAAGGGGCAGCATCAAATCTAGCAGATGTAAAGGATTTCCGAAGAGATACACAAAGAAAGAGATCTTACAGCAGAGGGGTAGGAACACGTAAGTTATAATGGGCAAAAAGCAGGCAGGGTTTTTTTTTTAAAGGTTCCTTTCCTTATAGGGGATGGCAGGGGCTTATCATGGAGGATGAACAAGACAGCAGCCATTTTGGGCAGCAGCCATTTTAGGGAGGGCACAGCTGTGTTTCCTTTCTGTGCAGAAACCACAGAGACCACAGCAAACGGGGAAAACAGAACTTAACGAGACTCAGACCAACGAAAACAGATCAACCAATCAGAATAGACCCGGTGTTAAGACTGGAAAGTCCCACTTCCCGACAATATGGTAGAAAGCAAGCCTTGTGCCCTGCAAAGGGGCCCTTCTCTCAACCTGATGGGACTGCTGCGTCAGTGTACCAGGCAGAGTTGGGCCCTAGCTGAAGCTAGCAATAAAGCCTTTTTGCCTTTGCATCTCTGGCTCCGTGTGGTGTTTGGGAACCCCGGAAGGAGTTGAGGCGCCAACGCCTAACATTTGGGGGCTCGTCCGGGATACCCAATAACTACACGGGACAGTCAGGGGAAGGCTGAGGCCGGAGGAGGACGTTGATTCTTGGTTCATGAGCCTGCTGAGTCAGGCGGACGCGCCAGAGGACCAGGGGCACGGATTTTGGAGAGACGTCTCAAACCCGCGGAGGCCGACGCCTAGAGAAATTCAACTTTTTCTGGGGCGTCCGAGGCCCGGTTCTGACAAGGAATCTGGAACCTGTCCCAAGGCACAGGCTGGGACTCTGTGGCAGATTTGGGAAACAATCATTGTCCTCTCCGGTAAGCCCGCGGGCCTGTTTCTGTTGTCTACAGTCCTTTGTCTGTGTCTCCTGGGGATTATTGTCCGTGTTGGTCATTTTTTTCCTTTAGGATGGGCCAGGGACAAACCACACCATTGTCCCTCATGGTGGATCATTTTTCGGAGGTCGGGACCCGGGTCAAAAATCTCAGCCTTGATGTGAGAAAAAAATGATTGCTTTCTGTTCCAGCGAGTGGCCATCATTTTCTGGTATCCAGCGGCCGCGAGGAGGATCCCTAGACATCAGTCTCATCAGACAGGTCAACAAACGAAACATGGCCTCTCTCCCTGATCAAATCCCTTATATCCTTCTTTGGGACGATCTCACTACCTTCCCCCCTGAATGGCTTCAGCTGTTCGTTCAGCGCCAAGTCCTGGCGGTCGGGCGGCGGCGAGGAACCCTTACCTGCCTGGCACAAGGAAAAAAAGAGCCAGTCCTACAGAATTCTTCTTACCCCCAGAACATTGACGAGAGCCTCGAGCCCACGGCACCACTGCCTCCTTATCCCGCCCTAGGCCCAGGGGGTAACCCAGAACCAGACAACTTACACCATACCCCGCCGGGCTCGAGCCCGGACCAGAAATCACCAAGGAATGGGGAGAGAGCGGGCCGAACCGGCAACATTGGCCCTGTTGAGGGTAGTGGGCCCAATTGGGGAGGGCGGCCAACAAAACTTACAGTATTGGCCCTTTTCTACCTCTGACTTACATAACTGGAAACGCCAAAACCCTCCCTTTTCAGAAAACCCTAGGGGACTCATTAACCTCTTTGAGTCTATTTTTTTCACCCATCAGCCCATGTGGGATGCGGGTCCTGTTCACCACGGAAGAGCGGGACAGGATTTGGGGGGAAGCCCGCCGTCAGGTCCCGGGGGGCAACGGGCGGCCCACCCAGGATCAGGCAATCATCAATCGCCACTTTCCCACGGAGCGACCTCAGTGGGTTTACAACACGCCCGAAGGCAGGGAGAACCTCCGAATCTATCGCCAGACTCTTATGGCCAGTCTCGGCGCTGCAGCGCGCAAACCCACCAATTTGGCTAAGGTCGGAGATATTCGTCAAGGGCCATCTGAAGCTCCAGCCGCCTTCCTAGAGCGCATTAGGGAGGCTTTTAGGCAGTTCACTCCCCTGGACCCAGAGTCCCTCGAAAGTAGAGCGCCGGTCACAATGGCCTTTGTAAATCAGGCAGCTCCTGACATAAAACAAAAGCTACAGTCCTTGAAGCGAATGGGGGAGAGGCCTATTCAGGAGTTACTAAGGGCAGCAAAAAAGTGTTTCAATTAAAAAAAGAAAAAAAAAAAAAACAGACGAGGAAAGGCAGGACAAATTGAGAGCAGAACAGCGTAGACGGGAGGACGAAATTCGGGCAGAGGACCGGCAAGTCCAAGTGACAGAACAAAAAAGACAAACGCGAGAAATGGCCAAAATCCTGCTAGCCTCAGTGGGCAAACAACCCCAGGAAGTGGCAGAAGGTCTATGGGTAAAGGACCCAGACGCCCCAGGCTGGATAAAGACCAATGTGCCCAGTGCAAAAAGCATGGACACTGGGCTAAGGAGTGCCCAGAAATAATAAGACACAGAGTAAGCCAAAGGAGACTCCTATTCTCTTGGCAGGGCCTGCGGCTTCGGATGACAGTGAGTGAGGGGGTCGGGGTTCGGTGCCCCTACCCGAGTCCAGGGTAACTCTCAAAGTGGAGGGGAAGAAAGTTGATTTCTTGGTGGACACTGGCGCTCAACACTCGGTTTTATTGGCTGATAAAGGGGAACGCACCGGGCGCACCACCCTGGTCCAAGGCACCACTGGATCTAAATTATATGGCCAGGACTACGGCCAGGAGAGTAGATCTGGCCTCTGGCACGGTAAGCCATTCCTTTATGGTAATCCCTGATTGCCCAATGCCATTGCTTGGACGATCTCTTAACCAAGGAGCCAGTAGAGCCTTTGGGGGCCAGTAGAGCCTTTGGGAGTGGGAGCCAGTAGAGCCTTTGGTTCAACAGGAGTAGAGGTTTTTGATGCCGGGGCCGCCTCCTAGGAGGGTCGGACAAACCTGCTGTCATTTTGACTATGTCATTGGTGGATGAATTTCGATTACACTCTCCACCTATCAAGCGGTCTGAAGACATGCAGGAGTGGCTCCCCGCTTTCCGACGGCATGGGCTGAAACAGGAGGGCCAGGGTTGGCGGTCAATCGACCAGCCATCTTCGTCAAGCTTAAGCCCAGGGCAGAGCCCGTTCGCGTCCGGCAATACCCTATGCCGCTGGAAGCCCGGTTAGGCACATCAATAAACTTCGGGCTGCTGGGATCCTTCGCTCCTGTCATTCTGCGTGGAACACGCCCCTCCTACCAGTTAAAAAGCCGCATAGAGGGGACTATAGGCCAGTTCAAGACCTGTGGGAAGTTAATACCCGGGTGGCTAATATCCACCCCACTGTGCCTAACCCATATACCTTGTTGAGCTCCCTACCTCCCACCCACCGATGGTACACTGTTAGATCTTAAGGACGCTTTCTTTTGCATTCCGCTGGCCCCCAAGAGCCAGGAATTGTTTGCATTTAAATGGGGAGACCCAGACACTGGCCTCTCCGAGCAGTTAACTTGGACCGATTGCCGCAAGGCTTCAAAAATTCACCCACCTTGTTTAATGAGGCTTTGGCTCAGGACTTGATGCCTTTTCGCAGCTCCCGGCCCCAATTGACCCTCCTCCAGTATGGAGATGACATCCTTTTAGCCACCTCCAGCGAGGAGCTGTGTATCCAAGGAACAGAGGACCTTCTTGCCACCCTGGACTCCCTGGGTTACCGGGCCAGCGCAAAAAAGGCCCAGGTCTGCTGCCAAGAAGTGACCTACTTAGGATACCGGCTTAAGGAAGGTAAGTGATGGCTTACGGAGGCTATGACACGCACCATTCTGGACATTCCACCACCCAAAAACCGGCACCAGGTTCTAGAATTCCTTGGTTCTGTGGGTTATTGTAGACTCTGGATTCCTGGGTTTGAGGAGATAGCCGGACCTCTTTATGAACTCACCAAGGAGGGCGGCTTGAAAAAAGGCTGCTTCTCCTGGGGGGAGGCACGGCAGCGGGTCTTTGACTTTCTCAAACTAGCCTTTCTGACTGCACCAGCCCTAGCCTTGCCAGACCCGGGAAAATCCTTCGGCCTCTTTGTGCACGAAAAAAATGGCATAGCAAAGGCAGTGCTTGACCCAAACCCTGGGTCCCTGGGTGAGACCGGTGGCATACCTTTCATAGAACTGGATCCAGTTGCGGCTGGATGGCCACCGTGCCTGCGTATTATAGCAGCAGCCGCAGTCACTTTGAAGGACGCCGATAAACTCACCCTGGGGAAAGAAGTAACGGTGGCCACCTCCCACATGCTAGAAGGGGTGTTGCGCGATCCTCCGGGTAAGTGGATCAGCAATGCCTGGCTGACCCATTATCAGAGCTTGCTCCTAGATACCCCTTGGGTTCGGCTCAAGTCTGCCTCAGGACTCAATCCCACCACCCTGTTACCAGATCCGGACATGGGGACAGACATTCACCCTTGTCAGGAAATTTTGGTTCAGGCAGCAGGAGTTCGGTCTGACCTACGGGACTCACCCCTGCCCGATGCCGACCTAGTATGGTACACGGATGGTAGTAGCCTTGTTCTGGAAGGACGCCGGTGGGTGGGGGCAGCAGTGGTCAGTTTGGACTCGGTGGTTTGGTCTTCCAAATGACACGTCGGCTCAAAAGGCGGAACTGATAGCCTTGACAAAAGCCCTACAGCTGGCAGAGGGGAAGAATCTGACTGTGTACACAGACAGCAGGTATGCTTTTGCCACCGCCCATGTACATGGAGCCATATATGCTGAAAGGGGTTTCCTTACTTCCGAAGGAAGACCCATTAAACATGCAGAGCACATCCGGACCTCCTTCAGGCCGTCCTCCTGCCAAAGAAACTGGCTATTGTGCATTGCAGGGGGCATCAGTCTGCCCGAACCCCAGAAGCCCGGGGCAATCGAATGGCGGATGTAGAGGCACGACGGGTGGCCCAGGAAGGGGACTAACCGATACAACTCCAGGTTCTCAGTTTGCCGGGAATGGGCCCCTTGCCGGAAGAAAACCCCACAGATTCCCTCTTTTGTTGACAGGTTTGAATAACAAAATAATCAACATGAACAGGAAAAACTACAGGAATAATCTTTTTTAGAAGAACTATTCTTATTCTGCAAATATTTTCTTTTTTTTAAATTTATTTATTTATTTATTTATACAAGCACTGGGTACAGTCAGAAGCACGGGAGGGTGAGAGGATTCACCAAAGCCAGAGCGGGGAGCAGAGCAGGCAGAAGGACCGAAGTACACTGCTGAGGGGAGCAGCGGGCGGCAGGAGAGGTCTGCGCGCCATGTGGGACCCTCCTCCGGTGGCCGGGGAGCAGCAGGGGATCGAACCGGCGCCGCAGAGGCTTCGGGCAGCTTCACAACCCAGCGCTCAACCGCTGCGCCACCAGGGGAGGCCCTCTGCAAATATTTTCTAATTCATAAGGTATCATGCTGGAAATAAAAGCTCTCAAACATCATTCTTGGAGTTATGCCATTCTGCTTCCTGCATACATTTTGGGGGCTTTACCAGTGCGCAAGATGAAGTCATAGGCCTAATAAGGACTCTAAATATTTAAAAAAAAAAACTTTTGGGCATCCTCCCTGAGCTTAGGAAATTCCAGAGTTAAGTATTATATATTATTCTTGGTTTGGTCTGTGACCAAAAAGGAAAAGGTACCTGAAGGGGATCACCAGCAACCTTGTGTGGCCTTATTTTAAAAGGTAGCTATTCAACAGTCTCTTGAGAGTGGGAAGACAAGTCCTCACTGGGAGCACTTAGGTAAAGGATAGAGGGGAGCAGTAGAAATGTCAGCTTTATGTATTCTTTGTTTTGAAACACCTCTTCTGCCCTCAGTTTTTCATTAATCTTTACAATGAATCTCTCAGTGACCCTATTTTGGGATAATGAAGCCTTTTGGGGAGGCATCTGCAAATAAAAGATCTACTATCTTTCTTAGAGTTATGCCATTCTGCTTCCAGCATCAATTTTGGGGGCTTTACCAGTGCACAAGCTACTGATGGTATCCCATCTGTTTGATTTGGAGTGCACTTTTTCAATGACCTTGTCTAACTGGAATGGTCTCCATAATGGTGATTGTAAATCTAGGCTGTTTTTAACTAGGATTTTGTCATTTTTTGTAGATATCTTCGGTCTCCAGGATCAGTTTTTTTTTTTCCCTCTGTGATAGTATTAACTGAATTTTGTGTAAGTATGGAATGTCTCTCTTCTTGTATCCTAGAATCCCAGGATTCAGGGAGGTGGTAAAGAGGCAATGATTAATTTGGAAATCTTGTCCCCCCAAGAGTACCTGCCACTCTACCCAACTCTGCAATGTTGCCAGGCAGCTCACCCCTCTACAAGAGCCATCCTGCTCCATAGCCAAAGCAAGAGCTCTGGCAGTTGACATGCAGACACTTTTTCTTAGGCATGCCTTCCCAATCGATAGCATCAATACAGCTGCAGATACAGGCGCTCCCAGAGCCCCCCGTGGCAAAGGACTGACTTACCATCATGTCCCCCATGGGTGCTGCATACACCTGTCCTCCTTTTTAGGTGTCCCAGCCCAAGATGATGATTCCTGCCACCAGGTTGTCCCAGTATTGGTAACATATCTCTTTAAAGAAGGTGGCTGCTGCGTATACCAGTTCAGTAATTTTTTAGGCCCCCAATAAATGTTCTTTCTAACCCTAATAACCCTAGAATTACATCTAATTATTATTTTATTGAGCCTCAATTCTCTTTCCTTCCTTCTCCACTGTCTCTCAGAAACAAATCACAGTTCACAAAAATCTCTCCCCTCCAGGTGGCATATCTGACACTGCCCCTCTAATCACCATTGCCTTTTCCACACTGCCAACCAATCCTCCTGCTAAGAGGAAAGCAGATGGACACCAGAGGCAAAGACGCTCCCCACACCCCCAGCAAGCAGGCACTACAAGAGGAGGAGGAAAAAATTGTTCAAGCTCATGTCTCACTTCGAATTGTAAGGAGATGAAATGCCTGAAAAGATTTTCCCATATTTAAACCTTTGAGGAATGAAAGTAGGTTCAGAAGATAATTATGATAATTGAGGTTATACCTCTCTTTTTTAAATTAGAGGACAGAGAAAACTGGTAGATAATGAAGTTAGATTAGTTTAACTCTATGACCTTGCCATAAACCTCATCACTGTGAATTCCAGTCACCCAAAAATGCTTCTAACAGGGACTTTCAATCACCTTTGCTGCAGCATGAAAGTCAGCTCTTCTTTGGAATAAAATTTGATGTTCTTAAGCTGTTTACTTAGGCAGCAGGATGGGGCCAGATGGTGCAGAACTGGAATCAGTTTGTCCACTTCAGTACCTAGAAACACACATTCACTTGGTACCCAACAAATCTGCAGGGAACCAACACTGTTCAGGGGAGCAAACCCATGTTGCCCATTCTAAGGGTCCACGCCCACCCATACACATCAAAGTAAAGTGATCAAACTCTAGTGTGGCACATTCCGCTCCTTTAGTTTTCATTTAAGCCACATGGAACATCTTATACAAATGTAATTATATATATATATTTGCAAAGACACAGCTTTTTTGCATTCCCTGCTTTTCTGAGGATAGATTCCTCTCACCACTGCCTGAGGGAGAAGCAGTTCTATGCATACTCAAGTACTCAGACTGTTCACTCACCTGAAGTGCACATATACCTGCAAAAACAGTCTGCAAAGAGACAAAAGGGAAAAAATTTCAAACATATGCCCATTTAAGAAAAATGTTTTCACAAGAAGTTGAAAAACAAATCAAATGAGCCAAAATGAAAACCAAATTTTTTCCATGGCATCAAAATCAAATTTCCAAAGCTGGGGCATGCCAATAGCAGAGGCCACATGGGCCCAGATGCCATCCTACCTACCTTAGACTTTGGAAGGAGAAAAACAGTTTAATAGTCACAAACAAAGACCAACCTCACAGAACTTAGCATATGTTAACAAATAATGGTTGAAAACAAACTCTTAGAAAGTGACCTAAAGGAAAGAATTAAAATTCTGGACAAGAAGCGAGTTCCAGAGCAGCCTGCCACTTTGGGAACCTCAGATGCTGGAAGGAGAAAAGGGAAGTTACTTTGCCATAATGGTTCAGAAGTCATCTCTGACCAAGCAAGGCTGGAAGGTTGCCACATGGTCTCACACACCAAACAAAAATAAGGGAAGGGTCTAACTAGGACTCAGAGAGCAAACAAACAAAAACCACTTACTCTCACAAAGATTTCCATAAAATCAAACTTCTGAAATAGTAAATAGAAATTAAATGCACACATAGAAACAGAGAGTGGAGTGCATTCAGGATGTCAGGGGTGGCCCAGAGCATCATTCATTGCCAGCCTGGACCCCAACTACTGCACCAGCCCCGCCTGCTTGGCTTGGCCATGTACTGCACCCTACATATGCACACCTGCACACAAGTACACTAGGTCTGCAAAACTAACAGTAGTAGGGAGTCAGGAGAACTCTTGGAAGTGCTTGCTTCTTTCCCCTTGCATGTAGTCTTGGAAACAATAGCAATAACAGTGGTGCATATAAAGCCCAGCTTAATGATTAACAGCAAATCATTATTCTCTATCCCTATCCCTACCAACCACTTTTAGTCCATTGTTTCAGAAGTACAGTGGCCACAAAGCAGAACAGTTGCTGGACCATGAACAGAACAGTCAGATCCAGTTTGTGGGGCATCCTTCTCAAGAAGAACCCTAAGCTTACTACAACCTCATCTTCATTATACTGTGATCTCCATGCATGGGTTGGATTTGTCCTCCATTTTCAGAACACGCACTGCATGAAGAGTTCTCCTACTGAGGCTACGCAAGGTGACTTAAAAAAACCTCTCCCTTCCCCCCCATGTATCAATAGAATAAATGATACATATTCTATGTATCAATAGAATAAAGTCACTCTTGTGTTAGGCCCCTTGTGGTTTATTCAAGAGAGAGGCCAATTGTTCCTCTAAGAGATACTCACCCTTGAGGTCTCCCTGGAACTTTCTGTCATTCTGTAGCTTCAATAAATCTTAGCTTCAAAATTAACTGCCACGGTTAGAGTCCTCATTGCATTATTCAGTAAGGAAATCAAAAGCCCAATTCCACCAGATGGTAACAGTAGGATTCCCAGGAGTACAAGTAGAAGATATGAACGAGACATTTGTGTCTGATATTCATCTTTAGAAGCTTCTGGCCCAGTGGCAGGATGACAGTATATGCACATTTAAGAATGGTTCCATTGGAAAGGTATGTTTTTGAAAATTATTTATTAAACAACTAGTATATCCATAATTATTACTCATGTTAGATGTATGCTAAAAGAAATAAATACCATACCCAGCTTCAACGACCTACAATACTTTGGTATGAAAGCATACACATATGCATTAAGAATAATTGAATAATAATAATTGAATAATAACTGAATAATTGAAAAGTCAATTTAAAATGATTGCAAATTGAGGCCTCCCTGGTGGTGCAAGGGATTAAGCAATGCACTATGAAGCAATCAGCAGCCAATGCAGCACAAGTTCGACCCCCGGCCAGGGAGCAACCCACATGGAGCAGCGGACCTCTCCTGACTCGCCCACTGCTCCCCTCAGCAGTGTATTTCAGTCAGTCTGCCTGTTCTGTTCCCCGCTCTGTCTCTGGTGAATCCTCTCACCCCCCTGTATCTCTGGCCTATACCCCAGCTCCTGTATGCATAAATAAATAAATCTTTAAAAAAACTGCTAATTGCAGCACAGGCTAATTTGGAGCACTGAGGTTAAATCAACAGGTTAGTAGGAATGAAAAAGCAATTGAGGAACACCCTTCAGAGATCTGGAAGGTAATGAGGGACAAAGACCACAAATAGGAAAAAGAAAAGGATTTCAGATGGGAAGCACAATTGATGAGGCTCTAACATAGAGCATAAATTTTAAAAGTAGATACTGAAGGCCATAGCCAAGAAAAAGACAATATTATCAGTGACTTGGGGAAGATTTTATGTAAATGGTGAGATGAATGTAGAACAAGGAAGATGCAACCTTTATCCTTAAGAAGCACAGAACCTAATGATGGGATGAATAAGATCAATTTTTTGATATTGAAAAAAAAGAAATCTACAAGTAAATAAAGTGTGTCATTCTTACTTTCCCATTAGTGAGGAAGGATTGCAATGTTATCGCACTCTCCAACCTTCACATCCCAGCAGAACATTTGGGTAATGGTCCATGGTTCTAAGAGGAGACCAGGGTGAACATCTTTCTTATAAAGAAAGCTTAACTCAAAATTCTTTGTTCTGTCTTGGAGAACGATGCCTTACGGAGCTCACTGAGCGACACCTGAGTGCTTCTCTCTACTGTGAGTTCGCTGGTGATAATTAAAAGTTGAACGCTGACTGAAGGCTTTGCCACACTCAATACATTCATAAGGTTTCTCTCCAGTGTGAACTCTCTGGTGTACAGTGAGTTGTGAGCTGTCACTAAAGGCTTTCCCACAGTCATTGCATTTATAGGGTTTTTCCCCAGTGTGGGTTCTCTGGTGGACCATAAGGCTAGAATTATGACTGAAGACCTTCCCACACTCATTACATTCATAAGGTTTCTCACCAGTATGAATTCTCTGGTGTATGATGAGGTATGAGTTTTGATTGAAGGATCTTCCACACTCATTGCATTTATAGGGCTTTTCACTTGTGTGAAGTCTCTGATGTCGAATAAGACATTTGCTCAGGCCGAACGCCTTCCCACACTCATTACATGCAAAAGGCTTCTCTCCAGTATGAATTCGCTTGTGGTCAACAAGTTGAGAGTTCTGATTAAAGGCTTTCCCACACTCGCTACATTTATACGGTTTCTTTCCGGTGTGAAGGCTCTGATGTCGAATAAGACATTTACTCCGACTGAAGGCCTTGCCACACTCATTACACTCATAAGGCTTCTCTCCAGTGTGGATTCTCTGATGGTCAGTTAGATTTCTATTAGAACAGAAAGCTTTCCCACACTCATTACACTTGTAAGGTTTCTTACCAGTATGAAGCACCTGATGTCGTATGAGATTTTTATTCCGACTAAAGGCTGCTCCACACTCATTGCATTCATATGGTTTCTCCCCAGTATGGGTTCTCTGATGGTCAAACAGTTTGGAACTCTCATTGAAAGCTTTTCCACATTCATTACATTTATATGGTTTCTCCCCATTATGGAGTCTCTGGTGTTGAATGAGGTGGGAGCTGTGCCGATAGGTCTTCCCACACTCTCCGCATTCATAGGGCTTTTCCCCTGTGTGGGTTCTCAGATGAACTATGAGCTGAGAGGTCTGCCTGAAGGTCTTACCACACTCATTACATTCGTAAGGTTTCTCTCCAGTGTGGATTCTCTGATGACCGATGAGGTGTGAACTCCAATTAAAGGCTTTGCCACATTCATCACATTGATAGAATTTCTGTCTCTTCAAAACTCCTTGATGTTCTGTAGGACTGGAGGACACATCTGGATGTTCTACAGGATCCTTATATTCATCCCATCCATCTTTTGTGGATTTTTTATCCTCATGTATTATTTCCAAGAAATCACTTCCCAGAGTGCTCCCTTCCTCATCTGAGGGCTGGCCTTCCCGCTTGTCTAAAGCATCTTCACAGGCATCTCTAGACTCTGGTTCTTCAGGAATCACCCCATAGACTCCTCCTGATGTTCTACCACATGACTCTGATCCATTAGAAATGTTCTGCTTGGAAGGTAACTCTGACCTCTCCATCCTGTTCTCACCTGCTGCCAAAAGAAAGAAACAACCTTATTTCTTTCAAGTCCTGTTGAAAATCATTGGGAGTCTATATATCTGAGTCTATGTATCTGAAAAAACAAAAAACTTCACACTATGGATAAGGAATGAGGTGACACCTTGAAAACAGGAGAGACAATGGGAAAAAGCTCATTATTTTACTGCACAAAGGCAAAGAGGGGGAAGATGATCTGAAGAGGAGGGTGGAAGAAGTGCTAACAAAACAGACAAATATTGAGCTAGTATAGCCAAGTGAGAGGGACAACTAGAAGACACGAGACAAGATTGTAAAAAATGGCATGATCTGGGGCCTCCCTGGTAGCGCAAGGGGTTAAGCACAGCACTGTGAAGCTATCTGCAGCCTCTGCAGCACAAGTTCAATCCCCAGCCAGCCAGGGAGCTACCCACATGGTGCAGCAGACCTCTCCTTTCTTGCCCGCTGCTCCCCTCAGCAATGTATTTCAGTCATTCTGCCTGTTCTGCTCCCCACTCTCTCTCTGGTGAATCCTCTAACCCTCCCCTGCCCCCAAACCTCTGGCCTGTACCCCAGTTCTTGCATGTATAAATAAATAAATCTTTTTTAAAAAATGGCATGATCCTACAGCATCACTTAAATGCTGTGTCTCCTTATAAAATGATAAATTCTAAGCTCCTTTCAAACCATAACTCTGTGTGGCTCTATGGCTTACAGATAAAATGTTGGAGAGAGAGAGTGGTAGCAAATATCTCAATTCAAAAATGAGAAACTGTGGGTAAACATAATTAGGGAAACATGTACAAAAAAGAGGAATTCTGATATGACAGCATTGTGACAACATTTGGATAAGCCATAGGCTTATGAATGCTGAGAAAGAGTAGTGAAGGGAACCCAAGAAGTACACTGAAAGTGGGGATCCACTATCACCTAGAGCCTGAACCTGTAGAAGGCAGTGTTGCACTCCTATGAAAACCAAGAGGGGCATTTATTTCAACTTTTGAAGTAAAAATCAAAGTATGTTTATGGTATCTTGATAATGTAGAGTGATAAGGAAACAGTTGAATATTTGCTTATGAATTTTGGAACCTTTGACCACAAAAGCCGGGAGAAAGCAGAGTAATCAAGGTCATAGATAAACATACAAAAAAGTTGATTCCCTTCAGTCATATCTTAACAAGGGTGATAAGCCATCACAGCATTTTACCATATGGAATGTAAAGATACCTGGTTTCTTGCCTCCTACTCACACCTTCATCAGAGTAGGCTATTATCCTGGATGTGTCAATCACAGAACCTCCCTTACCCCCAGAACCTCCAAGGAAAGTAACCCATCCCAGTCTTTGCAGACAGGAAAGCTGAGGCAGCCATGTTTGTGCCTAAACCTAAGCTCACCCCACAATGAAACACAGATCACTCAACCAAGGCAAGGCCCTAGACCCAAGTGTAACTATGTGTACATTAGTTAATCACCAACCACTTCTGTGGTCAGGATAAAGGTTCTGCCAAGAAATGACACTTAATGGCTGAACCACCCTTGGAGTGCCTATAAGTAAATTCTGAACTGTAAGAGATGCAAAATGAGGGAAATTACAGTACAAGCAGGAGTTAAATATGAACTGATATATGGAGAGAAGCAAAATCACTCAGTCACAGGAAGCAGAAAATATGTGGGAACAGAAAGTCTAATTAGGGAGGAGTGATTAGGGGGATAAAAGATAGAGAATAAAAGGGGGGAAACAGATACATAGGACACAACTGCATTACATGTGCAGTTAAAATATTATTTGTCTTTACTGTTAAGGCTTCCATAATCTCTATTGCCGCAAGGCTATTTCCTAAATTCTGGTCTAGTGGGTTGGTGTGTACAACTTTTCCATTTCTTTAGCATTACTGTACATAACATTGCTGATTATTACAATTACAAATGGATTGTTCTATTCCTTACAACTATAAACTCTAAACCATCCTAGGTCAATGATTAACATAGTGATCATTAATCCGTTATCAATAGATAACTGATAAAGCTGATGAAAAATACAGAAAGGGTCACTAAATCTTTCTTTTTACTTTGTCAATGTTTACAATTTCTCATGTTAAAAAATTTAAAAGAAAAAGAATATAGCAACAAAAAGGTAAAGAAAGCAGACTCCACATTACAGGGAACCAAAACCATTACCCAATAAAGCCAAATGGAATGCTGCAGACACCTGGAATGACAAGCTTTTACTGCTCAGGGACATTCCCAGCCTGAAGGCCAGAGTCATCAGGGCTACCAAGGGCACAGGGGAAGGACCCCAGAGGGCAATGGACTCGGGCAGGGAGAGAAGCTGGGATGTGACAGAGTAAAGAACAAGTCCAAGGCAAAAATGGAGTCCATGAACTCAGCAGGCAGGACCCAGTCCAGGGAAAGGCTGGAAAGGCTGGAAGGCCGCAGGCTGAGACAGGAGCAGTCTCCTGTTTCCCACAGCCCTGAGGAAGAGCTGCAGCTAGGCCTGAGCCACGGCCTTGGGAACTCAGCAGAGACACAGAGAACCAGGCCTGACCATCTGAGGCACAGCAGCTGCTGCTTGGTCTCCTAAGTCCCCAGCTTGGGGAAGGGCAGGCTCTAGGGAAGCACAGTGAGCTGAGGGAGGAAAGAAAGCTGTGAGTGGGACAAGCCCTGTCCTTGTTCCTGTAAGGTCTGTGTCCCCAGAGAGTGTGTGCAGAACCAGGGAGCTGCACACACTGCACACTCTCATCCCTTTTCCCCAGAGTACCCAGCATGCTGTGAACTTCCCTGGGGCACCTAAAGCAGTCCCTGGCCAAACTGAGTCCTCCCAGTCCTCAAACCTCTCCCAGGAGGAGCCTTCAGCCTCTCTCAAGGAAGCAACACTTCCCACCACTTTCTCTCTCCCGTGCACCAGCCTAATCTGATTTTTCTCTCACCTATCTGGCCCCATGTTACCCGGTTTCTCTTCCTTCTGCACTAGCATTAATGGAGACTCCAGTCGTTCCAATCTCATTGGCTCCTTTTCCTGTCAGAGGTCGCCCACTGCTCTAATGCTGCACCCACTGTACCTAGTTCTCTTCACCCGTATCACAAGCATCCAGGTGCCTACTGGACATCTCACATGGTGGTCCACAGTATCACTGTCTACAATGCATATTCTGACCATTTACTTTCCTATTTCCCAGGATCTGTAAATGGTTTCCAGACATCAACTTACTTTTTTTTAATCCTTTTTTTTTTAAAGATTTATGTTATTTATATGAGCACTGGGGTACAGGCCAGAGGCGCAGGAGGGTGAGAGAAACCACCAGAGACAGAGTGGGGAGCAGAACAGGCAGAAGGGCAGAAATACACAGCTGAGGGGAGCAGCGGGCGAGACAGGAGAGGTCTGCCACGCCATGTGGGAATCTTCCTGGCCAGCCAGGAATTGAACTGGCACCGCGGAGGCTGCAGACAGCCTCACAGCACTGCACTCAACCCGCTGCACCACCAGGGAGGCCCCAGACATCAACTAAATTCCTTCTTTCCTTTCTTCAAACTCACAACCTTCTGCTCTTCCTATCAATGCAAGATTCAACATAACCATATTAGAATCCCAAGGCTCTTTGTAAATATCAAGCTGATAATAAATTCATATTAAACTCAAGAGTTCCAATACAGTCATAAGAATCTTGAAAAATAAAAAATAACTTGGAACTTATATAAATATTTCAAACCTAAATTTACAATTTTCTATACAAAGCAGCAGCGTACTAAAGAACACTGACATCGGTGAAACAGATTAAGACCAGAAATAAAACTTTAAGTCCACAGTCAGCTTTTTTTCAAAAGTGGGACCTTCCAAATCCCACAACTCTGAAGCAAATTTGAAGAAATCACTACCTCCAGCCATGACATAAGCCAGAAGCCCACACACCCTCCATTCCCTAGACACCAACACCTGGTCAGTGTCTCCTTGACTCACAAGCCCACCCAACACTGTCAAAATACACGCAACTATGAGCGGCTGGGAGAGGCACAGCAGCAAATACGCCTCATGCAGCTGAAGGAAGACACTGCAGCCTGCTCCAAGGGCCACACAGAGACCAGCAGAGAACTGCACTGGGGGCCGTGCACGCGGACGAGGCTGCCAGAGTTCTGACAGAGAAATGAAGCGCCGTGGTGGATAAGGGGTATGGGGAAGAATAAGTGCTCAGAGAACACGAAAGCAAAGGAAAATGAGAGAAGTGATAAAGTACTGAAGGCTTATAACAGAGCCAGGAAGACAAAACGCAACACAGGAAGACTGAAGAGGAACAGGCACTTCAGGGGCAAAGGGGGGCAGGCTGCAGTCTTGCTGAGCTCCAGCAGCACAAACAGGAAGCAGAAACAACCGCTCAGGAGGAGGCTGAAAGGGAGAGACTTGCACCTGCAGAACAGACTGGAGAAGAGAAGCAAACCTGAAGGATGGAAGAACTAGAATGCCTCTCAGGGTGAAGAGAATCTGGCAGTGAGGCTAAAGCCAATGCACTTGAGTCCAGAGGGAGATCTTTTGAGGAAAAGCATCCAGCAGGAAGTATAAATGACCCTGCCCTATGTCAGCAAATTGAGAAAGACCCACAGCGAAGTTACCACCGAAGGAAGCCTCCAAACTGGCATGATCAGAAGCAGTCGCCGCGGAAATGTCCAAAGAGGTCAGTGCGGTATTTGCAAAGAAGCAGAGAACAACCACAAATAAAAATGAGGGCCCCTGCCGGCATATGGCAAAGGCGTCCAGGCCTTCTGTCAAAGAAAGGGTTAGCCCAGCCCCTGCAACCAACAACACAGAGAAAGTTAAAGACCTCTGGGGCTTTCGAATGCTGAATGAAAGAGTCAGAACAGAGGGAAGAGACAGGGACCCATGAGCTGAACCTGCCCAATTAAAGGCAGGCATCCTAGCGCTCAGGATTCCTCTGAAGTTCCAACTAGCTTTTGAAGACAGAAGAAAAGCTTCATTTATCAACCTGGGCCCCGGGGCCCAGCAATCTGCACTGGAGCAGGTCTTCTCTCTCTCTCTACTGATTACAAAGAAAAGGCAATAACTTTACAGTAGATGGAGATGAAGATCACAAGTAATAAGACACATATGCCATGGGCCTCCCCGGTGGCACAGCAGTTGAGCGCTGGGTTGCGAAGCTGCCCGCAGCCTCTGCAGCACCGGTTTGATCCCTGGCTGCTCCCCGGCCACAGCCACCGGAGGAGGGTCCCACATGGCGCGCAGACCTCCTGCCGCCCGCTGCTCCCCTCAGCAGTGTACTTCGGTCCTTCTGCCTGCTCTGCTCCCTGCTCTGGCTCTGGTGAATTCTCTCACCCTCCCGCACTTCTGACTGTACCCAGTGCTTGTATAAATAAATAAATAAATCTTTAAAAAAAAAAAAAAAGGACATATGCCATCAACATCACTCTCATGCCAAGCTGGGGGGAAACATCTGACAAAACCAAATTGAGGCTCATTCAAAAAATATAAAAGCATCAAGATCATGAAAAACAAGGAGAGGCTGTCACAGACTGAAGGAGATTAAGGAGGGGTGCCAGCTAAATGGAACAAGGGGCTCCAGATTGGATCCTGGAACAGAAAAAGGACATTAGTGGAAAACTGATGACTGAGTAAAGTCAACAGTTTAACTATAGTACTGTTCCACTGTAAATTTCTTAAGCTGGATGACTGTCCTATGGTGATAGGTGGAGATACTAACTTTTTGGCAAGTGGGGAAAGAGCCTAAGGGAATGCTGTTAAGTATACAATTATTCAAAATACAAAGGCTTTAGAGTAAAGCAGTTTGAGCTGTTATCATTCTCATTCTATTTTAGATGTTAAGGATTAATTGGCAACCAAGGATATTAAAGTCTGTCAAATCTTCTCTCCAGTTTGGATTCATTCTTTCATTAATTCAACCAATATTTATTGAGCACCTACTACTGTACTGCAGGTATGAAAGTCTCAGGAGTAAATAGAGAGCGCTATAACAGATGATGAAATAAATAAAATATATGGCACGCTAGACAGTTAGGGTGATATAGTCTATCAAAACCAAGAAGGAGACCTAGTGGTCTCAGTTCAAGGAAGGAAAAGTACAAGTTCAAGAATTCAAGCTTTGGGCCTCCCCAGTGGCGCAGCGGTTGAACGCTGGGTTGCGAAGCTCCCTGTGGCCTCTGCAGCGCCTGTTCGATCCCCAGCTGCTCCCCCGCCACCGGAGGAGGGTCCCACATGGCGTGCAGACCTCTCCTGCCGCCCGCTGCTCCCCTCAGCAGTGTCCTTCGGTCCTTCTGCCTGCTCTGCTCCCCGCTCTGGCTCTGGTGAATTCTCTCACCCTCCCGCGCTTCTGACTCTACCCAGTGCATGTATAAACAAATAAACAAATAAACAAACAAACAAATAAATAAATAAAAATACATGCCTCTTTAAAAAAAATAAAAAAAGAATTCATGCTTGGAGAACTTGTCTTGATTCACCTGAGGGAGCTCACATTGTTACTAACATTACAATATAGAGACTGGGGCCTCCCTGGTGGCCAAGGCGTTGAATGCAGTGGCCTGAATTCGATACACCCACCCCCCAAACCACCAGGGAGCTAACCCACATGTGCCACAGCAGATCTTTCCTGTCTCACCCATCACTCCCCTCGGCAGTGTTTCAGTAAATCTGCCTGTTCTGCTCCCCACTCTATCTCTGGTGAATCTTCTCACACACAAACCCCCCACACCGCTGCCCTACTCCCCAGTTCTTCTACGCATAAATACATAAACAGTCCTTTTAAAAAATAGTAATACTGTATAGAGACTGCAAAATTATGAAAGTTAAATATGATTTCACTCTCAAGCAACTAACTCTGGCATCCCAGAAGGCTTAGGCACCAATACCTCCTTGGATACCAGAATCCCAGAAAACTTAATGGAGGTAGAGCCCATATATTTCACATTATTTCATGTGTCTATTTTCCCTTTTAAGTACATATTGAATTTTATCTTCAAAACATTCCCAAATTTGTCTGCATAGCATTAGCATTCATATAACAGCTAAGAAAAGCCTCATCATTACTTCGTGGATAGCACAGATACACATGTGTGCAAGAGCTGGAAGTTTCCTGAAATTCTTTCATCAAATTACAGCTAAATGGGCCTCCCTGGTGGTGCAAGGGGGTAAGCACAGCACTGTGAAGCTATCTGCGGTTCCCCCCTGCCAGTCACAGAGCAGCCTACATAGTGCAGCAGATCTCACCTGTCTTGCTGCTGCTCCCCTCAGCAGTGTGTTTCAGTGGATCTGCCTGTTCTGTTCCCTAATCTGTCTCTGGTGGGTCCTTTCACCCCCCTCCCGCACCTCTGGCCTGTACCCCAGCTCTTGTATACAGAAATAAATAAATCTTAAAAAAAAAATTACAGCGAAAACCACTTGCTGACACTTTCTTGCAAAACAACCAAACCAGTATTAATGGGTTTTCAGGACTGCATTACCAAAAGTTTGAAAACGGATGGTGTTCTCATCTGACCACTGCTTTTAATTTAGAAGGAGAGCATACTAGATTCCTTAGATCCATACAAGTCAGAGGATAGTAGTATGGTTTTAGAGACAAAAGCTGTACCTTATGTTTCAACACTGTATTTTATATACTCCTTTTTCATTTTGAAAACAAAAACAATCACTCCAAAAAACAAATGTGCTATTTCCCCTACAAATGTATTTGCTTAGCAGTTACTGCTTCATGCAATGTGTAGGATGGGGGAAAAAACCTAGAGACAAATGTTTCTTTCAATTTTACCTGCCTGGGGTTAAATGCTAGCACCAATTTAGCCAATGCATAAATAAATGTGTTCTGCAAGCTGAATATTATAATTTTCAAAATGTAACAGTATGGATATACTTAGTGCCACTAAATTGTACACTTTTCAATGGTTAGAAGAGTAAATGTTTTTATATCACATCGGATGTAAATTCTTATGTATGTATATTTATCACAACATTGTTATTTTCACAGTAATGCTTTCTAAAAGTAATAGGATAATTCGTTTCCTATAAAATGGTATGCATTTTAGTTGCATAATTATGCACACATTTTTAAATGTTGGGAAGCCATCGGAGGAAAAAATTTATGGATTGCAGCTACTATTATTTTTCTTACGCTCAAGCGCGCCGTGTAATGGTTTGTAACTAGTTTCCTCTGCTTAAGAGGTGATGAGCAGTTACTCCAAATTCTCTGTACGTGGGCGCCCCGGGGTGCGAGAAGCTGGCGGATCAGAGTCAGACTAATCGGCTCAACGTGAGCCTTCAGGCTGGGTCTCCCCAAAAAAACCCGCGCCCTCCGATTACCCAGCTCCGATTACCGGCACCCGGCCCAAGCAGCTCACCCACTCCGCGGCCGCCCCACCGGGACTCCCGAAGCCACTCCGCCGCCCGGCGCCGCCGGACTCGCAGCCAGCCCTGGGCGCGCACGCGCGTCGCCGCCGGCCGCGGAGGTCTCTCTAGGAAATTGGGAGGGCCAACATCTTGCCTTCTCCCCAGCCCAAAGCCAGGCTGTCAGGTCTCTGAGCCTAGCCTGTAGGCTGGTTCCCAAACCCCTCACATTCCCAACCCTCAGCTGAACTCCCACCCTGCTGCACTCGGCGAAGCCAATCTGGGCGGGCCCCAGAGTTCCTTCATCTCGGAACAGTCTTCCCAAATCCCTCCCTATGTGTGTGCAGAGCTGCCCTATAGGTTTCCTTCCCCTAGGAATGAATAGGAGCCAAAGCAGCAAGAACAGGGGCCTCCCTGGTGGCACAAAGGGTTAAGATGCAACCTATGAAGCAATCCTCAGCCACTGCAGCACGAGTTCGATTCCCGGCCGGGGAGCTACCCACATGGCGCAGCAGACCTCTCCTGACTCGCCCGCTGCTCCCCTCAGCAGTGTATTTCACTCAGTCTGCCTGTTCTTTTCTCCACTCTGTCTCTGGTGAATCCTGTTACCTCCACACCTCTGGCCTGTACCCCAGCTCTTATATGCATAAATAAATAAATCTTTAAAAAAAATTCTAAAAAACAAAAAACAAAAACAAAGCAGCAAGAACAACAAAGGAGAAGATGAACAACTGGGACTACATCAAAGTACGGTCTGTACAGTAAAAGAAACAATAAAAAAGAAGAGACAACCTCCTGAATGAGAGAAAATATTTTCACACCATCCATCTGACAAGGCGCTGCTATGGAAGATATACAAAAAACTTATACAACTCAACAAAAAAAAAAAAAGAAAGAAAGAAACAACCCTATCAAATAATGGGTAGAAGAGCTAAATAGGCACTTCTCCAAAGAAGGCATGCAGATGGCAAACAGACATGAAAATAATGTTTATCATCACTTATCATCAGGGAAATGCAGATCAAAACCACAATGAGATACCGCCTCACACATGTGAGAATGGCCCATATTAAAAACAAAAACAAGTGCTGGAGAGGGTGTGGAGAAAAAGGAGAGGGTGTGGAGAAAAAGGAACACTCTTACATTATTTGTGGGAATATAGACTGGTCCAGCTCCCAAGAAAAGATGTGTGAAGGTTCTTCAAAACACTAAAAATGGGGCCTCCCCGGTGGCGCAGTGGTTGAGCGCTGGGTTGCGAAGCTGCCCACAGCCTATGCGGCACCGGTTCCATCCCCGGCTGCTCCCCGGCCACCGGAGGAGGGTCCCACATGGCGCGCAGACCTCTCCTGCCGCCTGCTGCTCCCCTCAGCAGTGTCCTTCGGTCCTTCTGCCTGCTCTGCTCCCTGCTCTGGTGAATTTTCTCACCCTCCCGCGCTTCTGACTGTGCCCAGTGCTTGTACGTATAAACAAACAAACAACAAACAAACAAATAAATAAATAAATCTTTAAAAAAAAACACTAAAAATGGATCTACGATATGATCTAGCAATTCCACTCCTAGGTAACTACCTAAAGAGCACAAACACACTAATGTGAAAGAAAACCTGCACTCCTATGTTCATTGCAGCATGATTTACAATAGCCAAAATATGAAAACAACCTAAATGCCCCCAAAATAGATGAGTGGATCAAGAAGACATGGTATATATACACAATGGAATATTACTCAGTGATCCAAAAAGTGGCAATCCATCACATGTTCTTCTGTTCTCACTTGGTTCAGGCCATCAGCTGCTTCTGTGTCTACTGTAATACAGTGTCTGACACATTTTTCTTGAATAGTTTTGATATTTAACTTGACTAAGGAGACTGCAGGCTAATTTCATTTCTGATGGATTTGCCATGTGGTAAATATATTCCCATGAGCCTTTGAATATCAGTGTCTTTGAATACCAGAAACTCCTATACATCTTCTATTTCTTTTTTTTTAAGATTTATTTTTATTTATTTATTTATTTATACAAGCACTGGGTACAGTCAGAAGTGCGGGAGGGTGAGAGAATTCACCAGAGCCAGAGCGGGGAGCAGAGCAGGCAGAAGGACCGAAGGACACTGCTGAGGGGAGCAGCGGGGTGGCAGGAGAGGTCTGCGCGCCATGTGGGACCCTCCTCCGGTGGCGGGGGAGCAGCTGGGGATCGAACCGGCGCCGCAGAGGCTGCAGGCAGCTTCGCAACCCAGCGCTCAACCGCTGCGCCACCGGGGAGGCCCTATATCTTCTATTTCTTACTGCACATTTCACTTGGATCTCCCTCACCACTTTAAACTCCATGTTTAAAATTCATCTTCTTTTCCTATAAAATCAGTGGTCTTTCCTTGTGCCACAGTTCAGACTTCAGCATTTTCACAGCTACCTGCCATAATTGTGAGTCCTTCCCTCCCTCCCTCCCGCCCATTATCCCTTGAGATTGTCTCCTGCATCCTCCCTTTGTTTCCCACGACCCCAGTTCAGACAATAGTTGTCTCATGTTTACTCTATGACATTTACTTCCTACTAAGAGTTTTCTCACTCAGTTTTTTTTTTTACTGTACCAAAGAGCAGGAAGAGAGGGACATAGGTAAGATGAAAAATATATGATGAAAACAAAAATTTCAAATCGTCCTATTTCTCTGCAAAGCGGTTTCCTAAAAATTTCTCATATAGTTGTCTTTTTCTGTCCAGTAGGAGGCGCTTCTAATCCTGTTTGTGATTGCATTCTCAGGACCCTGGACAGTACCTGGTATAGCGTAAACGCTCAATAAATATGTGTTGAAAGATTGTCAAACTTACAAGCACCTCTGCACCTATCAGCACAGTTTTAAAATATACAAGGTAAACACAGAGTGAGAGATCAATCCATTTCCCTAGGAAACATGTCAAGCAAACAGCAAAAACAAGAAAGTACTTTTCCTCCCAATGAAAAGTTAATGAGGGAGGGCCTCCCCGGTGGCGCAGCGGTTGAGCGCTGGGTTGCGAAGCTGCCTGTGGCCTCTGCGGCGCCGGTTTGATCCCCGGCTGCTCCCCGGCCACCGGAGGAGGATCCCACATGGTGCGCAGACCTCTCCTGCCACCCGCTGCTCCCCTCAGCAGTGTACTTCGGTCCTTCTGCCTGCTCTGCTCCCCACTCTGGCTCTGGTGAATTCTCTCACCCTCCCGCGCTTCTGACTGTACCCAGTGCATGTATAAACAAAACAAACAAACAAATATAATAAATAAATAAATAAAAACATGCCTCTATAAAAAAAACTATTAAAAAATAAATAAAATTAAATTAAAAAAAAGTTAATGAGGGATTTTTACCAGCTATATTTCTTGAATTAAAAAATTAACATGCATTGCTTATACAAAAGGTATTAAGGTTAAAACAGATAAAATATACCTGTGACTAGAGAAGTTTTCCCAGAAAGAGGGTGAGACACCAAAACTCTTCATTCACTTCCTCCCCAGAGCTTCTAGATTTCCCTCTCACCCACTTACACATGTGGGAAATCAAAAACCTTCAGTGAGTGACCTTTGGCCACATCTTTTCAAAAGTGAGTGTCACCTGAAATGGATGCAGAAGGGCACACGGATTATATATAGCTAACCTAGAGATCACATCATTGTCTTTTCTTAACTCTCTACAGCTTACAAGAGGAAATAACATGAACTGAAATAATCTCTCTCTCTCTCTCTCTCTCTCTCTCTCTCCTCTCTCTCTCTCTCTCTCTCTCTCTCTCTCTCTCTCTCTCTCTCTCTCTCTCTCTCTCTCTCTCTCATCTCTGAACATTTGTTTGTGTTTGCCCCTCTCCTCCTATACATGTCTAAATTCTACTTCAAGGCCCACCTCAATGCTGTTGGCTTTCAGGCTGCATCTGGTACTTTTCAAGATCAATCCCTCCCTTGGTTTACTGAACTTCTCTTATGCCAAGAATTACATATTGACATTGTTAGTCACTGGTATCTGCCTGCCCTTTGACTTTGACATTTCCAAGGTCCAGCTCTTACTCCCCTGTCTCCCTCCTACAGTCCGAAGTTTCTTGCATAGAAGGATATAAAATCAACATGCAAAAGTCAGTAGCCTTCCTATACACAAACAATAAATCTGAAGAAGAAGAAATAAAAAAAAATCCCTTTTATTATTGAAACAAAAAAAATCAAATACTTGGGAATAAATCTAACAAAAGAGGTAAAGGACCTATACAAAGAAAACTATAAAGCACTGTTAAAAGAAATAGAAGAAGACACAAGGAAATGGAAAGACATCCCCTGCTCATGGATTGGAAGAATAAACATTATTAAAATGGCCATCCTACCAAAAGCAATATACAGATTCAATGCTATTCCAATCAAAATTTCAATGTCATTCTTCAAAGAAATAGAACAATTATTGATGAAATTCATATGGAATCACCAAAAACCCCAAATAGCCAAAGCTCTCCTGAAAAAAAAAGAAGGGAATGGAGGCATCACACTCCCAGATTTCAAACTATACTACAAAGCCATAATCATCAAAACTGCATGGTATTGGAACAAGAACAGACACACAGACCAATGGAATCGAATAGAAAATCCAGAAATAAACCCACAGATTTATGGACAACTAATCTTTGACAAAGGAGCAAAGAATATGCATTGGAGCAAAGAAAGTTTGTTCAATAAATGGTGCTGGGAAAACTGGGTCGCTACATGCAAAAGAATGAAGCTTGACTACTACCTAACACCATGCACAAAAACCAACTCAAAATGGATTAAAGAACTAGACATAAGACCTGAAACCATAAAATACATAGAAGGAAACATAGGCGAAACACTACATGATATGCACATCAAAGACATCTTTATAGACACATGACCCAAAGCAATGATAGTGAAGGCAAAGATAAACAGCTGGAACTACATCAAATTAAAGAGCTTCTGCACAGCAAAAGAGACAATAACAAAAACAAAGAGAAATCCCACTGACTGCGAGAACATTTTTGCACACAACACTAATGATAAAGGACTGACCACAAAAATCAATAAAGAGCTGATGAGACTCAACAAAAACAAAGAAAATAATCCAGTCAAAAAATGGGCAGAAGAGCTAAAAAACTTCTCTGAAGAGGAAATGCAAATGGCCAATAGGCATATGAAAAAAAGTTCAACATCACTTGTAATCAGGGAAGTGCAAATCAAAACTACCATGAGATACCATCTTATACCAGTGAGAATGGCACATATTAAAAAAACTAGCAACAACAAATGTTGGCGAGGTTGTGGAGAAAAAGGAACTCTCCTGCACTGCCGGTGGGAGTGCAAACTAGTCCAACCACTATGGAGAGCTGTGTAGAGATTTCTTGACCTACTAAACATAGAGCTTCCATATGATTCAGCAATTCCACTCCTAGGTATTTACCCAAAGGACACAGAAACATCAATTCCAAAGAACACCTGCACCCCTATGTTTATAGCAGCACTATTTACAATAGCTAAGCTTTGGAAACAACCCAAATGCCCAAAAATAGATGACTGGATCAAGCAGATGTGGTACATATACACCATGGAATATTAATCGGCATTCAAAAAAGATAAACACAAGCCATTTGCAGCAACATGGATGGCGCTGGAAGGGATCATGCTCAGTGAAATAAGCCAGAAAGAAAAAGAAAAATACCGGATGGTCTCACTCATAGCAGGAATCTAGAAAACTTAAATAAGGGACCAGGAAAAAGAATAACTATAAGAAAGAAAATATCAAAATCAACAAACAACTATGAACCAGAGACACTCTATGGGGGTTGGGGGGCAGGGAAAGGAGGGCTTGGGGTCAAAATAAGGGGGTTGTAATTGTATGGGGAATATAAAAATAAAATGTAAATTAAAAAAATGTTTCTTACATAGATATCTTTGTTATATCTATATAGTGCTTAATAGGACACATAATACTCCTGTCTCTGAGGGTAAGCACACATGGATTGTTTTTGGGGTTTTTGTTTGTGTGTTTTTGTATTTCACAAATTGTAAGACTCAGTAAATATATAACTTGTCCAAAGTCACAAATCCCAGCAAGTAAGTGGCAGAGCAAGGTTTACTGTATTCACAGACTAGAAATTCCAGAATATGCTTGAGATGCTTCTGTAATAAATTTGGATTTCAAATATGAGGTATATGAGTATTCCAAGAATACTCAGAATCTGAAAGACTACAACCTCAAGTTTGTTATTTCGAAGACCAAAACTGTGCTTTAGGAGAATCAAGACCCCAAACACTAGTTCAGAAAGAGACTCTAGAATGGGGGGCAGGAGACCTGGGTTCCTTTTCCACCAGCAGTCAACTCAGACACTTAAAGAACAGAGGAATGAATAAGGGCAAGAAAGACAGCACCTTGCGACTGAAAGCAGAGTGGGAGGTTCATAGACTTGAATCCAAGGTGACATCCTTGCCTTTCGGCCAGTAAAATGTTATTTGGCTAGCAGGATGTTTGCCAAGCCTCAGAATCGTCACCTGCAAACTGAAGATCCTGTTTTCACAGAGGTACTGTAAGTGCAAAGCAGCATAACATATATAATGGATGTTCCTAAGCATGAAACAGTTCTGAGAAATAACTCAGGCTTGTTTTCTAAATCCTTGTGTCTCCTGCATATGAAGTACCCAGAGCTGCAGGACAACCCATGAATTCCAGAGTTAACATTTGCCTCAGCCTTACAAGATTTCCTATTCGGGAGCCATAAATCTTTGAGGTCTTAATGAACCAATGGGCTACACTCAGTGTCAATATCAGGCACAGGCCAGGACCAAATAGCCAAGACCTCCCTGAATGGTTTTCAGATGTAGAGGGTTGCCTTAATATCAAGAGTGCACTCATTACACTCAGTGGGCAAAGACGGGTCCAATGGACCTTCTTCAAGATATTAAAATTTCTGATGCCTTTATTTCTGTCCTGACTTGTGCAGAGACATGAAGGACACATGTCAAATCCAAAAGTAGCCCCAAAATATGCTTGGGATATTACTGATCCTTGGACAACCCAGGAGACTTACTTTGAACCCTGTAAATGACCTACCTGTTGGTCTGTGAGAAAATATATACATAGTTAAGATACACAAATTATTAGAAAGTGGTTCCTCTTATCTTCTGCCCTTCTGTAATCGTCATTACAGATGATCATTCATGGTCATTACACCCAGAAATTGGGCCTCCAGGGCCTGCTTAATACCACTAGCAGTAGGAACCTCTTTACACCTGCTTCTATATGCAACACACTCTAAGATGAAGTCCCTGAGTAACACCTACCTCCCAGATACTAGACAACTACATCTAGATTATGTTGTCCCCATACTGGCCCTCTTTAGGGTACTAGAACATCCATGCTGAGACATGGGGCCTCTTGGAAGCGCTTGTTTCTTTCTCCTGGCGTGTAGACTCAGAAACAAGAACACCAACAATAGTGCATATAAATCATAGCTTAATAATTAACAGCAAATCATTATTTACTCTCTGTCCCCACTAATTTCTTTGTTTTAGTCCATTGTCTCAGCAGTCCAATGACGACAAAGCAGAACTGCTGCTGGCACACAGACAGGTCATACCCAGTTTGAGGCTGATGTGTCTTGAGAAGAATCCTGACCCTACTCAGACTTTGATCTCATTATAATAGTGAGACCTCCACCTCTGGGTGAGATCTGTCCTCCATTTTCTGAACATGTGCTGCAAGAAGAAACTAGTGCCACTACAGCAGCTGCACAAGGCTACTCCAAAACCTCCTCCCTTCTCCCTCCCTTGGCCCAACCCCAATGTAGCTTAATGAGATCCCTTGTGTTAGGTTTCCTGGGGCCTATGTAAGAGAGACACTGGTGTTCAGAGAACCACTCACCCTTGGGGTCGCCCTGGAGCTTTCTGTCACTCTATTGCTTTAACAAATCTCAGTTTCAATATCAATTACTTTTGTAGGAGGCCTCATTTCATTCTTGAGTGAGGAACTTAAGAATGCACTACTCCTGGTCCGTAACAATGCTGTATTAGGAAAGATGAATCAAATCTATAAACAGAAATATCACAGTCTTTTTGGTGGGCCTGTTTCTTCACAGAGATTGGATGAGCAAAGCTTGTGATGTCTGCTCATTTCTTGGAGACTCAGAGCGGGTTGAAAATGCCCCGGGCCATCACACATATTGTAACTGAATGAATGCTCAGGACAAATCAGGCCTTCTGCTCCGTCGTGTCAATATGTTACCCCATTCAGCACTGGTAGTCCTGTGCGGGACACGCTAGTCTCTGCCTTTGTCAGATGATAAAACAGCTTCAGAAATTGGCATCTTTCTCAAGGTTATCCGGAGGGGAAGGGGCAAAGGTGGGGATACGCGTGGGTCACAGGATTCGCATAGTCCGCAAGCTGGACACGCGCAACCTAAAACCTCACTTGAGGTGCCACTGCCGCTCCCAACGCGAGTAGCCTCACCTAGGAATCAAAGGTCCGCGAGCCCCAGGTTTCTCGCCAGTGCTCTCGGGGGCGCGCCCCCGGCCCCCACAGGCACTTCCGGGATCCCCAGGGATCCCGGAAGTGGGAATATCTCGCTTCCGGTTCAGCCATTGTTTTTGATTGTGTCGGCGGGCGTGGAGGTGTCGCGCTCCCAGGGGTTACCGCCACTGGACCCCGAGCGCTGGCTCGGCACGGGGAGAGGGACGCTGCCCGGAGCGGGGCCGCTAGGCCCGAACTACGGCCTCCCGCAGCCCACATCGCCGACGCCGGCCCGGCCCACGCTTGGCCCCGGCGGCTGCGGCGCGGACCCTGTGACGCCGAGACGCCGCGCGCAGTAGGGCCGCATCTCGGTCCCGCCGCCCCGACCGCCCTGCAGAGCGGCGCGGAACCTGGCACCTGCGGGGACAGCGATGAGCGAAGCAGACGTGGCCAGGTGAGCGGCGCCGCAGAAACCTGATCCAAGGCGAAGTATAGGTGTTTGCCCGGCCTTGCCCTGTAGGACAGTATGAAGCGTCGGAAGTGGCTCAGTCTCGGAATTTCCAACCTGGAGTGCTGACTTGGAGAGGCGGGCTGCCAAGTGAGAGAAACTGCAGGGCGTTCGAAACAGTAAGGGGGGTAGGAAAATGGCTTGATCTTGCTACAAGTGGTGTATCTCAGAACCGAGTTTGTAGATACTTAGTTCATCTTTGTGTTTTAAAGAAGCCGAGACCTAGAGAGACATAGCTACCAGGGTACTGAGATGTATGGTGAATTGGGAGCAGAGCGCAGGTGCTGATTTTCAGTTTTACAATATTTTAACTAGTTAAGAGTCTCCCCTCTACCCTCCCCTCCTCAGTATCAACTAAATAAGACGCTCATTTACAAAATATGTACCTCTGTATGCCATGTACCAGTGTTGTGCATAAAGATGACTGGGAACCAGCTCTGCGCTTTGAGTCCTCCCAGGAAGTGGGTGAGATTGTTCTGTGAACCACAAAACATTACAGCTTGAGAAGTGCTCTAGAGGAGGTTTGAATGAAAAAGGTGCCAGTGGACTCACTGAGGCAATAATCACACTTAATCCTGGAGAGATCAGGAAAGTAGATAGGAGTAGATAAAGGTCTGTGGTATTGTTCTGATTCCACTAGGTCTTTTAGTTTGGTGGCCATCCAGCAGTTTTGGGGGGTGCAGGTGTGGAGTTGTGCATAGGCTAGTTAAAACACATCTTATAACAAGAAGGACAGAGAGGGAAGACACCTTCTCTTTTCCTTTATGGAGCAGTCAGGGACCTTCAAGAGAAAATGGTGTTTGTACTGGGTCTTGACAGATAAGTAGCAGTTTGTCAAAAATTAAAAGGAAGGTGAAAAATCCAGACAAGGAAAGAGTATGTGTGACCTCTAGCTGTGTCGCTAGGGCTTTAGTTCCAAACTTTATCGTGTATTTCTCTAACAATACTAAGTAGAAGAGTTGTGAATGTACACTTCCAACATAGGTTTCTTTGTAGATTAAAGATAGAGTCTCCTGGGCCTCCCCGGTGGCGCAGTGGTTGAGCGCTGGGTTGCGAAGCTGCCCACGGCCTCTGCGGCGCCGGTTCGATCCCCGGCTGCTCCCCGGCCACCGGAGGAGGGTCCCACATGGCACGCGGACCTCTCCTGCCAACCGCTGCTCCCCTCAGCAGTGTACTTCGGTCCTTCTGCCTGCTCTGCTCCCCGCTCTGACTCTGGTGAATTCTCTCATCCTCCTGTGCTTTTGACTGTACCCAGTGCATGTATAAACAAAACAAACAAACAAACAAACAAATAAATAAAACATGCCTATATAAAAAAAATTAAAAAAAAATAAAATAAATAAAAATAAATATATTTTCAAAAGATAGAGTCTCCTTTACAAATGCCAGTGCACACTAAAAATACACATTGAATAGGTGTTAAATAATAAATTAGTGTTTCCTTTGCACCCTTTGGGTCACCTTGCACATCCCACATTTTGAGATCATTGTTGCCTTTCTAGCCTGATTACCTGGGGAGAGTTTTAGGTGGTTGTGGCTAGGATAGAGGCCGAAGGCCAGGTTGTGAAGGACTGTGAACACTAAATGTAGACTTTTAGGTTTTATCGTATAGGTAATGGGAGCCACGGAAAGTTTAAGAAGGGAAGTCACTTGGAGAGATGCCTAGAGAGACTGCCCTGGTTGGCTTTTTTCCTGGAGCTTTGCTGTTTAACTTTTGAGTGTCATCAGCCTGGGACTGAATACTTCCGGAATGGTGATTTCTCTCTTGATGTTTCTGTAGGTGATACTTCCATCACCCCATGCCCCCAACTCTGAAAAACAGCTCCTGAAACCTGAATTATAGACCTTCATTTCAGTCTGACAAACTGCTGCTGGGACGAGCTTTTCTTTGGGATCACAATGTCCAGCCAGAGCAGGGGAGCTTTAGGTCTCATCCCCAGGGGTGCTGATCTCCAGAAGCAGGTGGGGCGCCTGACTGTGAAGCAGGAGCCAGGGAGCCAGATCTGGGGGCAGAGCTACAGTCTCCAGAAGAACCACCCCCCTGTCTGTGAAATCTTCCGGCTACACTTCAGACAGTTATGTTACCACGAGATGTCTGGGCCACAGGAGACACTGAGCCGGCTCCGGGAGCTATGCCACTGGTGGCTGATGCCAGAGGTACACACCAAGGAGCAGATTCTGGAGCTGCTGGTATTGGAACAATTCCTGAGCATCCTGCCTGGAGAGCTCCAGACATGGGTGCAGCTGCATCACCCTGAAAGTGGTGAGGAGGCTGTGGCTGTGGTGGAGGATTTCCAGAGACATCTCAGTGGACCAGGACAGGTGAGTAGTCTACTCTAGAATAGCAGGTGGAACTATTTTCTAGTCCTTGGGTTAACCTGGTTCTTCATAAGCAAATTTGTGTCACAGTGGAAGTGGTTATGTGATGTGATCTTTAAGCTCCTACCAAGAGAGTCAACAGAGAAATGGCAGTAGGATTGTAACTGTAGGTCCTGCTTTCACAATTTTCCTCCAATAGGCTTTACTGGTGATAGTGCAAAGACACTTTGGTTCTTCTTTTCCCAGACTTTCTTTCTGGGGTTGCTTGATAAAGGTTTTGGATATTCTACCTTCAGGATGCTCTTTGAACCCAGTTTTATTTCCATATCTCTAGGTCTCAGCCCCAGTCCAGGAACAGGACATGCACTTGGAGGAGACAACAGTCTTGGGCGGAACGAAGACCTCTCCTTCTTCACTCCTCAGCAAGGGTTCAGCCCCTGGAACCCACCTGATGCTTCCTCATGGCCCAGGAGCACACTGCCTCCCCAATGGGCACTCAGGTACTCACCTCCCCAGCTCTTGCCTCAAGTCATGCCTCCCTTTTCTTTGGAATCCTCTATTGCACTGACTTCTAGTGACTTTGTTCTTTTTGCTTAATCTCCAATCCTTCATGTGTTTGTCAAGCACCTGTCATGAGAAGTTACTGTTGGGAACCAGAGAGAGATGTCATTTCTGCTTTCAGATAATTTATCTAGTTAGAAAGTCAATCATAATTGCAAGAAAAGGCAACTGCATTTTAAATACATCTTATGTATTTTAAGATACATAAGAGAGATATTTGCCCCCAGGCATTTGATGCTGTCAAAGTGAGTAACATGACTTTGTAACTGGTGAGTAAGTTAATTGTGGAGTAGATGGGGCAGGGACTGCATCACTGAGGACTTAGCAATGGAATTAGATGTTGAAAAATGGGGGAGAAAGTGATATGTACTAGAGCAGATGATTTAAGCAAAACTATAAGTGGGAGTTCATTGGCCCTCATGTGTGGGGTCAGCAAGGATCATTTGGGAGCTTAGGGTCTCCTTGTGCAGGGTCTGCCATTACCCAACCTGGGATCTTAGGAGACCAAGCAGCAGCTACTGTGCTTCAATGGTCAGGCATCAGGTAAGCTTGGTTCTCTGTCTTTGCTGAGTACCCAAGTATATGGCCCAGGCATAGCTAGAGCTCTTCCTCAGGACTCTGGGTCAGTCTGAGACTGCTTTTTTTTTTTTTTTCTTTAAGATTTATTTATTTATTTATTTTATTTATACAACACTGGGTACAGTCAGAAGCGCGGGAGGGTGAGAGAATTCACCAGAGTCAGAGCGGGGAGCAGAGCAGGCAGAAGGACCGAAGTACACTGCTGAGGGGAGCAGCGGGCGACAGGAGAGGTCTGCACACCATGTGGGACCCTCCTCCGGTGGCCGGGAAGCAGCCGGGGAACGAACCGGCGCTGCAGAGGCTGCGGGCAGCTTCGCAACCCAGCGCTCAACCGCTGCGCCACCGGGGAGGCCCTGAGACTGCTTTTGTCTCAGCCTGCAGCCTTCCACCCTGATGCTGTATTAGAAACAGTATTTCAGAAAATTAATCTGGCACATGTGAGCACTGTGTATTGACTAGGGAAACCAGTGACCAGGAACCTCAGTAAGGGGCTGGCACTGGAGCCTAGATGTGAGCTGGTTGTTGTCTGAATGGGGTTCAGTGAAATGGAAGAGTGATAGGGCCTCCCCGGTGGCGCAGCGGTTGAGCGCTGGGTTGCTAAGCTGCCCGCAGCCTCTGCAGCGCCGGTTCGATCCCCGGCTGCTCCCCGGCCACAGGAGGAGGGTCCCACATGGCGCACATACCTCTCCTGCCGCCCGCTGCTCCCCTCAGCAGTGTACTTCGTCAGTCTGCCTGTTCTGTTCCCTGCTCTGGCTCTGGTGAATTCTCTCACCCTCCCACGCTTCTGACTGTACCCAGTGCTTGTATAAATAAATAAATAAACAAACAAACAAATAAATCTTTAAAAAAAAAAAAAAAAAGAAATGGAAGAGTAATATATGTGATAGAGGCTGTGAAGGAAGAGCCCATGAGACTACAGAGGAGGGGGAATTAGGGTTATGACCAATATCCAGAGTCATGGACAAAACTGGGAAAGTCAGGAAAGGAACACAATAAGTATGTGCATTTGAGACAGTGAATTGAAGGTATTGCAGGACACCCAGATGAAATGACCAATAGAGGTGTAGGGAGCTTGTGATAGCGGTGTAGGTAAACTGAGAAAATGAGAGCAGTGTTAGAGCAGTGAGCCTCAGCGTGACCTCCGACAGAAGAAAGGGAGCCTCTGAGATCAGAACGACTGGAGTCTCCATAATGCGAGTGCAGAAGGGAAAAAAACTGGGGAACAAGGGGCCAGATAGGTGAGGGAAAAATTGGACTGGGCTGGTGCTGGGGAAGCCATGGGAGAGAGAAAGTAGTGGGAAGTGTCGCTTCCTTGAGGCTGAAGGCTCCTCCTGAGAGAGGTTTGAGGACTGGGAGGACTCAGTTTGGCCAGGGACCGCTTGCAGTGCCCCCAGGGAAGTTCACAGCATGCCGGGTACTCTGTGAACAGGGATGAGAGTCAGAGTGTGCAGCTCCCTGGTTCTCCTGCACACACTCTGGGGACACAGACCTTACAGGAACAAGGACAGGGCTTGTCCCACTCACAGCTTTCTTTCCTCCCTCAGCTCACTGTGCTTCCCTAGCGCCTGCCCTTCCCCAAGCTGGGGACTTAGGAGACCAAGCAGCAGCTGCTGTGCCTCAGATGGTCAGGCCTCAGGTGAGCTTGGTTCTCTGTGTCTCTCCTGAGTTCCCAAGGCTGTGGCCTGGGCCTAGCTGCAGCTCTTCCTCAGGGCTGTGGGAAACGGGAGACTGCTCCTGTCTTAGCCTGCGGCCTTCCAGCCTTTCCAGCCTTTCCCTGGACTGGGTCCTGCCTGCTGAGTTCATGGACTCCATTTTTGCCTTGGACTTGTTCTTTACTCTGTCACATCCCAGCTTCTCTCCCTGCCCGAGTCCATTGCCCTCTGGGGCCCTTCCCCTGTGCCCTTGGTAGCCCTGATGACTCCGGCCTTCGGGCTGGGAATGTCCCTGAGCAGTAAAAGCTTGTCATTCCAGGTGTCTGCAGCATTCCAGTTCCTGTCTGTGGGCTGTTCTCAGAAGCAATGGAAAGGTCCAGCACTGAGTCAGAGTGCCTGGTACCAGAACATCATGCCAGAAAATTACCACAGCTTGGCCTTATTGGGTAACGATTTTGTTTCCCTGTAGAGTCTGCTTTCTCTACCTTTTTGTTGCTATATTCCTTATAGTTTTATTATGAAAAATTGAAAATATATACAAATAGTGAGAATAATATAATGACCTTTCTGTAGTCATCAATGAGCTTTTATTATTATCAGCATTCCCTTTATTATTGATTGACCTAGGATGGTTTAGATTTTATAGTTGTAGGGAAGAGAGCCACCCAGGTTATGTTAAGTAATGAGCAGTGATACTTACCATAATGTTAAAGGAATGGAAATGCTGTACACCAACCAACTAGACGACTTTGGGAATCAGGGCCTTCTGGAAACTGGGCCCTTGACCCAGGGCAGCTCAGAAGCCTCAGGAGCAAAAGCAAGTGAATTTTTGTGCCATTGTTGCTCCATGAATGTGACAAACTGTTCTCTTATTTTCTGTCCTCTCACTGCTACCCCATTTGCTTCACTCTGAATTTCCCGATAATCTTAATTCGACTTTTCCATTTACTCATACTTTGCTTTTTGTAGCTCCTGATAGTTTGGCTTCTCTCAATGCATCATTTCAGCTTGAACGCCCCTTCTTCATTTTGCCATTCTTTCTTTTGATTCAGAATTTACTTACCGAGACTTTAATGCTGGTACAGCCATAGAATATTTTCTCTGTTTGGGCAGAATTTTGGCCTCAGCAGTGGTTACTGCTATAGATAAACTACACTTGGTTCTAGTCCTGGCCCTGGTCTTACCACATGTGGTCTGTCAAGGGATGAATTAGGTTGCTTGGCACAAAGCTCAGTTGTTTCAGAGTCCCCTTTAGAAAGAGCAGAGTCCAGGCAATTTCCTTGAATGGACTGTTGTCAGGGAAGTTCTGTGATTGACAAGTCCAGGACAATAGCCTACTCTGGGGTCTCCTGTTTAAACATCTAGAATTTCTGCATACTAAAGTAGTGTGATGGTTTGTAGTCCTGGTCTACATTTTCACTCTTCGTGAAGGAACGTTTTCACTCTTAGTGGTTACGACTGTAGTTATTCTCCTGTCTCACAGCTTTTGTATTAAAAACATACAGAATATAAAAGCAAATATTCAGCTGTTTATTTTCCTTATAATTCCAGGTAACTAAGCTATCAGAGACATGTTTTAATATATTTAAAATTATTATTTTTTTTTTTTTTTTTTTTTAAGATTTATTATTTATTTATTTATACAAGCACTGGGTACAGTCAGAAGCGCGGGAGGGTGAGAGAATTCACCAGAGCCAGAGCGGGGAGCAGAGCAGGCAGAAGGACCGAAGGACACTGCTGAGGGGAGCAGCGGGCGGCAGGAGAGGTCTGCGCGCCATGTGGGATCCTCCGCCGGTGGCCGGGGAGCAGCCGGGGATCGAACCGGCGCTGCAGAGGCTGCGGGCAGCTTCGCAACCCAGCGCTCAACCACTGCGCCACCGGGGAGGCCCTAATATATTTAAAATTATTAATGCCGGGCCTACCCTGGTGGCGTAGCGGTTGAGTGCTGGGCTGCGAAGCTGCCCGCAGCTTCTGCAGCACCAGTTCGATCCCCGGCCGCCAGTGAGGGTCACACAAGGCGCGCAGACCTCTCCTGCCGTGCTCACTGCTCCCCTCAGCAGTATCCTCCGTCTGTCTGGCTGTTCTTCTCCCCATTCTGGCTCTGGTGAATTCTCTCACCCTCCCACGCTTCTGACTGTACCCAGTGCTTGTATAAATAAATAAATAAATCTTTTTAAAAAAATTATTGATGCCTTTCTCAATTCTGGGGAGTACAATATTGGCTGCTACAAATTCAGTGCTCTAGAGACGAAGGATTCCCACTTTTAGAGCTTTCCGCTCCCAATTCATACTTTTGCCTTAAACTGGGGGTTCCAAATCTTGTCACTATCTAGTCATTCTGAAATGCCTTCTCATACACTTTTTCTAATCATACCTTCATAATTAAAATGTCCTTTCAACCCTCATATTTGCTCCACAACGTTCCTCATATTTAACTTGAGATATGTGCTCCCTTCTTTTTCCTAAACATCTGAGACCTTGGAACCATAAAATGTGATTATTGGAAAGGGCCTCAGAGTTCATCATTTTACTGAGGAAGCAGCATCTAAGCAACTTCTGGAAGATAACACCATAATTCATAACCTGGTCTCTTGCCATCTAGTGGGCCTGCTCGCTGGGGTGTGTTGGCTGAATATTTGTCCTTGTAGCTCGTCTTCATCTGCTTCCTCTGACCTTCTTTCCCCTCTTTGTCTTTCTCTCTGTACAGTAAAATGAGCATTTTCCCATTGTTTTTCAATGTGTCCTCTGATTCCTTACTCATAATGTGAAGGTTTTTTTTTTTTTTTTTCAGATACAGAGAATCCTGATTATTCTGTGTTTTCAACAAGACAAGAAATGAGTTAAGAGTTGTTTCCTTCTTTTGGCAGCAGGTGAGAACAGGATGGAGAGGTCAGAATTTCCTTCCAAGCAGAACATTTCTAATGGATCAGCGTCATGTGATAGAACATCAGGAGGAGTCTATGGGGTGATTCCTGAAGAACCAGAGTCTAGAGATGCCTGTGAAGATGCTTTAGACAAGCAGGAAGGCCAGCCCTCAGATGAGGAAGGGAGCACTCTGGGAAGTGATTCCTTGGAAATAATACATGAGGATAAAAAATCCACAAAAGATGGATGGGATGAATATAAGGATCCTGTAGAACATCGAGATGTGTCCTCTAGTCCTACAGAACATCAAGAAGTTTTGAAGAGACAGAAATTCTATCAATGTGATGAATGTGGCAAAGCTTTCAATCGTAGTTCACACCTCATCGGTCATCAGAGAATCCACACTGGAGAGAAACCTTACGAATGTAATGAGTGTGGTAAGACCTTCACGCAGACCTCTCAGCTCATAGTTCATCTGAGAACCCACACAGGGGAAAAGCCCTATGAATGCGGAGAGTGTGGGAAGACCTATCGGCACAGCTCCCACCTCATTCAACACCAGAGACTCCATAATGGGGAGAAACCATATAAATGTAATGAATGTGGAAAAGCTTTCACTCAGAGTTTGCAGCTCATTGACCACCAGAGAACCCATACTGGGGAGAAACCATATGAATGCAATGAGTGTGGGGAGACCTTCATTCGGAGTAAAAGTCTTGTGCGACATCAGGTTCTTCACACTGGTGCAAAACCCTACAAGTGTAATGAGTGTGGGAAAGCTTTCTGTTCTAATAGAAATCTAACTGACCATCAGAGAATCCACACTGGAGAGAAGCCTTATGAGTGTAATGAGTGTGGCAAGGCCTTCAGTCGGAGTAAATGTCTTATTCGACATCAGAGCCTTCACACCGGAAAGAAACCGTATAAATGTAGCGAGTGTGGGAAAGCCTTTAATCAGAACTCTCAACTTGTTGACCATGAGCGGATTCATACTGGAGAGAAGCCTTTTGCATGTAATGAGTGTGGGAAGGCGTTCGGCCTGAGTAAATGTCTTATTCGACATCAGAGACTTCACACAGGTGAAAAGCCCTATAAATGCAATGAGTGTGGAAAATCCTTCAATCAAAACTCACACCTCATCATACACCAGAGAATTCATACTGGTGAGAAACCTTATGAATGTAATGAGTGTGGGAAGGTCTTCAGTTATAGCTCCAGTCTCATGGTCCACCAGAGAACCCACACTGGGGAAAAACCCTATAAATGCAATGACTGTGGGAAAGCCTTTAGCGACAGCTCACAACTCATTGTACACCAGAGAGTTCATACTGGAGAGAAACCTTATGAATGTATTGAGTGTGGCAAAGCCTTCAGTCAGCGTTCAACTTTTAATCACCACCAGCGAACTCACAGTGGAGAGAAGCACTCAGGTCTAACTCGGTGAGCGTCTTAAAGCATTCTCCAAGACAGAGAACAAGGAACTTTGAGTTCAGCTTTCTTTATAAGAAGGATGCTCACCCTGGTCTCCTCTTGGTACCACTAAATACATTACCCAAATTCTCTGTTGGGTCATGAAGGTTGGAGAATGCAGTCCTCACTAATGGGAAAGTAAGGACTACATACTTTCCTTATAGGTTACTTTTTTCCTTTAATGTGAAGAATACTTCTGTTTTTCTGCATCCTATGTTCAGATTCTATTTTCCTCATTTCATCCTGTTCCCATTCATAAGTCTTTCTAAAATGTTTGATTTCAGTCATTCTTTTCTCTTGATTGTGGCCCTCCTTTTCTACTTTTTAATCTCTGCTCTATTCTTGACTATTGTCACTTGTGTTTCCACCTCAAAAATTTTTTCTTCTTCCCAATCTTTTTTCCTCAGTACCTTAGATCCAGCACATATCTGAAATTCTTTCATTTTTTAAAATGGGTCTTTATTCCTCTTAAACTTCTTAAACATCAATTCATTTGATCTCAGTGCTATATTTGATCAAATTAGTTGGTGCTACAGTGTACAACTAAATTGCCTTGTAACTTATTCTCAACTTCCTGGGTAAGTGTATACTTTCAAAACAAGGTTTGTAGGTTCATTGAGACTGCATATGCTATTTCTTTTAGCCTATAGATAATTTCATATACTAGTTGTTTAATAAATAATTTTTTAAAACTCAGCTCTCCAATGATCCATCCTTAAATTGGGCACAAATCCCCTACATCTTCCCACTCCCTGACCATTACCAGCAGACTAGAACTTTCTAAAGATGGAAATGACATTGCATCATAGGAGAGCACGTGTAGTGGCCTCATGGATATCTTCTACATGTACTCCTGGAAGTTTTACTGCTGTTACTACTTTGCTGGTTCCTCATTATTATTCTATTGTGTTTAGGAAGTTTTCTCCTTTGTCTACTTTTAGGAGAAACAATATACTATAGTGGCTAAGAGTGTAGTTTTTGTGCCTGACACAGTAGATTCAAATTCTGGCCCCCCTACTTTCTTAGGTGTGTGACTGTGGGTGCTTCACTTGGCTCCTGTGTCTTACTTCTTCAGTGTCTGAAATGAAGCTACCTCATGGGACTGTGAGGATACAGTTAGTTATTAAGTGTAAGGTACTTAAAACTGCCTGGCACATTATTCACTCTTTAGTAGTGATTATTATATAAAGTTTTTATTAGGATGGTTGCTGATTTCTCTCATGATTTTATAATAATTTATTGATAATATGGTTCACATCCTTTATTCTTTTTGTAATTCATTTTGTTGACAAGTTTCCAAATAATTGAAATTTCCTTGCACTCCTGAATAAAATTGTTTGTGATTATTTTTTAAGTACAGAATAGATTGAATTTACTAGGGTTTTGCTGGCTTTGCAAAATGTATTTGGACAATTTTTCTTTTTTTAAGTTTCTAACTCTAAATTTTGGTATTATCTGGAAATTATCACTTTTATTGGAAGTACCTACCATTTTATAAAAAGCTCTTTTAGTCCTTTCTGTATATGTAATTAGAGCTCCTCCTGCATACATATTTTTACATTTTGATATCCTTTCAATTTTTCTTTTTAAAGATTTATTTATTTATACATACATGAACTGGGGTGATGGCCAGAGGTGCAGGGGGTGAGAGGATTCACCAGAGACAGAGCGGGGAACAGAACAGGCAGACCGATTGAAATACACTGCCGAGGGGAGCAGTGGGCGAGACAGAAGAGGTCTGCCATGCCATTTGGGTAACTCCCTGGCTGGGGATCGAACTTGTGCTACAGATGCTGTGGCTAGCTTCATAGTACTGTGCTTATTAACCCCTTGTGCCACCAGGGAGGCCCCCTTTCAATTTTTCTGTCATGATTTCCAGGTTTGTTTTGTTTCTCTTTATAATTCCCAATACATTTTTTTTGATAGGCCCTGTTACTACCACAATGTATGTATATATTTTATACTTTTATATTTTATATTTCCATTAACCCCATATATTGTTTTTTCCTCAATGATGAGGACTTTCTAGTCTTGATATTTGCCCCCAAATATGGAAAGTGGATCTTCCTTTAATCCTTTTGTGTCCAAGTCGATGCTGCTAAAACTGTTGAAAGTTAGATGGTTAGCTAACTGCATTACTAATTTGTGCATCAGCAGTGAGGAAATAAAGGAATGGTTCAGTGTTTTGCTAATCTGATTGAAAGCCTTCCACACAGGGACTACTTTTTGTATCTCGCTTTCCTTTAGGCTCAGCTCTCGTTCTGTGCCCTTTGTAGTCTCTTTCTGTGTTCTCTACATGCCAGGAATAGCTTTGTTGTAAAGGAATTGAATGTGGAAAAGTCTTCAGTCACAAATCAGACTTTCATCTTGCCTCAGCAACTTGAAACTGAGAACAGAATTTTTTTGAGATGAGTTTGAGAAAATATTCAATTGTACAAATCATTGTCCATCAGAGACTACACTTATAAGAGATCCTGTTTATGTGTTGTTCAGAAAGACTTGGTTGTCGTTTTTTTCTTATTTGACATCAGAAAATCTACATGGTTTTTCGAGTCCTATTTTGGGTTTTGGAAGGCAAAAAAACATTCATCCAAAGCTTCCATTCTACATTTCCGAAAGGTTCCTGAAATGTGTGCCAAAGAAAAGCTCTTAGTTATGGTGCATAGCTGCTTCTTCATCCATGAATCTACTGTGCAGAAAAAAAGATAACCATAAACAGTGTGAGAAACTCCCATTTTGTTTTTAGAAATCAGAATACCCAGGAGATAGATCCTGGTATCATATATGGTAGAGCTGGTAAGAGCTGAACCCTTCCCTTTTCTACACACAAAGAAAATACTGCACAGCTGTACTTTGTGTTCCCAATTCTGCTATTCAACTTTTAAATCCAGTTGGAAAGGTCAACAGATACAAAAACAGGATCTGTAGTCAGAAGACCCAGTCTAAGTCTGCAGTTGTGCGACCATAAACAAATCACTTCATATATCCAGGCTTTAGTTTCTTTATCTGGAAAACAAGAATAATATTATGCCATATGATTATTCTGAGGCTGAGGTTATTGATGCCAATAACACTTTTATAACTTGTAACTCCATCTACATTACAGAAAAAAAAATTTACTTTTATATTTTGCTTATTTTGTTATTTTTAAAGATTTTATTTATGCATACAAGAACTGGTGTATAGGTCAGAGTTGTAGGGGTGAGAGGATTCACCAGAGACAGAGTGGGGAGCAGAACAGGCAGATCTACTGAAATACACTGCTGAGGAGAGCAGCAGGTAAGACAGGAGAGGTCTGCTGCGCCATGTGGATTGCTCCCTGGCTGGGGCTTGAACTCATGCCACAGTGGCTGGCGATAGCTTGAAAGCGCTGGGATTTTAACCCCTGAGGCACTAGAGAGGCCCCACTTTTATACTTTTCTTATGTTTTGAGAGACATTGCCTCTAGCTCAGGTATAATTGTTTTCTTAGACCAAAGCCCTAGAAATAGAATTGCAAAGTCTGAGAGATTATTAGCATTAGACATTGTCTCTAAGGTGTATTTGTTACATCTTTCTTCCAAACAAATTCTATTGTGTAGCTAGTATCCAGTCTATGTCTCGCAGTACAAGTGAAGATTGGTAGGATGCCCCAATCAACATCCTGCCTAGTCTGTCAACTTTAGTAGTAGAAATGACTGAGACATGAACTGCAATTCAAGTATTCTCTTGGCAATGCAGGGACAATGGGGAAAATCCTTTTCTTGGGGTATAATTTCACTAGAAATCCAGAAGTGTCCAAGCCTTCTGCCATATATGAGAATATTTTCTGTTGAAGGGTCTATTTTAATTCTAAAATTTTTGAATTTAAAATTTACCTTCCTTGGATTTATTATTTTTTTTAACCATGGAATCTAATTCTTCAGAGTGTGCTGTACCCACCTCCCTATAATCTGAGTCATCTTTGTTTTACACCTCATCTTCTGTTTCTGTTACAATTCCAAATTCTGGAAAAGAAGCAGTGCTCTGGAGCTGTTTTACTCAAAGTATCTTTATACAAGTCTGCTTATGTCCCAATGAACATCCAGTCTAGAATCTGATGTTCCTTACTACAGTCGTGTACCTGTGACATCTGGAGCATGTTTTAGGGCCTAAATAATAACAGATTCTGCAGTGATGAACACCAGACTTGAGTTGGAGACACAGGGAGTCACCAATCTGGGGGAGGATCCTCAGGTGGCTTATATGAGAAAAAGTAATTTTTCCTGGGTAGCTGATTCTTTTTTTTTTTAAAGCAATTTTTAAAAAATTTATTTATTTATACAAGCACTGGGTACAGTTAGATGCACGGGAGGGTGAGAGAATTCACCAGAGCCAGAGCCAGGAACAGAACAGGCAGACTGGCGAAGTACACTGCTGAGGGGAGCAGCAGGCACGGCAGGAGTGGTCTGCACACCATGTGGGACCCTCGCCAGTGGCCGGGATCGAACCACTGCTGCAGAGGCCGCGGGCAGCCTTGCAACCCAGCACTCAACCACTGTGCCACCAGGAGAGGCCCCTGGGTAGCTGATTCTTAAAAACTGGCAGACTGGTGCTATATGGAGGTGTAACTTGGAAGAGGAAGAGGCTACAGTGGAAGGTGTCTGTGGCTGGGCAGCACACCTGCAGCAGGAAGGTGAGTGGGCGATTGCAGAGAGTGCAGGACTGCACCCAGCTACCCCAGCTGCCCCACCCCACGGAATGAAACTTTTAATATAAGGATAATTTCAGAAAGACTAAGGACTGAGAGCAAGAAATTCACTATTTTTTAAAAATTTTTTTAAAGATTGATTTATGCATACAAGAACTGGGGTGTAGGCCAGAGGTGCAAGGGTGAGGAGTGGGGGTGAGAGGATTCACCAGAGACAGAGTGGGGAACAGAACAGGCAGATGGACTGAAATACACTGCTGAGGGGAGCAGCGGAAGAGACAGGAGAGGTCTGCTCACCATGCGGGTCACCACACTGGCTGGGGATCAAACTCATGCTACAGTGGCTGCCAATAGCTTCATAGTGTTGAGACTTAACCCCTGGTGCCACCAGGGAGGCCCCAAGAAATTCACAATTTATAGTGAAAGTTTTCTTGACTCCTTTCATACCTGATAGCTAAGCATATCTTTGAACCTATGTGTGTGGGGTAGGGGGCTGGGAGGGAGGTAAGATCATGCCACTCCTCAGTCCTAAAACTCTCCAATGTTATATGGGATACATCCAAAGCTCTTTTGGCCTGTTAGTTCAAATCGTGTACCTGATTCAATCCAAGGCCTTTGCTCTTGATGTTCCAGATATACGGAAACTTCCCACAGATACACACATGCCTCAGTCGCCACTTCCTCTGCCCTTCCTCTCGTCTATAAAATACTACCCCGGTGTGCTCTTCCCCCTTACTCACTCCTACATTCTACATACTTGCTTTCCTGCCTTGACGGTAAGCCACATGGAGCAGGGCGTTCATTTTCTCTACCTCTATATGTCAGTGCCTAGAACAGTGACATCGTATACAATCAATAAGTATTTTTATATGCTGTAGATAAACGGTAGCTGGTCCTGGCTTTGCAGCTGAATGGCGCGAGATCTGGGGAAAGAAAGAGGACATTTCCACTCAGCAGCCAGAGCTAGGAGTGGGACTTCAGGGAGCCCCTGTTCGAGGAAGGGGAACTGTGGCCCAGCTGATTGGTTCTTCTTCCCGCTTACCCAGGGCCCGTGTCTAGTCCGCTCTTCGCACTGGCTGAACCCGCCGAGTCCTCTCAGTCGGCCAGGCTGGGCCCAAGCCGGCGGGGGCGGGCGGGGCGCCCGGCGGCGCGGAGGCGCGGGCCGGCGAGGGGCGGGCCGGCGCTGGCCTCCGGGGCACCGAGATGCGGGAGCCTCCCGAAGCCTAGAAGGGCTGGAGTGTCAAGATGGGAGATACTGGGGAAGCAGTGACGTAGTTCCTTCTCCGCTTTGTTCCAAGATGTGGGTCTGGCGCTTTTGTTGAGGGGTATGTGGCAGGCGGGCGTGGGGTGTCGGTCCGGGTTGTGGGGGGTGAGGGCGGGCAGCCAGGCAGTGAGCCGGGGCTCCAGGGCTGCCCGCCGCGGGGACAGGGAAGCCGCGGCGCCCGGGGTCGTCTTGGGCCCACCGCTACCCTCGTTTGGCGCTGCCCTTTGTCTTGGGTCTCATCTCCCACTCGATCTAGCTGCTCTCTCGGGCCAGGCAGATAGTAGTGACAGAACTGTGCCATCCCTCCCCCTAGCCTGTGACCGCCTTGCTAATAGGGGCCGAGATTCCCTCCAGGTTCTCAAAGACTCAACCAACCCTAAGTATCACCAGCCCAGTCCCTGTTTACCATGAGGACACGAACCCAGAGTGTACAGAGTCTTGACCAAGATTTCTCGTGTGTACATTCGTTCATTCATCCATCTATCCATCCATCCATCCATCCATCCATCCAACAGATACTTTTTTGAGCACCCACTTACTAGTGTGCTAGGTCCGGGGTTACAGTCTGAGCATTATAGCAGAAATATATTCTGGTAGGAAAGTAATGGAACAAGTTTGAAGGGTTGAAGCAATGTCTGGGAATCTGGAGAGGGACACACAAAATATTTGAGGCTTAGTAACCCTAAGAGATGGGTAATAGGTGGGGAGAGGGGTCTTCTAGTGTTCTTTTAAACCCTGTCTTCCTGTCTCTAAAGACATTTGATTCAGCCAAGTTCTCCTCTCATCCCCCTCCTGTAAACTTTCCTTGGAAAGTTGGGTTGCAGAGAATGTCTCAGTTGGAATGTACTTTACAGTTAAAAGAATATGGGGGTGAAAGAAAGTGACTGTGTCATATGGGAATGAGAATTTCCTTCAGACACAGAAGACTTGTCTTCCACTAACCATATGAACTTTGGCATGTTATTCAGTATCTGGAAGCATCATTTCCTCATCTTTAAAATGGGGTGATCATCCTTATTGCTCAAGTCCTATTAATAATAGAAGGAAAGTTGCCCGGTGATGGGACACTGCCTTGAGTGTCTATTTGGAGCTGAGCTGTCAGAGAATTTCATCATTTCTGTCTGTTTACAGTGATTCAAGACCCCATTAGGAACTTCCTCACCAAACCCAAGGAAGAGATCTGTGCAGGGCAGATTCTTTGGAGGAGGCTGTCTGTGCTGGGCAGGTGAGACCTATTCTGTGAAGTTAGTTAGTCTGGGGATAAGAATCTTGCCATTTAGATATATAATAGGGGGAGCAGGACTGAAAGGCAGCATTTCTTTTTTTCTATTTTTTTAAAGATTTATTTATTTATACAAGCACTGGGTACAGTCAGAAGCGCGGGAGGGTGAGAGAATTCACCAGAGCCAGAGCAGAGAGCAGAGCAGGCAGAAGGACCAAAGTACACTGCTGAGGGGAGCAGCGGGCGGCAGGAGAGGTCTGCGCGCCATGTGGGACCCTCCTCGGGTGGCCGGGGAGGAGCCGGGGATCGAACCGGTGCTGCAGAACCGGAGCTGCAGAGGCTGCGGGCAGCTTCGCAACCCAGCGCTCAATCACTGCGCCACCAGGGAGGCCCCTTGAAAGGGAGCATTTCTGATAGCCATCATGGAGTAAAGAAGCAGAGAAGTGGGAAGGGAGAGGTAGAACTCAAAATTGAGGAGTAGAATCTGGGGATAAGAGGAAGGGAGATGCATTATAACTCAAATTTGGTTGTCAGATTTGAACTTGTGTCCCAGGTCACCCATAAATTCCAGTTTCCCAATTTCTATATTTTAATGGAAGGCTAGGTATTTTAGGAGGTTCCTTCTAGGTGAGATATTCTGAGATTCTCTGAGTATTTTTCTCTATTAGAGAGCTTAGGCCCTCAGGTGACCTAGTTGGGACAGAATTGCCTGGAATGCAAATATACTGTCCTGGTGTTCAGACAATATGAAGCACAAAAGGAATGAACAAGTAAGGAGGGGATGATGGTGTCATAAATGTGGCAGATGACTTCTTACCATCCTGTACCTGACAGAATTAGAACCCTGAACTTATCACGTCAAACAACTTTTACTGGGCCCTCTTTGTGCCAGGTATGGTATGGGGTTTACATATGACCGTCATGGGCCCTGCTGTTTGAGAGCTTAAAGCTAAGAGTGTACCTGTGAGGAGGAGGAGTGATACACACATACACAAAGCTAATTCTAACATAAGGCAACTCGGGTTTATATCAGAGTTGTTATGGTAGTTTCTGAAGTATAAAAAAATTTTATACTGTCAAATCTGTCAGCTTTTCTGTATGGTATCAGCCTTTGTTTTATGTCTAAGACTTAGGCCTTCCTCTCTCTGAAGACAAAGAGTCCCCTGATCTTTTTTCTTTTGTTTCTTTTCAACTCTTATATTTCACTCACCTGTCTTTCTGGAATTTATTTTCAGGTATTACCTCTTACTCCTCATTCCATTGCATCTGTTAACCAAGGACCATGTGACTGCTGCACAGGGGATGTGAACAGGCAGGTGCTGCTGGCAAATAAAGGAATACAACCTCTCTAGGTAAAAAACACCGGCCTGTCTGTCTCTCTCAGCTGGACTCTGCCCTTTGTGGTTTCCTCATAGCCTGAAATGAATGGTGGTGCTGAGGTCAGAACACTCACCCATCACTCTTGGGGATCTGTGTCTCAGAGGTCTGTGGGCCCTCGCTGGTCTTCATCCATTGCTGTTAGCTGAGATTGTGTTTTTGTGCACAGTTACCTGGATATAGTGTCCTGCTCACCCTGTGGTCTCATCTGTTCCTCCTCTGACTTTTCCAGTTAAGATTGCACCTTAGAGGGCCTCCCCGGTGGTGCAGCGGTTGAGTGCTGGGTTGCGAAGCTGCCCGCAGCCTCTGCAGTGCCGGTTCAATCCCCAGCTGCTCCCCGGCCACCGGAGGAGGGTCCCACATGGCGCGCAGACCTCTCCTGCCGCCCGCTGCTCCCCTCAGCAGTGTACTTCGGTCCTTCTGCCTGCTCTGCTCTCTGCTCTGGCTCTGGTGAATTCTCACCCTCCTGCACTTCTGACTGTACCCAGTGCTTGTATAAATAAATAAATAAATAAATCTTTTAAAAAAAGGTTGCACCTTAGAGTCCCTGGGAATTCTTCCAGGATTTCTGAGGAAATCTCCTACCCTTCCCCACCACTTTCTTTGCCTACCCTTCATATCTTGAGCACCAATTTGTGTATATGTACCTGTGTGACCCTGCCACTTTTGAGATGTGAGCTCCAACCTCCACAGTTCTCTTCTTGGTGGTCATCATTGGATATTTCCTTCAGAGAGTGGGACTCAGTGTCTCAGAAGGCTGAGACACTAGAAACTGGTCAAACTTATTTGAAAAGCTGTAGGCAGTATTATAAAACAGTTTCATTCCTTCTGACCCAGTAACTCCCTTATAAAACTTTTACCTAGGAATATATTTCACCGGGAAGAAAACTTTATATGTGTAAAGTGATCATGATAACAGCATTGATTAAAACTCAAGGAATAACGGAAATGTCTAAAACTAGCAAAGTTGTAGGTAAATTATGAATTCAGTCAGTAGTATATTATATAGTCATAAAATGATCATATGAATAGTAAGTAATAATGTGGAAAATACATATAAAATTAAGTAAAATTTGGATTCAAAATTATATCTACTTATATTTATAACTTTAGAATGGTGGATATGGGTATGTCTGAAAAGAAACATACTTAAAAAGAAATTAGTCTTGTTTTTGAGTCATGGAGTCAAGTTTCAGGTTTTTTTTAATGACCCAACCTCCTCTTGATTTGAAATCTGCTAATAGGTTATCTGTATGCCCAATTTCACATCAAACCAGTTGGGAAGTTCCTGCTCATTCCCGACCATTACTTTCATGGATCAGCCTCTCTTGGCTGTGATGTCCCCTACTATTAACCTTTTACCTGATAATTTTCCATTCAGATTCCTTACCATGCAAGATTCTGTCAGTTTCCCCTCCCATGCTTTAACTCTCCTTCTTCCCCAATTTAGCCTCTCAAGTTTTCACCCAAAGACTCAGTCTGTCAGAGTGCTGCCTTGGTGAGGAAAGCAGACTGACTCAACTAGCACATACCACTGAATCCAGCTACAGACCGCCCCTTAACTGATTGTTAAGGGAACTGATAGCTAAGGAACAGGTCAACAAGGACTAAAATTCAAACTGATCTGAAGATTAGTCATTTGAACTACTAAACTAAAGGATGTTTCAATTTTTTTTAGGATTAGATGACTCCAATTCTGGGAGTACAGCACGAGACAGGAAGAAAGCAGGATGGATTTTAGGCTGCTAATTGTTCATTCTGGTGCTGGACTTGTTCAGCTCCTGTTAGCCCTTGGCTTTCCACAAGCCTTTACCTTAGAATTATGCTAACCTCATTTTTCTCATCTTTTTCAATCAGTTCCTCCCAGCTTTGAATATTTACCCTTCTTTGTGAGACCCTGTGGTCTATCTCATCTTGTTAGTTTGGATTATTCTCCTTCCTGCAGTGTAGAGAACAGGTGACATATGCAATTTCTGTTTTTCCTGTCAGATGGTGGAACTGGCACTGAAGAGATGTTGATTCTAAAGTATTATTCCTGAAAAAATCAGAATCTCTCACTTTCAAGTGAACTCCAGAGATGTTGCTAAGGAAGTGAAAATTTAGAAAGTTCATCTGAGAGGAAAGAAGACTCGAAAGGCCACTGGGATGCTGCAAGACAGAGAAAATGAGAAGAAAGACGAGAAACTTCAAACATAAGACAGTTAAAGACAATAAAACTATCACAGAAGTGAATGACCAAGAATCTGAAAAAGATGGTAGCCAGTGTTCTGACCCAACAACAAATGAGAGAATTCAGGCTGAAAAGAAACAGTATGTATGTACTGAGTGTGGGAAAGCCTTTAGTCAGAGTGCAAACCTTACAGTACACGAGCGAATTCACACAGGAGAGAAACCCTATAAGTGTAAGGAGTGTGGGAAAGCCTTCAGTCATAGCTCCAACCTGGTTGTCCATCGGAGAATCCACACTGGACTGAAGCCCTACAAATGCAGTGAATGTGGGAAATCGTTCAGTGGTAAGTCACACCTCATTCGGCACCAGGGAATCCACAGCGGGGAGAAAACTTACGAATGTAAGGAGTGTGGGAAAGCCTTTAGTCGGAGTTCAGGTCTTATTTCACATCACAGAGTTCACACTGGGGAGAAACCCTACACTTGTGTTGAGTGCGGGAAAGCCTTTAGCCGGAGTTCAAACCTTACTCAACATCAGAGAATGCACAAAGGAAAAAAAGTTTACAAATGTAAGGAATGTGGGAAAACATGTGTTTCTAATACAAAGATTATGGACCATCAGAGAATTCACACAGGAGAGAAGCCTTATGAATGTGATGAGTGTGGAAAAGCTTTCATCTTAAGAAAGACCCTTAATGAACATCAGAGACTTCATCGTAGAGAGAAACCTTACAAATGTAATGAGTGTGGGAAAGCTTTTACTTCTAATCGAAACCTCATTGATCATCAGAGAGTTCACACTGGAGAGAAACCCTATAAATGTAATGAATGTGGAAAAACCTTCAGGCAGACTTCTCAAGTTATTCTACATTTGAGAACCCACACGAAGGAGAAACCTTATAAATGTAGTGAGTGTGGGAAAGCCTATCGTTACAGCTCCCAGCTTATTCAACACCAGAGAAAACATAACGAGGAGAAAGAAACCTCGTAAGTCACATATTGTTGGTAATAGAACTAATTCCTACTTTTTTGGAAAAGCAGTTTTCAGTATCATCAATCTTAATTCTACTTCTAAGAACCCATACAGGGAAAATAATCAGAAGTAGATAAAGATGAACAGAAGGGATACTCATGCTGGGATGGTATACAAATAAAAGAAAAAAACTAGATCGTCAGCAGTACAGGGTTTAAATGAATGATGGTCTACCCATATGATAGTTTTGCAGCTATTGTAAACATTTTTTAAAGAATATGTACTGCCACGGGTGAAATAATCCTCGTGGATAAAATGGAAGATAAAAAATTTATGTGTGAGAAATAAGATAAAATAGTATCAAACCAAAATATCAACAATGGTTTTTCTCTGGATGATAGAATAATAGGGTGATTTCTATTTTTTTCTTTATGCTTTTTTATGCTTTTTAGATTTTCTACAAATGAGAATGTACTACTTTTATATTCAGGAAGAAGTGCAGTATTTTTAAAATGCAACGAGTCCATGCCCACTTTCACTCAATTCGTAGAAACAAGGCTCTAAAGTCTTGGGGTTGAAAGGTAATACTGGCACCCAGTAGCAGTGGAAGCAGGAGCAGATCATTTCCTTTTAGAGCCTGTTTCCTGCGTAGTAAAATCAAAAACATCAGTTCTTGTCTTTTGCAGTTTTAAGACTAGCTGACTTTACACTTGTCAACAAAATGTATAACCCACTTCATCACTATTATATTAAAAGAACACAGCAAAAATTTACTACAGCCTCCTCTCCCACAATTGTAGAGGGATCTGCAGATTATTAGAACCACCTAGGTCACATCTTTTCAATGCATGTCTACAAAAACAGAAAAAAAGGCACCCTTATGAAATTGAAACAATTGCTGTTTCATAATCCATTAAGAGATACAATCACTATAAAATTTCGCAGGAGATTCTGCCTATATGATATGTAGAGCTTAGCTAGGATCAGAGAGAGGTGTTCTAACCCCAGATCTGCCACACAGGGGGTTGTCAATTTTGGTTGCAAGATGGTGTCAGTAACTGCAAGATCTTTCTCACAATTCCTTCAAAGCCAGGAAGTGAGGAAGCTTGCTGAGATTTTGTCCTGTTTCTCCTTTTATCATTGAGAAAAAGCCTTTCCCAGAAAAAGGGAGAGATACTGAGCCATCAAAATTGTAGGTACTCCCTAGCTTCCTGTTTTTCTTCACGTGCAGTCCACAGAAAAGGCCTTAGTCCCCTTTCAACCAATATTTTAAACATTTAAGTCCTTACCTTAAAATCCACCTGAGGACACATAAAAGCTCCCCATTCTCAATCCAGCCTTCCTCTATTTGTTTACAGTGAATCCTTAACTCTAAATGCTATTTGTCTTATGCACAAAGTAATCTATTATTTCAGGAATTAAGAACATGTTATCTCATCTAATACTTGTATAAGAAAAGGAGTCTTAGTGATGTTAGGTGACTGTTTCGTAAGAGGTTGGAGTCAGGATTTGAACTCAGATCTGCCTTTCAAGTCCACGCTTTCTTCATTATACCAAAGTGCCTCTGCCTGCCACGGTGGTTCACATGGAAGTGGGAGACCAGTTGGGATTGTCCTGGGTTGTCCCTTCCATGACAGGTGTTTATAGCTGGACAGTTATTTCATGGCTTCATAAGGAAGAGGTATCTTCTCTTGAGTTAGACTTACGGCCTATCACTGCATCAGGTAATTTAGTTTCAAGGCTTATATATTTCATTTTTGCTGTCGCTGGAAGGAAAGAAGTAGAAGGTGTGACGTATATATGTGAATAGGGATTGTTTTGATTTTGTCCTATTTTAATAGGATAGTGACTTACAAATCATTTTGTAATATAAAAGATCCTCTTTACATAGTTATTCAGGCTCTGGAACAGATTTGCTGCTTTCAGGGGTAGGACTGTTTTATCATCAGTTATCCCTGTACCAATGCTTCCTCAGGCACAAGGGTAGGATTACCCACATCTGGCAACAGTAAAGGTGTTTCCATCATTTCCCCCTTATTACATGCCCTTTTAAAATTAAAGAAAAGGTCTGTCTTCCAGGCCTCTTGTCATGCCAGCCATCCTGACCTGCTGGTTAGCTACATGGAAACTCCCCATGACAGATGTCTACTGGTCTTGCTAACTCTGCTTTTAGAAAACAGGCAATTGACTTATCCTATGTGCCTATCAGGGTTATTTTTTTGAGCATTTATTATTGCCAAGCAGGTATTCTGTGACCAAAACACTTCCCCATCACTGCGCCGTAGTGTAGGAAATTCTTCAAGTAGGTTTTTTTCATTTTAAAAGACTGTGATCTTGAGATAAATAACTTCTAGGAAGGATACCCCTGAGATATGAATACAAATCCTGGCATTTCTTGCCCCAGGCAAGCTAAGATAATAGACCCATCTTCTAGACTGATACTTGTCTTGAGCTGCAGGAATAAATGTTGACAATTGGTCCTTGTACTCTACCAGGTAAATATTCTACAATATAATTTGAACTGATTGCCCATCTTCCTCCAGGAGTTTTTCAAGACTACAAGCAGGTTTTACTTCAGCCAGAGTTTAAGTACGCAGTTCCTGCCATCCTTTCAAGCCCTTTCATGATCTCTCTGGAATTCAGGGTCTATATCTTTGAATGTGTTTGGGTTTTGTTTTGTTTTTTAACTTCCTGTTCTGGTGGAAACCTGTCTCTCCAACAGCAGTGTTTTCTCTGCGGTCTCTCAATTGCTAATTTTTGTCTCCCTCAACCTATGTACCTTTCTGTTCTGCCAAAGTCTAGCTCTTTTGAAATGTGTAGCACTAGACACTTAGTGTCTTACTATCCCCGTTCTTGTCTTCCACTGGCTTCTTTTACACTCACATTTATTCATTTATGTTTTTAGTACCCTGAATATTCCTGAGGACTATGAAGGGGTTAGAGTTTTAACCACAGACATCCTATCCTAGTTGTATAGAATTGTCCTTGTGTAGAATAAATATATCTCGTTTTAGTTGAGAGGAAATGTGTAAAATAAAAACTTATTTTATATCTAGCTTTGATTGGTGGGAAATGTAATGTGAAAGACAAAGAATCCTGCATAGAGAGCAAAGTCAAAGTGTTTACCTAGCCTTAGTGGGATATTTTTCATTGGTGGTGTGTGCTGTGTTATTCTTACTTGGAACTGAGAAGAAAACTGAAACTGAAAAGAGCTTTAACTGAATCTAAATCCCATAAGACTAAATTTCATTTCAACTCTTATGTTCTCAGTGACAACTTCCTGTTTGATTTTTTTCCACTCAATTTAAATAAAATATACTATAATGTTAGATTGTTTTTAGAAACTAGACTGTCTTTAATCACCTCTGATGTTATAAAACTGGAGTCATTAAACTGTTTTTGACAAAATAGTTCTAATTTCTCCAATAAATATCTGTTATTGTTATAAATATCACTGATTTTTTTCCTTTCTGCTTCCTTCCATTGTTCAGAGTGGGAAGAAAACAGTTCAATTTGCTTTTTTTTAAAAAGCAACTAACAGCTTTTGTAAACTGGTTCTGGCTTGTTTCTGATTCAAACATAACATGAAGTTTATTTTCTTACTCAGAATACATAAAGGAGAGCTCTCTAGCTGTTAGAAAGTATCCTTCTGTTATTTCCTTAGGAGAATTGTACAACCAGTTACAGTCTCCCCTCATCCCACCCAGCCTCATCTCTATTTCAAACCTGAACTATTAGTTGACCTCAAGTGGCTGTATAAAACCAGCCATGTTTGTTGCAGTCCTTTCCCATTCCAGAAGGTAGGTTTATGAGGGGTAAGAAAAGAAATGGCAGACTACTTTCTGGGAAACAAATACAGGACCTATAATGTTCACACTCCTCTGACTAACCATTTCAAACTAATAGGTACATCTGACTATATAGATTATAGGACATGCAAAAACTGTAACCAGTCCTGAAACTCAGCCTAGTGGACTCCAAATCTGGAGATCACAAGAGGTAATTTCATACAAACTAATCTCCCAGGCCCACCAAGTTCCAGGTACTAGATATATTTATAGTTTTTATCTAGGTGAATTATCTACTTCTGATTTGCCCAGGGCAAAAAATGGTCCCAGAACAGATGACATTTAGTGGCTGAGCCAACTGGAGTCTGGAAATTCTGAATTAGGAGTAGCAAAAATAAGGTAGCAGGGAGTAAAGCTGAAGTGATGTATGTAAAGAAGCCAATCTATTAGGAGCCACAGTGAAGAGAAAGTATGAAGGAATGCACTAGAATGAACATGGGATTATAAGGGATAGAAAAGACTTAGAGGGAAGGCAATGAGTAGCAGAGGGAGAAGTAGAAAGAAAACAGAGCAGCTGGGTTACATTCACAGTGGAACACAGGTCAAGATTCATTTACTTTTGTAAATGAATGCCACCTCATTAAGGTGCATTCCCCATGAGGCTGATTCCCAGTGTCTTCTAGCTGGTGGAGCCTGTCTTCCTTCCCATGGCAGTGTGTAACTGGCTAGGGACCCTTCTCATTACCATATCATTCGGAACAATGGCTTACTGAAGCTCACTCATCTGTGTCTCTGGATACCAAAGTCCTATTTAGAGGTTTAAAGAACTGTCTTCAGGATTCTCTGGAACAAGATAGTCTGCAGAGGAATACATAGATGTTCACAAAAGTGGGTATTGTGGGAGGGAAGAACCTTATCTGACTTAAAAGTTGGTTATTTAAGTTTCTCCAAAAGCAGCCTGAGATAAGGGGAGGTAAGTTATTTGGGAGGTGATCCAAATAACAAGAAGCAAAAGGGAGAGAGCAGGAAGAAGGAGAGCCAAGGAAGAAAAGCCAATAAAGAGTGAGTTATTGTGTAGTTCCATGGTAGGAAACAGGCTCAATCCCATTTGGGGTTCCCTTAGAATCCATAAAGAACTTAGCTGAGAATTTTCTTACCAAAGGACTTGAAGCTTGGGCATTTACGCACCAATTCTTACTTGTCCTTCTTTCAAGGCTGTCCTTGGGAATATTTTCTCCCACTTCCAGGCTGTGCTTGAGAACTGGTTGAGCCGACTTCTGAGGCTTCAGAGAAGCAAAATACCCTGAAATGTCATGAGGCACAGTTGAGATGGGAGGCTGACAAGATGGATAGATAGAAACCATTCCTCAAGAGTTATACAAAGTCACAGGTAGGCAGAGGTGACGGGTTCAGAGCTGATTGTGGCATATTCTTTCGGCAGTAAGCAGAAGCTGCTTTTAATGTTAAACTTAAGAAATTTAGTATCTACATATACTCCCTTCACTTGCATAGTAACTGTCAATACCTCCATTATTTCCCAAAACTCAAAGGAAACCATCTGCACAATTTCTTGGACAGGGAAGCGCCTCAGTTGCATATTGCTGTTTCCCAGACTGACACTTCTAAAGCAGGGAGATACTAGACTGACCCGAACAGTCACTTTGGCGCCTTTCCAAAGCCCATGGGGTAGAAGCCATGATACTCGGTCCAACTCCTTCAGGAGGCAATAACCGTCCCGAGGACCTGGGCCAGGTTACGCACCTCTGCATCCTTTGGGTCCAGAATGCAGCAGCCTCTACTCCGTAGTTTCAGGCCACGGAGACCCAAGGGTAGGAAAACCCCCTCTCCTAACCTCTCCTCCTCTGGGAAAAGCAGGGAACCATAGAGAAGTGGCTTCCTAGAGAGCAGGGTAGGGGGAGACGCGCCGAGCAACCGGAAGTCGCGGGACCGGGTGGGTCAGCCATTATTCTGGGCCCGGGCTGCCGTCGCGTCCAGCTTCCGTGTCATCTCCCGGCGTCCCGCGGCCGAGGCGTCGGTGCCCAGGGCCGGAGCCGCGGCCCGGCCGCAGGTGAGCGGGTGAGCGCGGGCCCGGCGGGCATGCGCAGAGAGGGGCCCGGGGTGCGGGCTTGAACTCGCCGGGGCAGCGCCCCCCGCGCTGGCCGGTCCTCGGCTCTGGCCCGTCGCGCTGCCCAGGTCCGCCCTGTGTTGGGGCGGCCCCGACTGGGCGCGCTGCGCCGGCTTGGGGAAAGGAGTGCGGCCGGCACGTCCGAGTCGCGTCTGTCCCGGTGCCCCAGTCACAGGCTGGTCCGCCGCTCTGAGCGCAGCGGTCGGGGTAGCCTGGCTCCAGCTCAGGCCTTTCTGTTGTGCCTCAGTCTTCCCTAAGCTCATGCAGAGAAACAGTTTAAGATTCCCTGGAGTGGCTCCCACACTTCTGGGGGCTTTTTTCCCCCTATTTTTTTGAGGGATGGACCAATTCCCATCTTTTAATTCAGTAATATCATGGTATTTAAAAAAAACAAACGTAACCACCCATATCACGATTATCAAAGAGAATGTACTTTAATGCTAAGTACACGCTTAGAATAAAAGCTATTTTTTGCAAGAAAGGCAGTGGCCAACCTGTCAGTGAATGTGCAATTACTGTGCTTTTTGTTTTACAGTTTGCCAGATTAAGGCTTTATAGTGAAGTAGCGTTTGGAAACTATTGCTTAGACGGTTGGCTTTCAGAAGGCTTATTTAGATGGAAGTATTTGAACTTTTGGAAATAAAATCCCTGAGTTCACGATTTAGTCCCACAGCTTAACTAATCAAGCGGCCTTGAGTGAATTGCTTAGCTTCTCTGAGTCTTCTTCTGTTCTTTTAAACTTAAAACTCACAAGCCATTTTTGATAAGCAGGCAGATCTACTTTTAAGGGTTTTTTGTATCTGCAGAGTAGGAGTTCTGATAATTTGCTGTAAAAATTATTCGGATTCCTTTTTTTCCATGTTCTACTTATTCATTTTTTAAAAACTCTTTGGAGAGCAGTTTTAGATTCCAAAATTTAGCAGAAAGTATTTCCATGTACTCCCTACCCCCATTCACAGCATCCCCAACTATCAGCTTCCCCCAGTAGAGTAATTAATATATTTATTACAGATGATGAACCTACATCGACACATTATAGTTACCCAAAGGCCATAATTTACATTAGGGTTCACTCAGGTATTATACATTCTATAGGTTGGGCAAATATATAATATGTCCACCTTAGGCATCGTCATCATTGTGAAAACCGTCGGGTGTATTTACTCAAACCTAGATAGTATTGCCTGTACCTAGGCTATATGTGGGGACTACTGTGTAACATCATTATGTGGTGCAAGACTGGAGTATCATACAGGATAGTTCCAGTGCCCTAAGAATTCTCCATGTTTTACTTACTCATCCTTTCCTCTCCCCAGCCGCTGGCAGCCACTCATCTTTTTATAGTCACCATAGTTTTACCTATTCCAATATGCCATGTATTTGAAATTGTACAGTAGATATAGTCTTTTCATATTGGGTTTTTTTTAACTTAATAATTTGCCTTTAAGTTTCTTTCATGACTTGATAGCATATTTATTTTTAGCACTGAATAATATTCCATTGTCTGGATGGACCACAGTTCATCTATTACCTATCGAAGCACATCTTGGTTGCTGAGGTTTTGACAATTATGAATAAAACTGCTATTTCATCCATCTGCAGGTTTTTTTCTCTTTTTAAAGATTTATTTAATTATGCATACAGGAGCTGGGGTACAGGCCAGAGATGTGGGGGGTGAGAGGATCCACCAGAGACAGAGCAGGGAACAGAACAGGCAGATGGACCGAAGTACACTGCTGAGGGGAGCAGTGGGCGAGGCAGGAGAAGTCTGCTCGACATGTGGGTTTCTCCCTGGCCGGCCAGGGATGGAACTCTTGCTGCAGAGGCTGTGGATTGCTTCATAGTACTGTGCTTAACCCCTTGCGCCACCAGGGAGGTCCCATCTGCAGGTGTTTGACATAAGTTTCCAACTCCTTTGAAAGGAGCACAATTTTGGACTGTAAGGTAAGGGTATGTTTAGCTTTCTAAGAAACTGTGAGACTGTTTTCCAAAATTGGCTATAGCATTTTGCATTCCCACCAGGAATGGATGAGTTTCTCTTGTTCTACATCCTCACCAGCACTGATAAGTAGTGGCAGGTCATTTGTTGTTTTAACTTGTATTTCCCTAATGATGTATGAATGTGAGTATCATATCATTTCAAGCACTTGTTTGGATACTTTATATTTTCTTTTTTTTTTAAAGGTGGCTTAGAATTCAGGTTTATTTATTTATTAAAAAAAAAAAAAGATTTATTTATTTATTTATACAAGCACTGGGTACAGTCAGAAGCGCGGGAGGGTGAAAGAATTCACCAGAGCCAGAGCGGGAAGCAGAGCAGGCAGAAGGACCGAAGTACACTGCTGAGGGGAGCAGCAGGCGGCAGGAGAGGTCTGCACGCCATGTGGGACCCTCCTCCGGTGGCCGGGGAGCAGCCGGGGATTGAACCGGCGCTGCAGAGGCTGCGGGCAGCTTCACAACCCAGCGCTCAACCGCTGCGCCACCGGGGAGGCCCTGGATACTTTATATTTTCTTTGGTGAAGTTTCTGTTAAGCTTTCAGAAGCTCATTTTTTATTTATTTTTTTAATTTATTTTATTTTATTTTATATATTTTTACATCATTTTTCTTTTCTTTCTTTTTTTATTATTTAAATTTTATTTTTATATTCCCCTTACAATTACAACCCCCTTATTTTGACCCCAAGCCCTCCTTTCCCCACCCCCCAACCCCCATAGAGTGTCTCTGGTTCATAGTTGTTTGTTGATTTTGATATTTTCCTTCTTATAGTTATTCTTTTTCCTGGTCCCTTATTTAAGTTTTCTAGATTCCTGCTATGAGTGAGACCATCCGGTATTTTTCTTTTTTTTTCTGGCTTATTTCGCTGAGATGATCCCTTCCAGTGCCATCCATGTTGCTGCAAATGGCATGTGTTTATCTTTTTTGAATGCTGGGTAATATTCCATGGTGTATATGTACCACATCTTCTTGATACAGTCATCTATTTTTGGGCATTTGGGTTGTTTCCAAAGCTTAGCTATTGTAAACAGTGCTGCTATAAACATAGGGGTGCAAGTGCTCTTTGGAATTGATGTTTCTGTGTCCTTTGGGTAAATACCTAGGAGTGGAATTGCTAGATCATATGGAAGTTCTATGTTTAGTAGATCAAGAAATCTCTACACAGTTTTCCATAGTAGTTGGACTAGTTTGCATTCCCACCAACAGTGCAGGAGAGCAGAAGCTCATTTTTTAAATGAGGTTTTTGTTGCTGAGTTTAAAAGAGTTCTTTTATAAACTATACAAAGGATAGCAATCTTTAATCAGATATATGTGTCTTTTGCAAATATTTCCTTCCAATCTGTGTACATTGCCTTTCACAGAGCAGAACTTTTTCATTTTAATGAAGTCCAACTTACTGTTTCTTTCATGGGCATGTCATTTGTATCTTAAAAAGTCCTGATAATACTGAAGACCATCTAGGTTTTCTCCTGTGTTCTCTCCTAGGACTTATAGTTTTACATTTTACAGTTAGATCCATTTTGTGTTAATGTTTATGAAGCATTTAAGATCTCATCTAACATCTTGGGGGTTGTGGGGGGTTGTGGATATCCAGATGTTCCAGCACCATTTGTTGAAAAGTCTGTCTTTGTTTCATTGTATTGCCTTGGCTTTTTTATCAATGAATAGTTGACTTTATTTTTGTGATTGTATTTCTGAGCTCTCAGTTCTATTTCTTTGATTTGTGTATTTCACCAATACCACACTGTCTAGATTACTGTAGCTTTATAGTGACTTTTCATATGAATAGTTAACAGAAAATAAAAGAGAAATGATTCTTAAAAATGTACTCACTTGAAATGCAAGTTTGTTTGGCAAAGATCCTGAACTTTGACAGCTGTATTGATGAGAGAGAGAGGAGACAGGCACTCACATATAATTTACGCTGATGGGGAGTGTGAGTTACACATTCAACTAAGCCCAGTAAAGGACTGATTGGCAATATCAAAAGTACAGTCACATAAATTTTGACTCAGCAGTTCTGCTTCAAGGAACTTTTATATGCCTACACACATGTGAATTCATGTATGCCCTAGGTTTTGTCATGATACTATTGCTGTTAATAAAAAAAGATTGGAAACTGCCTAAATATCTCCTATCAGTATTGGAGTGGGTAAATAATTATGATGTATCCATAGAGTAATACCACTCTATGGGTGGACATATATACTGACAGGAAAGATCTCTAAGATAGACTGTTATTGAGGGGGAAAAAATTCAGTATCTGACTCATCATGTGTTATCATTTGTGGAAAAAGAATACAAAACATCATACATACTTCTGTATACATACATAAATAGCTCTTGAATATTTTTCTATACACAAGAAATTAATGGGACGAGGGAAATTTTGCAGAGTATGCATTTTATGATTTCAGATGTTGAACTGAGTGAATATATTATCTGCATTTTTAAATAACAAGAAAAAATGTAAAGTGAAACCTCTTTACTGGTTGCTCATCACTTTAGGTACATGATCACCTTCTCATTCTGCCTCTCAAGAGACTTTAGAATTTGACTTCTGTTTTCCTTTCCACTCTACTACAAATTTACTCCAAAGTTTACTTCCCATCTCTGGTTTGTAAGGTACATTTCCAAAAGAGATACATGTGCTGTCACTCCCTTACTTTTGAAATTACAGGTTCTTTCTTCCTGGAATGACTTTCCTGATTCCAGGGTCTTTTTATTTTTCCTTTAAATTTAAAGCCCAGTCCAGAATTATCTTCCATGAATTCTTTCTGTGCTTATATGACCTCTTATTAATTTTTCTTGGATATTATATTGAAATTGTGTTTCTCTTTCTGCTTTTCTGCTTGGTTATACGCAAGCTCCCTAAGGTTCCATGTGTTAAATAAAATGAATGAGGGTGCTTTCTTAAGTCTCTGATCCTTATGTAACTGATATAACTTTAAAAGATTAAAACTATTTGTACCTTTGGCCCAAAAATTGTTTTGCTGGAAATTTTTTCTGAAAAATAAAATAAATAAACAGCTATAACTAAAATTTCATGAGCAAGGAAAGTCATTGCAGCCTTATAATAGCAAATTATAAATAATCTGAATGTCTAACAACAGTGGACTACTTAAGTGTGTCTGGGGCTGATAGGCTCTGGAATGATGATGATGAATATTAAATACTATGTTCTCAATATAATATGTAAAAAAGCAAGTTACAAAGCAGTAAAAATTGGATCCAATTTTGTGATCCAGGTCAGGGCACAGAGAAAGGACTGGAAGAACACTGTGGAAAACAATAGCAGAGATTATCCTTTAATATTATAAACTTAAGTTTCATAGTAGGAAAATATTTCTAAACAACAGATTTATAAAGAGCAGTAAGCCTAAATTTTGTGTCAAACCTTATTCAGATTTACCCAATTATTCTGGTTAACAAAATGATTTTTCAGAGAATTATAGGCATGTATATTAAAGCTACACAGAATTTAACTCAATTTAACTTTGTTAATTAAGAAGGTATTTGAATTTCATCCCATGTTTATCAGAATTAAGATCGTGTTTACCTGCTAACTTACAGAACACAGGAAAGAGTGGTAGTTGTGGAAGGATACTAACATTTGAGGCCATATAGCAGGCACTGTTCAAAAACTTAAATTAGATTCTTAAAAGTCTGTAAAGTAGGAACTGCTGTTACCCCTAACTTACAGGTTGAGAAACTAAGACTCAGAAGTGAGGTAATTTGTTCTAGGTCACAGGGGAATATTCAGAATGCCCATTGTTAAGAGTGGTCGGTAAGGGGTTTGTTGTAATTAGGTGGAGGAGATGCTGTGGATGAAGATCAAAGGAATTTCACGCCTTTGGTTTCAGTAGTGATCTGGATAAATGAGTTGTGTGTCCCATATCCCTGGGCAGTGGGCTTCTATGAGAGGAGGCACTGCCCAGAGTCTAGAACATCATCTTCAGGGAGGTTTTCTTCATCACTGAGAAACGACTGGGGTCTGAAGAACTTACTTACTTATCTGGGTTAACTTTAACATTGATTTCTTGAAGTCTTATAGATGATGGCCTCCCAGCTTTAAGGAAGAAGTCAAGCAAGGATTGAGGGTGCCTGGCGAGGAGCCTTGCTTGAATGACCACAATGACAAGAGAAAACTGGGCCCACAATGCTCTGAGACAAGAGGGACTTGTTAAAGGAAAGGATGATACATGGAAATGGGGAACCAGCTTCCAAGGGAGCAGCTCCTCTGTTTGGGAAACTTCCCACCTGCACTTTAGACAGTTACGTTACCATGACACGTCTGGACCTCATGAGGCACTGAGCCGACTCCGGGAGCTCTGTCGCAGGTGGCTGAGGCCAGAAGCACGTACCAAGGCCCAGATACTGGAGCTTTTGGTGCTGGAGCAGTTCTTGAGCATCCTGCCTGGGGAGATTCGGACCTGGGTGCAGATCCATCGCCCCGGGAATGGTGAGGAAGCCGTGGCCCTGGTGGAGGAGCTACAGAAAGACCTTGATGGACCAGCACTAAAAGTGAGAAAGCAGAGGGGAGAGGATTGATACAGGGCAGGCCGGGCTGGAAGGTGATCCTGTGATTTTCATTAACATTTAATAGCATATTAACAACCCTAATACTAATTAAAGCAGTTTTGTGTGTGATGCAGAACATAGGCTATCTTTGCAGAGAAATGAATTTATGTAATTAGGGTGTTTGGGCCCAATTCATAATCAGAGTAAAGACTGCTTTGGCCTCCTGAGCAATACTTGTAATGCTGAGTTTTGTTTAAGAACCTGAAAATATAATGTTTCTAAGTGTTCCCCGAAACAAAAATATACACGTTGTTTGTGTAAGTCTGTTTGGAATAATGATGTAAGCCTGGCATATAAAAGGCGGCAGGAGAATAAGAAGGAAGCTTTCTAGACCAGGGAAGACCTCTCTACTGAGGATTCTTTGAGCCAAGGGATTAAGTTAGGATATTTGGTTCTGGTAAGATTTTTATATCTTTTACCATTAAGTTGAGATCTTAATATAGTTTCCAGTGTGTGAGATCTCTTTTGGTTGACCTGCAGTCTGCTAGAAACATTTCTGTAAAAGAAATCTAAAGTATAGCTTAACGAGGGAGTGGTACCAAGGAAAGATGAGCTTACTTGTTTTAATTATAAAAATGAAGAATTTTAGAGCTGTATATTTCAGTGCAAATTGCTAATCCAGCCTTCTCATATGAGAGATAAGAAAATGGAGGCAGAAAAATTTACTGCATTGCCTTAGGTTGGACATCTAGCTAACAGTAAAACCAGATGTCTAGACTCCTACTTTAGTGTACTTTCCATTGGAGCAGGAAGGGTAAATAAGTAGAAGGGTGACCCAGGACTGATCTCAAACTAGGTCTAAAGCTAAAACCCTTGGTCTTAATGATTGCTTGTTGCTTCCCATCCCCTTCTTAGCCCACAGCCAGGTTTGAGTGATGTTCCCACTGTTCTGTTGCATCTCCTCTGGGAGAAGTCACCACTGCCATGAATGGGGCTACTGAAGGCAGTTCCTTTGTTCCTAAAGCAAAACTTTACTGTTGTTTGAATGCCCCATACTTGAGGTGGGTTGCTCTGATCTCACAGTTCTACACTGTGGGCAAAAAAAGGTCCATGGTCATTTGGTGAATCTGTTTTCTGGAAGTAGAGAAAGAGCAACTTGTTCTGTTTTGCTGTTCCCAGCTTCCAGCCCTTGTCCAGGACCAGGACACTCTCCAGGAAGGGATGAGCGCTCCAGGAACAGCACTTCCCCATGCACCCACTGATAGTCACATATCAACAGAAATTCATCCAAATCCTCTTACTGATTCATTGGTGTTCAACCTTCAGGATCCTCAGCTTGGTATTTACTTAATGGCTCTGGCTTTGGGCTTTCTTTTGACCTTTACTGTAGTTTATCCCCCTATTTTCTGATAGTTGCTTCCTTTTCTGCCCTGTATATGAATCCCCTAGAGCACCATGTTCTTTCTACTGTTCTTCTTGTCCTTTCCTGGGTCTCTCTAACCTTTTATCCATTCTTAGTGCTATTCTCTGTGTTATCCCAACCCTGCACATGGCATCACACAGAAAAGGCTCATAGGTCATTTTATAGTCATCATTGCCTCATCCTAAGAGTTCTGGGTCTTTCTGAATTCCTTGTTTATAGAACATACTAGACTCAGAGTAGTGGGCAGGTACAGCAATAATCTCACATACAGCTTTTTCTCCTTCCTCAGATCCTCCTGCCCCTGAGGCTTCTGCCCTTTCTCAGGAAGAGAACCCAAGAAATCAGTTAATGGCACTTATGCTGCTAACAGCCCAGCCCCAGGTAAGATTTGCCTCCTCTTTTCTGAAGCCTTGTCTGCATTTCCTAATTGTGACTGAAGTGGTCTCTCTCCTCCTAGCCAATCAGTCCCATCTCTGAATCCAGGTCCAGGCTATTGGAAGGCCTACTTTACACCTGATCTCTTTATGTCCCCCCTGGTATCTTTTGCCCACTTCCTGGCTTCACAATGTGTCCCTTCCAGAGAAGTAAAAGGGACCTGTTTGAAGGAGAGTTTTTGGGCATGGATAATCTCACACCTGACTGTTATTTCAGGAGTTGGTGATGTTTGAAGAGGTATCAGTATGCTTCACTTCAGAGGAATGGGCATGTCTGGGCCCAATTCAAAGGGCCTTGTACTGGGATGTGATGCTGGAGAATTATGGAAATGTGACCTCCCTGGGTAAGGGCCCTTTCTTCCCATTGTTCTTATTTTTATTTCATCTGCCTTTGTTTTCTGATTATGAAAGTAGTTCATACTTATTTTGGAAATCATAAGAAGGAAAAAACTTCCATTTAAACCCACTATTTGCAAACTAATAATTTTGATACATTACCTTTATTTTTTTCTGTTTGTTTGAGGGTTTTTTACATTGCTTTAAGTGTGTGTGTGTGTGTGTGTGTGTGTGTGTGTTGTATTATAGCTTTCTTTGTATTCTCTTTTCTATTATTATAAATTTTTGGCCAATATGTGTATTGGCTACATAATTTGTGCCATAATTCTGTTAGACATTTTCTTATTTTAGAATATTGCTATAATCATCACCTATCCCTATTTTTCATTATTTTTAGAAGTAGAATTACTAGGCCTAAATGTTTGATTTATTTTAAGGTTCTTACTTCATATCACCAATTACTTCATATTACCAAATACTACTAAAATAACTAAGATTTAGTAAACGCGGTAATGACATGATAAATACACAGCCTGTTTAAAGTAGCTCCCAGGGAAGAAAGTGCCTGTGCTTTCTGCTTGTGTGCCCACTGCCTCTGTAATGGCTCATTGTAAAATAGACACTGAAAGCCATTTTTGCTTTTCTTTTTTTTTTTTTTTAAGATTTATTTATTTATGCATATAAGAGCTGGGGTATAGGCCAGAGGTGTGGGGGGTGAGAGGATTCACCAGAGACAGAGTGGGGAACAGAACAGATTGACTGTAGTACACTGCTGAGGGGAGCAGTGGATGAGTCAGGAGAGGTCTGCTGCGCTGTGTGGGTAGCTCCCTGGTGGGCCAGGGCATCAAACTTGTGCTGCAGAGGCTGCGGACAGCTTCATAGGTTGCGTCGTAACCCCTTGCGTCACCAGGGAGGCCCTACTTTTACTTTTTACCTTTTGTCTTACAAAGTGAAAATATTCTTTGGATTTCTTTTGGTTAGTGAAAGCAGGAATTAATGTAGGTCTTTAGTAAAAATGAAGTGGTGTAACATGAATTTTTGAAAAGCAGGGGATATCTGTACTGTTTGTTTATGTTTCAGGCCTGTTTAAAAATTACATCTAGATCTTGCGCATTTCAGGTTATACAGATTCTTTGGAATTGGAACCTTCTCAGGTTTTCTAATTGACTGTTGTTTGCATATATGAAAATAGTGATGTTTTTGTGTGTTGCAAACTTACTGAAATATTTTATTGTCCATAGTAATTTATATTGTATATATTTACACTTTGAGAATATTTTTTAGTATCTCATAATTTTGTAGATTTTATATTTTGATATACATTACCAAACAGCTACCAGTGATGTGACAATTTACATTCCCACTAAAAAAAGCAAAAGAAGACCTACTTCTCATGTACGAATTTATGTTTTCTTTCTTTTTTTTTTTTTAAAAGATTTATTTTATTTATACAAGAGCTGAGGTACAGGCCAGAGGTGCGGGAGGGTGAGAGGATTCACCTTGAGACAGAGCAGGGAGCGGAACAGGCAGACGGATCAAAAGCACTGTTGAGGGAAGCAGCAGGCGAGACAGGAGAGGTCTGCTGGCCATGTGGGTATCTCCCTGGCCGGGCGGGAATCGAACCCACGCTGCAGAGGCTACTGACAACTTCACAGTGCTGTGCTCAACCCGCTGCGCCACCAGAGAGGTCCTGTATGGATTTATGATTTGGTCAGCTTTTTAAATCTTTACTAGATAGATGAAGAGTACTATCTTTTTGTTTGTTTTTCATTTCTTTATTGATGTGGTTGAAATCTTTTCACTAAATCTTTTTAGTGGTCATTTTCCTCCTATACATAGTCTTCCTACATAGTTCTTTTTTTTTTTTAAAGATTTATTTATTTATTCATTCATTCATTCATTCATTTATTTATTTATACAAGCACTGGGTACAGTCAGAAGCGCGGGAGGGTGAGAGAATTCACCAGAGCCAGAGCGGGGAGCAGAGCAGGCAGAAGGACTGAAGTACACTGCTGAGGGGAGCAGCGGGCGGCAGGAGAGGTCTGCACGACTTGTGGGACCCTCGCCCAGCGGCCGGGGAACAGCCAGGGATCGAACCGGCGCTGCGGAGGCTCGGACAGCTTCGCAACCCAGCGCTCAACCGCTGCACCACTGGGGAGGCCCTACATAGTTCTTTTATTAGAACTGCTAACTCTTGTCAAGTGTTTCATGTACTTTTCCACATCTTTGCCTTTTATGACTTGTTAGTTTTAAACTTTAGCAGTATTTACCTTTATGATCTTTGTGGTCTTCTCCATAAAATTATTTTTAATCTCCTGTATTTTCTTCAGATACTTTTATTATTTCACTTTTAAATTTAAACTTTACTCCTAATTTTATCTTGATATACAAATAATAAGAATCCAGTTTGTTTTTTAGCCCAGGTGATTTTTGGGAATTTTAGTGCTATTCACTCAGTAATTAATCTTTTCTAAGAAATTTAAAACATGCTTTTTGGGTAAGTTGGTTATATCTTATGAAAATGCTTATCATGGATCCATACCTCACGCTATAAACCAAAATAAATTTCAAATACATCTGAGTTAAACTAAAAAAAAATAAGAAGAATTATTGCTTATTTATTCCAGCTCTTTGCTATATCTTTTCATTTATTTAGTCCTTAGTTTCTTTCAACAACATTTTTTAGTTTTTCAGAGTATACATTTTATATATCTTTTTTGAAATTTATTTGCTAAGTTTTTTATTCTTTTTGATGCTATTGTTAATTTCCTTTGGGGATGGTACAGTATTACAGTATAGAAAATATCACTTATTTTTGTATATTGATTTTGCAACGCTTCTACTTCATAAAAGCATGTCTACTTCCTTAAAGAATAAGAACCTTCTTTTCTACTATTACCACCCAGCTTAAATTATGAAGCTACTCCTTAATCCAACCACTGTGGGCAAGCTTATGTACCAATATTAAATAGGCCTAGGAAGCATGCCCATTCCCACAGCCAGGAGAAGTAGGGTAGTGTAATTGGCAGTTCTGCCTGAATCCCAGGAAGTGGGGCAGTTGAGATGAATTACGAAGGTCTGACCTACAATTATGGTTCAAGTGAATATTTACTGGATATTTTCCTTTCTCACTCATAAACTTCAAGAAATTTAGTTATTTATTTAAAACAATTCCAGTGTCTTTCATTTTTAATTTTTGTGTAGAAGAACTGGGGTGTAGGCCAGAGATGTGGAGGGTAAGTGAACTCACCAGAGGCAGAATGGGGATCAGAACAGGTAGATTTACTGAAATACATTGCTAAGGGGAACAGCGGGCAAGACAGGAGAGGTCTGCTGCATCATGTGGGTTAGCTCCCTGGCAAGGGATGGAAATCTGGCTGTGGCAGTGATAGCGCTGAGACTTAACCCCTGGGCCAGCAGGGAGACCCCAAACTTAGAGAAATTTATAATGAAAAAACAGCTACACTCCTCCCCTATATCTTTTCTCTCTACATATGTAGAAAAAGTTTTTTTTATATCTGTAAGATAATGTTACTATCATTCACATAATTTTACTTATTAGATAGTTTGGGAAACTACTTCATAATTTTTTTCACATCTGGATGGTGAAAGTAAGTTTCTAAGCATTTTCAAAAAAATAATCTCAGATTTTCAAATATTTGAGAATGTTAGAGTAGAAAGGGACCTTGGAGGTTTACTTGGTCAATCTCATCATTTCATAGATGGTTTCATGTTTTTTAATCTGTCTTTATTTTTTTCTCTTCATGTTGTATTTCTTTTTTTATGTCTAATTAAATGAGAATCTAACCTAGACCTGATATTTTTGTGAAGTAAATTAAAACATCTCCATTTCTCAATTTTAAAAGGAACAGTAAGAATTATATATGAATTCTAAGTATTAAGTTGCTTTTTAATGCAATTTCCTGTAGGTGAGTTGCTTTTAATACACATTTTAATTAATTAAAATGTATTTAAATATTTGACTGTCCAAAAATTAAAGATTGCCTTTCAGAGTTCTTAAGTATGTTTTGTCTTAGTTTTAAAAAAAAAATGAGATAACTTTGATTTACAACACTGTAAGTTTTAGGAGTTAGCATAACACTTCAACAAATGTATATATCACACCATACGCATTACCAACGGTCTAGTTACTATTCACCACCATTCACTTAGCTGCCTCTCTTTTTCTTCCATCCTCCAACCTCTGCCCCTCTGGTAACCACTATTCTGTTGTCAGAACATAAGGGTTTGTTTTTATTTTGTTTGTTTGCTTTCTTAATATTTCACATATGAATGAAACCATATGGTCTTTGTCTTTTTAATAAAAAGACAGATCTTTATAAACCAAATGATTCTTCCTATTTCCTCCAACTTCCTGAACCTCAGGTCTGAGCCATATTCTCTTTCTGAATATTCCATGCATCTATTTTTTCAGTATCATTTATATTTTTCTATCTGCTCCCTGAAGACAAAAAGCTTAGAAGTACCTCAGAGTGGGTTCTGTTAGTCCATTTATGATATTGTCATCATAACATTCTGCTTTGTTATTTTCATTTAATGAAAAATTGTAATCCTCTGATAGTCATATAAATGTATACTTGTCTTATTTTAAAGTCATCTGAAGATCTTGTTCTTACTCACACAGGGACATTATAACATTTACATTTTTAATTCCTTTTACCAGAATGGGAGACGATGACTGAGAATGAGGAGATGACATCAAAGCCTAGCATTTCTCAAAGAGCAGATTCTCAGAAAGCAACATCAAAAAGACTTCAAGGAAGTATTCCCCAGATCCTACATTTTGAGGAAGATTGTGAATGGCAAGTTTTGGCAAGTGAATGGGGACATGAAAACGGGGAAAGAAATACACTGAAGAAAGGTTCCCTTTGTGAACACGACAAGAAAAGGACTCCATCAGAAAAACGAGGCCAAAAGTGGAAGGAATTTGGAGAAAGCTTGACTTTTGGTTCAGCTCTTTCTGAAAATGTAATTGATACTGAGGGAAAGAAGTTTTATAAATGTGATATGTGTTGTAAACATTTCAATAAAATCTCCCACCTCATAAACCATCGACGGATCCATACTGGGGAGAAACCTCATAAATGCAAGGAGTGTGGAAAGGGCTTCATTCAGCGCTCAAGCCTTCTAATGCATTTACGGAACCATTCTGGGGAGAAACCTTATAAATGTAACGAATGCGGGAAAGCCTTCTCTCAAAGTGCTTACCTTCTAAATCATCAGAGAATCCACACTGGGGAGAAACCTTATAAATGTAAAGAGTGTGGAAAGGGCTTCTATAGGCATTCTGGCCTTATTATACATCTAAGGCGACATTCTGGAGAGAGACCTTATAAATGTAATGAATGTGGGAAAGTTTTTTCTCAAAACGCTTACCTCATTGACCATCAGAGGCTTCATAAAGGGGAAGAACCTTACAAATGTAACAAATGTCAGAAAGCTTTCATTCTAAAGAAGAGCCTCATTCTACACCAGAGAATCCACTCTGGGGAAAAACCCTATAAATGTGATGAATGTGGAAAAACCTTTGCTCAGACCACTTATCTTATTGACCATCAACGACTCCACAGTGCAGAGAACCCATACAAATGTAAAGAATGTGGAAAGGTTTTTATTCGAAGCAAAAGCCTCCTTTTACACCAGAGAGTCCACACGGAAAAGAAAACCTTTGGTTGTAAAAAATGTGGGAAGATTTTCAATTCTAAGTCAAATCTCATTGACCATAAGAGGATGCACAGCAGAGAGAAGCCTTATAAATGTACTGAATGTGGTAAAGCCTTTACTCAGAGTGCTTACCTTTTCGACCATCAGAGACTCCACAATGGAGAGAAGCCCTATGAATGTAATGAATGTGGCAAAGTTTTCATTCTAAAGAAGAGCCTCATTTTACATCAGAGGTTTCACACTGGAGAGAATCTTTACGAATGTAAAGACTGTGGCAAGGTCTTTGGTTCCAACAGAAATCTTATTGACCACGAGCGACTCCACAATGGGGAGAAGCCCTATGAATGTCGAGAATGTGGAAAAACCTTCATTATGAGCAAAAGTTTCATGGTCCATCAGAAACTCCATACACAGGAGAAAGCCTACAAATGTGAAGATTGTGGGAAGGCTTTTAGTTACAATTCAAGCCTACTTGTGCATCGGAGAATCCATACTGGGGAGAAGCCCTTTGAATGCAGTGAGTGTGGAAGAGCTTTCAGTTCTAACAGAAACCTCATTGAACATAAGAGAATCCATAGCGGTGAGAAACCCTATGAGTGTAATGAATGTGGGAAATGTTTCATTCTGAAGAAGAGCCTCATTGGACATCAGAGGATTCACACAAGGGAAAAATCATATAAATGCAATGACTGTGGGAAAGTCTTCAGTTACCGCTCAAACCTAATAGCTCATCAGAGAATCCACACTGGTGAGAAGCCGTATGCATGCAATGAGTGTGGGAAAGGCTTTACTTACAACAGAAATCTTATTGAACATCAAAGAATTCACAGTGGGGAAAAAACCTATGAATGTCATATATGTAGAAAAGTTCTTACTTCTAGTAGAAATCTTATGGTACATCAAAGAATCCACACTGGAGAGAAACCGTATAAATGTAATGAGTGTGGAAAAGATTTCAGTCAGAATAAAAACCTTGTTGTACATCAGAGAATGCACACTGGGGAAAAACCATACGAATGTGAGAAGTGTAGAAAATCTTTTACTTCTAAGAGGAACTTAGTTGGCCACCAGAGAATCCACACAGGGGAGAAGCCATATGGGTGTAATGATTGTAGTAAAGTTTTTAGGCAAAGAAAAAACCTTACTGTACATCAGAAAATACATACAGATGAAAAACTCTGTGACTGTAATGAATCTGAAAAAGAATTCTCTCAGGCTTCAAACCTTCACCTTCAACAAAAAATCCATACTGTGGAAGAATTCTCTTGGTTCCAAAATGCCAATGAGTCCAAGATAGAGATTCAGAAAACCTAGTGTCATGTTAAATGGAATAGAATTCCTGCCTATTTGAGTGACTGTTGGAGAATGGCAGTATATGGTCTTATAAGGAAAAAAATTATGATTGACCTTTTTATAGACAAGTGAGTTGCATGTGGGAAAAAAGTTAATCTAGACTCTGAAGACTACAAAAACATAAGCCACATTTTAGTTAAAGCTGAGTTAAAGGATATGCTGTTCTAGATTTATTTGTTATGACCCTAGAAAGGGACTTTGGAGCAGTTGGGATTGCTTAAGAAACTGGTTTTATGTCTTATAAGATGCATTGATGTAGTTGTAAATGATTGCAAAAATATCTTTGTTATTAAAAAGTGGACACTGTTTGAAATTGTGTATATTGTATATTTTAAGATAGCACCACTACAACAGAAAGTCTGTATAGACAGTCTGATCAAGACATATCAGACAGTAGGGTGGGCAAGAGTCTGCTGTTTTAAGACAAATTATAATTATAGCACTGGATTTAGAATCATAACACCTAGATTTTGTGCTGGCTTCTCTTACTAGATATGTGATGGTATTAAGTCAACCTGTAAGACAAGTTTCTCTGCCATTCAAACATTGACATAATGCCTACCTCACAGGGTTGTTGTGAGGATTAAATGAAAGGATCTTTGTGAAAGTACTTTGTGAAATAATTTAGTTGTCAATAAAGTTGGATAAAAGAGCTACGTTCAATCTAGAAGATAATGTTTGTCCATTCAGTCAACATTAACATTCAGTGAACCTCAAAAGATACTCATTTTTTTAAAGATTTGCTTTTTATTTATATAAGAACAGGGGTACAGGCCAGAAGCACAGGAGGGTGAGAGAATTCACCAGAGATAGAGCGGAGAGCAGATCAGGCAGATGGACCGAAAACACTGCTGAGGGGAGCAGCGAGCGAGACAGGAGAGGTCTGCCAAGCCATGTGGATATCTCCCTGGCCGGCCAGGAATTGAACCCGCACTGTAGAGGCTGCGGACAGCTTCATAGTGCAGCATTCAACCCGCAGTGCCACTGGGAGGCCCAAAAGATAATCATTTTTATACTAAGAGGAAGTAGGGTGGATGCTAACTTTAGAATTTAGTACTTTCAGAACACCTTTAAAAAATATAACTTTAAAAGTATGTAAGGGAGTTAATAGATAATATGCCTAGTTCTTAGGGGAAAATACTGGATTACTAGAGGAAAATAATATATTGAATCATTAGCATTTATGTCAAGGAAAACAGTTTATTTTTTAGTCTTCAAGTCTGAAATCTAGCAACTCTGTATAATATCAAAATGGAACAATAGTTCTATATTGCTTTCCTTAATCATAGGAAATAAGGAAAAGTCCTTAACCCCAACCCCTGAACTGATGATTTCTCGCCACTGTCATTCTCAATGCTAACAAACATTTTATCAAACATTTTATCATTTTATCAATGCTAACAAACATTTTATATTGTGAACAGCTTGTTCACAAGAACCAACATTCACAAAAATGTTCACATAAATCAACTACCTAAGTTTTTCACAGACCCAAGCCCTTGAAGGTCTGATTAAACCAATTCAGAATCCACCTCTGGGTGGTTAGGCTCATTAGTCTCTGTGAACTAATCATTCAGTATGTGCCCTTTTGTGTATTTGTAAATTTAACTTATTCTATATTCTTGAGTTGATCGTTGTATGCTATAATTATGAAAACTCCAATTCTGCAACTATACTATAACTATCTTAGTATCTGAATTGTGTTTTCTAATACTGATAGCACTGAAACGATATGTTGATTATAATGAATATTATTAATTCAACCCCATAGTCCTTTGAAGGCTGGTTCATTGTTAGAAAGGTACCCAAGAATGAAAACTGGAGGAAGAATATCTACTTCACAAAATTATTTAGAGGTAATAAATATGAAGATGGTTTGTATTCATACTTCACAAAATTATTTAGAGGTAATAAATATGAAGATGGTTTGTATTCATGCTATAGAATCACCCCAAATTATGTAATAATTACAAAAGGAAAGCAACAAACCTGGCATTTACCTCTTAACCATCTACCAAAATGTAACTTCAGTGAAACAACCAGGCCTCCCTGGTTGTGCAAGTGTTAAAGTCTCAACACTATCAAGCTATCCCCAGCCACTGTGGCATAAGTTGAGTTCAGTTTTATCCCTGGCAAGGGAGCTTACCCACATACGACATAGCAGACCTCTGCTGTCTTGCCCACTGCTCCCCTTATCAGTGTATTTCAGTAGATCCACCTGTTCTGCTCCCTACTCTGTCTCTGGTGAATCCTTTTACACCCCACACCTCTGGTCTATACTCCAGTTCTTGTATGCATAAATTAAAAAAAAATCTTAAAAAAAACCCCAAAATAACCCAGGTAATACGCCTCCTCATGGGATGCAATAAGCCAAAGCCGTAACCTGATCATATCAAGCCAAGACCTAACTGCCAGTTTAAGGAAATACAATTTAATAAATTAACACCATGGGAAACATTCAACATGGGATATTGTATAAGAAAATTGCACTGGATTCTCCAAAAAGATACAAAGAAAAAAAGGAGGAGGGTGATAATTGTTGAAGCTAGATGAGTACTGGGAGTTCACTGTGTGATTCTCTGCTTTTGTATATGTATGAAAGTTTACATAAGTTACAAAGTGGATAGGGGATTTTTTTTAAATCCACAGAACCAAAAGAAAAACTATTTTATTGTAAATAATTAAAAGCATATAGCTCGTTTTCAATGCAGTTAGCAAATATTTTTTTAATATTTTTTATATAATTCTTACATCATTTTTCATTTTTGCACAATGTATGTATTTCCATTTTGGTTATATTCCCCATACAATTTCACCCCTCCCTTATTTTGACCCTAATCCTTCCTCGCCCCTCCCCAGTGTGTCTCTAGTTTTTAGCTGCTTGTTGATTTTAATTTTTACTTTGTATTAATTAGTCTTTTTCCTGGTCCCTTATTTAGGTTTTCTAAATTCCTGCTATGAGTGAGAGGATGGGGGATGGTTTTCAAAAGATACTGAAGAGCCACTAGATACTGAGATCCAGAAATAAATTCACACAAATGCCCAAATGAATTTTGACAAAGGTGCAACAAAGGTGCATTAGTACTAGAGCTCTAACCTTTTCAACATATATTGCTGGACCAACTGGATACCCATAGGCAAGACTCCCCCAGCCTCTCCTCCCCAGGAACTAGGGCTGAGTGCACTGCATGCTCCATAGAAAAAAGCAATGATATATTGTACCGCATCAAAAGACGTTTAAAAGAAGATGCAAAGACCTTACAGATGCAAGAAAATATTTGCAAGTCATACCCAACACAGGTTTGTATCTATACTATATAAAGAATTCTCAAAACTCAACAGTAATAAATAGATCCAGTTAGACAAAAGGCACAAGACATGAGACATTTCAATAAAGTTTTGTGTTTTTTTTTTTAAAGGTTATTTATACAAGCACTGGGTACAGTCAAAAGCGCGGGAGGTTGTGAGAATTCACCAGAGCCAGAGTGGAGAATAGAACAGGGAGATTGACAAAGTACACTGCTGAGGGGAGCAGCGGGCGGCAGGAGAGGTCTGCGCGCCATGTGGGACCCTCGCCGGCGGCTAGGGATCGAACCGACGCTGCAGAGGCTGTGGGCAGCTTCGCAGCCCATCGCTCAACCGCTGCGTCACCGGGGAGGCCCCTCAATAAAGTTTTGAGGGTGAATACATAAAAAGAAGTTCAAGATCATTAGCCATTAGGGAAATACAAGTTAAAAATCACTGCACACCTGTCGGAATAGCTTTTAAAATATACTGTTAACATCAGATTCTGGCAAGGATATGGAGAAATTGGATCTCATTTGTTGCCAGGAATATTAAAATTGTATAGCCACTCTGGAAAATAGTTTGGCTGTTTCTTATAAAACCAGACATAACACTTACCATACGAAAACCTGTATGTAAGGTTCATAGCAGTTTTATTCATAATACTCAAAACCTGTAAGTAACCCAAGTATCCTTCAACAGGTTGTTAAAATAAGCTGGCTTATCTGTACCTGAAATACTACCCTGCAATTAAATGGAATGATCTACTGATTCCTCCAAAGATTCAAGAGAATTTCAAGAGAAATATGCTGAGGGTAAAAAACCCAATTTCGAAAGGTTATATACTGTATGATCCCTTTGTATAATCTAATGATAAGCTGATAAGCTATAGAGATGAAAAACATTAGTGGTTACCTGAGTGGGGATGGTGGGAAGGGGAAGAGCAAGAGGGAATAGTTGTGTATCTTGATTGTGGTGATGTTTACATATCTACACATGGGCTAAATAACAGAATTATACACATATTGTACCAGTGTTGATTTCCTGATTTTTATATTAAACTATAGTTATGTAAGGTAAGATGTGTCAGTAGGAGGAACTGAGTGAAGGATATTATTACCTTTGTAACTTCCTGTGACCATATAAATTCAGTATAAAAAGCAAAAAAACAAAAAACTAAAGAGCCATAACCAATACAGTGCATGAAATCTACCGAAATATTTTCTACTGATATTTTAAAAATAAAACATTTGGGGCAAAATTACCTGGGCTTCCTACAGAACAATGCTTTGCAGCTTCAGGCTCCAAGGTGCGCGCCTTGGTTAACTGCCGCTGCCCAGCCTGGGGCATGCCCTCCCTCAAGCTCGGGCCTCACTTCCTCCGTACCCGCCTTCCAAGCACTGCTCCCATCCCAGCTCCGCAGCATTAATGGACACCCATCGAGAGGAAAGTACCTCCGAGATTCCTAGAGAGGCAGGCCAGGCGACTGGGGGAGCGGAAGCTTCTCCCGAGGCACTTCCTGTCCGGTCATTGTTCTCGCACCGGCGGGCGCGGGGGCTCGGGGCGGCCGGCCTCCTGCCCCAGAGCCCGCGAGCTCTGGTCGGTCTCCGCGCGGCGCTCGGTAAGCGGGGTTTGCAGGGGTGGGCACGGATGTCGGGGTCACGGGAGGGCCTTTCCCAAAGACAGCCCGCTGCGTTCTTCTCTTGGGAACCCCATCCAGTCGGTTCGAGGGGCGGCTTTGCACCCCTGCACTTCGGAAACCCGGCTGCCGCCCACCGTGGGCCTGACCGGGGGGACTGGACACGGACTGCCACAGGGGTCGGGCTTCCCCGGGAGCAGGGCTGCGTGGGGCCTGGAGGTGGGGGGGTTGGAAGTAGGGATGCAACACTTAGGAAGGGGCTTCGAAAGGCAAGTCTTGATGGGGGATTCTCTGCAGTCTGGGGCTGGATGCAGACTGAGATTTGATCAGAAGACTGGCAGTCTCGCCTACACACAAGGTGAAACGAGTGTCAGAGCCCTTCCTACCTGCTTCATTGAGCTAGTCGTGGAAAGAATCCTCCAGAATGAAGATTTGTTGCAGGAATGAAAGGACTGTGTTACGCAAGAAATTTGATGCATACGTTAAGTTACCAGGAAATCATAAACCAATCAAGACTCCCTTTATTCTAAAGGAATAATTCAGCAAAGGGTGGGGGAAGGAACTATTTGCAAAGGACATTTTTTAGCATTAGTTATTTTTTTAAAAATTAACTGCAAAAATCAGAACTTTGACTAAAACAGTGAATCATAAGTAAGTGATGATTAAATGAATTACAGCTATAATTCAGAATACTGTGTCAAAATGAGATCGCTCTAGGTATTTATATTGAAAGGTCTAGCGGAGACTTGTGACATACAGAAATTTAATTTAAGAAAGAATGCAGGTTGCTAACAATGTACGAGTACGATCTAATGTATGTTAGGAAAATAAACTGAATGTGAAGGTTTAACTATATGTATGGAAATGCAGAGAAGAGATTGAGAATTAGACTGATAACTAATTACTGTGTGAGCAACATTCTATATATTTCTGTGTTGATCCTTTTTTAAAGAGAATGACAGTTGGGCCTCCCTGGTGGCGCAGCGGTTGAGCGCTGGGTTGCGAAGCTGCCCGCACCCTCTGTAGCGCCGGTTCGATCCCCGCCTGCTCCCCGGCCACCCGAGGAGGGTCCCACATGGCGCGAAGACCTCTCCTGCCCGCTTCTCCCCTCAGCAGTGTGCTTCTCTCACCCTCCCGCTCTTCTGACTGTATCCAGTGCTTGTATAAATAAATAAAAATAAATCTTAAAAAAAAAGTCTTAAAAAAAAAAAAATCCCTAGAAGCACTCACTGTTTTAAAAAAAAAAAAAATAAATAAAGAGAATGACAGTTAACATCAGAGGTTAGTGTGTAGTTACTAAAAACGATAAGCATGAGGAATGGCAACGTGAAAAACAATTTCTTTAATTAAGGGTAATGTTTGGTCTCAGGACATTTGGAAGAAATGGAAAAAATAAAATCAAACAAAAAGAACTCCAAAATTCCCTGTAATCACAGCACTCAAGACAACCACTCCTAATGTGTTGGTGTCTAGACGCCTAATCTTTTTCTTGAGATCCTTTTATTCATGCTTTTGTGGATCGTTGGCACTCAAACAAAAAATTTGTAATATCCCTTTAAGAAAACCAATTGTGATAATTGTGCCTTCCCATAGTTAAAAACAAAGGTTTATGAAGTCTTAGTTGTCAGTGTGATTGGAGGTTTTCCCTTAGAAGGAATATCTTAAATTCTATGATATTGTAATGGTTATCTCTTTGGAGATAAACCTGGGATGATTTTTCTTCATCATTTTCTGTATTTTGCAAATTTTTACAGTAAAAATATATTACCTTTATAATCAGCAAAAAAAATAAATTGATGTTATTAACGTGATTATTGTGGGAACAGATGATGTAGCCCCTCCATCCTGTGAGGGAGGAGTACACAGACCCTGTGTAGAGTGACCACCCCCAAGTACTGGTGAACTTGGGCAATGGACTTGGTGGCATCCAGACAAACTCTGTGCTACTAATAACGCTTTCTGATTTCTCACTAGGTAATACTCATCCTGGCCCCAGGAAGAAACTCAAGAAGAAGCTTTTGAAACATAAAGATTAGATGGGGCTTGACCTCTGCTGGGCAGTCCCCAGCTATAGGCGTTCCCCTGCTGAGCAGAGAAGATGACTGCAGAATTGAGAGAGGCTGTGTCTCTGGCCTCTTGGGGCCCAGTGACAGTGAAAAAGGAGGAGGAAGAGGAGGGAAACTTCCTGGTTCAGGCATCCAGCCAACAAGTGCACGCTGAGAACATCAGAGTCTGGGCTCCTGGGGAGGGTCCTCAGACAGGCCTTGATGTATCAGAACAGGAGGAAAAGGTAAGTAATGGTTTGGAAGGAAGGAGGGAGGAGAATGGCAAGACTTCAAATGGTTTCAGAGGGAGCTGTCCCTCTGTGTCCATACCGCGAATCCTGTTTTTGGGACTTTAGTCCTTTGAAATGTAGAAAGGCTCTCTTCTGATTGATGTGGCATTCAGTCCTTTTTCTAAACCAGTGGTTCTCAAACCTAGCCACACAGACTTACCAGGGGAGCTTTTTTATGAAGTCTCTGTCCCTGTGCCTGTGCCATAAATCAGTTTCTAGGAGAGGATCTCTCACCAATGCTTCTCAAGCTTTAACTACATAGAAACCACCTGGGGTTCTTGTTAAAAATGCAGATTCTGATTCAGGAAGGTGTAGGGTTTGGTCTGAGATTCTGCATTTCTCATAGGCTCCAAGGTGATGCTGCTGATTCTGATCTGTGGACCACACTTTGAGTGGTGATGCATGCCCTGCACTGTGCTGTGGTCTTGAATGTTTTCACACATACCCATTTTCAACACTAGACCAGGGTTCCCCAAAGCCTCTCAGTAATAATGATATTAAAATCTGTCTTCTTTGATTTTTAGATCTTAGCAAACTTACTCTGGAAAAACTTCCCATATCCCCTCTTCTCCTGTCATGCACTCACTGGCAAGTTAAGTTTGGATGCTGGAGGGGTCACTGAGGTGAAATCAAAGTGATGGAGAAGAAGGTGCTGACTTGCTTCTCTGCCTAACTCACTTTGGGGACTAGGGAAAATGGACCTACTTTTTTAAAAAATGTGTTGTGACTTCCAGAATAAGTACTTATGTCCTCATTCTCAAAACTATATTCACACCACCTTTCACCAACAATCCCCTCATAAGCCCACCTGTGTGTGCTTGTCTCTAGGGTCAGAACATGTTCTGGGACATGGCAGTGGTCCTAAAAGCAACACAGGAGGCGCCTGCTTCTTCACTCCTCGGCAGCTACTCATTTCCAGAGACTCTGGCGAAGAGAGAGATACTGGAGACTCATGGGAACATGACCTCTGTAGGTAAGGTTCAACCCCCTGATTCAGAGCCTGACCACTGGGATTTCTCAAAATCTTTTTAGACACCAATGGTCTGGTCTCCTAACTTGAGCAGCAGAGAGTATTGAGGTGTTTTAAGTTTCAGGGAGAGCTGGACAGAAGGATGCTGAAAATGCCTATGCATTTGTCATGGGGAATGGCTTATTTTGCTTACACACTCAAGAACCAAACACAAGCAGACTCTGAATTCACCTTTTGATCACATTTATTGTTTGGCACGTTTCATATCCACGTACCTAGCCTTCTTCATATGCTTTGTGATCATTGTAGGTTGTTGAGCCTCCAGGAGAAGCTAGCTAATGTTGGAAGGTCAGCTGTAGGGTGATCTTGAGGAAATATATTGGAGATGTTCTGTTTTCATAGATTGTTGTGCAGATTCTAGGGGATTTTGAGCAGTTGTGTCAACCATAATGATGTTCAAAACTAGGTCTTCAGGGAAGGTACTGATGACTTTCTCACCTGGTTCTCTCTAAGCTGGGACTCAAGAAAGAAAAGGATGTTGATAGGTCTGATCAGCAGTGGAGGAAGGCTGCCTGTGGACAAGTGACATGTAATTGAGTCAAAAATGTGATAGTCGTGAGTCCTGGTTTATAGGAACAATCTCAAGATGACTGCTGAGACCACTCTGGCACTCACATTTTCTTAGTCCAGGTACAGGGCTGTGCCTGGATAGTACTAACTCACTCTGCTCCCTAGCCAGTCCCTCAGGCAAACAAGTCACTTGCTTAAAACAAAGTTTTAGGGGTCTGGTCTCTTTCATTATTCCCCAAACTCTCAACAGCTTCCCCACTTGTGCTTTCTGTTCTCTTCTTTCTATCACTTCTGTTTCCTTGCTTTATTCGGTGTCTAATACCCATCCACCAGGAATGGCCTCCTTTTTCCTTCTCTGCCTTTTACTCCAAGACCCTGTTTGCAGCCAATACTTACCTTTCTGTGCTGCCAGCCATTTTCATAGCACAAGTAATGTGGGAATATGAGAGACTCAATAATTGTGACCTTGAGCAACTCCCTTCTCTCTCTTGACATACATTTCCTATTCTGTAAACCGGGGTACATTGATTCAATAAAAACAGGATTTGTTGGGGGCCCTGGGCAATATGATAAGAGCTGTGCTGTGAGGCACAGTCTTGGCTGCCTTTAATTCCCACATAGGGAGAGTGGTTTTATCTTGATGATAAAATTGAATAATAATATTAAACATAAAGTATTTTGGGAATTTTGATCTTACTTGATTATTAATGTCTGGGAGAGTTTTATATACCATTTCCTATATATTAATTAATGTTGAGTTTATTAAAGTTTATACATTTAAAACTAAGTTTTTGTTTTTGTTTTGTTTTGTTTTTAAGATTTATTTATTTATGCATACAAGAACTGGAATACAGGCCAGAGATGCAAGGGGTGAGAGGATTCACAGAGATAGAATGGGGAACAGAACAGGCAGACTGACTGAAATACACTGCTGAGGAGAGCAGCGGGCGAGACAGGAGAGGTCTGCTGTGCCCTGTGGGTTGTTCCTTGCCTAGTTGGGATTGAACTCATGCTGCAGAGGCTGCGGATTGCTTCATAGTGCGTTGCTTAACCCCTTGTGCCACCAGGGAGGCCCAAAACACAGTTTTTATGCCTTTATGCCTTATTTTATGCCTTATTTTATTTATACATCTAAAAATATTTTAATAAAAATGAAAACATATGTACTTTCTTTAATTCTTAAACTTAAAATTTTATAGAGTAAATGTTGTAAACTCTTTAGAACATTTTACTCCATCTACATATCAGTTTCCTTATATAAAAATTTCCCTACTTTTAGTTCCTTAAATAAGAATATATAAAATATATTAAATATGATAGACTGTATTAAATTTCAAATTTAATATATCAAATACTTGACAACATTTTAAAAACCTACATGAGGGCCTCCCTGGTGGCGCAGCGGTTGAGCGCTGGGTTGCAAAGGTGTCCGCAGCCTCTGTAGCGCCTGTTCGATCCCCGGCTGCTCCCCGGCCACCAGAGGAGGGTCCCACATGGCGCGCAGACCTCTCCTGCCGCCCGCTGCTCCCCTCAGCAGTGTACTTCGGTCCTTCTGCCTGCTCTGCTCCCCGCTCTGGCTCTGGTGAATTCTCTCACCCTCCCATGCTTCTGATTGTAACCAGTGCTTGTATAAATAAATAAATAAATCTTTAAAAAATAAATAAACAAATAAATAAATAAATAGAAAATAAAAACCTACATGATAGACTTACAAATCTTACATATAAATTCTTAATAATACACGGCTTTTGTAAATCTAATGAATCGGACTTAGAAATTTAGTAAATCAAATTACCTTTCATAGCTCAAAATAGTCACCAGCTAATGTGGCAATCTCTTTTTTAAAAATTGAAAGAAAAATATGTTCTCAAAATTTATTATTGTACTCTAGCTATTCTGTATTCTAGCTAAGCACAAATGAGATTTCAGTTTATTTCTTCATTATTTCTATACTTATCCTGTACTTTCCTAGGGTTACAGTAATCCAATAAGATCTAAAAATATAAAAAATACTCTCTCAAATAAGCTGCAGGTTCTCGGTTATTGGCTAATTAATTGCCCAAGGAGGTTTGAGCTTCAGCACACAAAATGGGCCTTAATTCTCTTTTCTTAGACCCTGGGCACTTGCCAAGACTCTAGCTCTTCTTCCCTGTGTTGCAACGATTAAGTCATCACTTCTGTAGTTGTGTGCTTCTGTAATAATTTTAACATAAAGCATGATGTAAATATGAGGAATGGTTTGTGTTAGTGGCTCTAATTATTGTAGTTCAGTAGTTCCCATGGTCTTCATCTTTTAAGTCACTGCTCTCTCACAGAGCACCTGGTGTGCTCCAGGCTATTCTTAGCGATGGACACAAAGTCACTCAGTCATTCCTCTCATTGCCTTATGGGGTGCATACACTGTCATTGTCCCTATTTTAGAAATAATAAAATGGAAGCACAGAGAAGTTATGTTGTGGTCCAAAATCATGCAACTGGTAAGTGGCAGAGCAGGAATCTCAAACCAGGCAGTCCGGCTGATCTTAACCTTAGGCTGCAAGTGTCAGTGTTCCAGATGCTTTTGGCTGCTGTGGCACTCTTGGCAACCGGTGTGAGCCATTCTGTCTATACTTACCTTTCTCTGCTATCTAGCATCCTCATATGTAAAAGCCAACGTTGATTAGATCTTTGTTCACAGCTAGGGAATCTCCTGATTTAACTGGTAAGTTGTAAGTAAAATCCACACTAGGTAGCTATGGCAGAGGACAAACCTGGGGAGAAGCTGGCGTCCTTCATAACCAGGCTTAACTGTGAGATCAGATGTCAGGCAAGTGGGAGAAGAGCTGTTTGGACCCAGCTTCCTCGGCATGAAGCAGTGGGTTGAATGTCTAATGAAGGATTGTGGAAGTGCTGGAAACACCCTGAGTTAGGAGATTCTGCTCCAGGTGTGGGGGCGGGGGGTGGGGGCACACCCCCGGCAGAAGAACCTACAGTGGGAAGGTAATGTGAAGGAATTCCTATCTTTGATGAAGCTGTTTTGCATAGTTGGAAATTACACACTTCCTGTCACTATGACTTGGTGGTCTTTTTCTAGGCCAGATAAAGCTGACATTTGTATTTTTCTGCTTGTTTTATCAGGTGCTGAAACCAAGAACCCACAGTTCTTGGTTCCAAAAACTGAGATATGTGATGAAGCAGAAAAAGCCTTCATAATATCAAAACAAATGCAGAAAGATGACCCTCAAGGACCTGAGTTAGGAGAAACCTGTGAAAAAGGAAACATGTTTAAAAGGCAGAGAGTAAAGCGGGAAAAGAAAGATTTCAGAGAAGTGGCAGTGAAGGATTGTCACGTACCTGAAAACTTCAAAGAAGAGGAAGACCAGAAATGTCAGAAATACGGGGAAAGATACAGCTTTAGTTCTGGTCCTGCTAAAAATCAGAAAAGCCAGCCTGGGCAGAAACCTTTCACCTGTAGCGTGTGTGGAAAAGGGTTTAGTCAGAGTGCAAACCTTGTGGTGCATCAGCGGATCCACACTGGGGAGAAACCCTTTGAATGTCACGAGTGTGGGAAGGCCTTCATTCAGAGTGCAAACCTTGTTGTCCATCAGCGAATCCACACTGGACAGAAGCCGTATGTTTGTTCAAAGTGTGGGAAGGCCTTCACTCAGAGTTCAAATCTGACTGTCCATCAAAAAATCCATTCCTTAGAAAAAACCTTTAAATGCAGTGAATGTGAGAAAGCCTTCAGTTACAGCTCGCAGCTTGCTCGGCACCAGAAAGTGCACATTACAGAAAAATGCTATGAATGTAATGAGTGTGGGAAAACATTTACTCGGAGCTCAAACCTCATTGTTCACCAGAGGATCCACACCGGGGAGAAGCCCTTTGCCTGTAATGATTGTGGCAAAGCCTTTACCCAGAGTGCAAACCTTATTGTGCATCAGCGAAGCCATACTGGTGAGAAGCCATATGAGTGTAAAGAGTGTGGAAAAGCCTTCAGTTGTTTTTCACACCTTATAGTGCACCAGAGAATCCACACTGCAGAGAAGCCGTATGACTGCAGTGAGTGTGGAAAAGCCTTCAGTCAGCTTTCCTGCCTTATTGTGCACCAGAGGATTCACAGTGGAGATCTCCCTTATGTGTGTAATGAGTGTGGGAAGGCCTTCACATGTAGCTCATACCTGCTTATTCACCAGAGAATCCACAATGGGGAAAAACCTTACACGTGCAATGAGTGTGGCAAGGCCTTCCGGCAGAGGTCGAGCCTGACCGTGCACCAGAGAACCCACACCGGAGAGAAACCCTACGAATGTGAGAAGTGTGGTGCGGCTTTCATTTCCAACTCTCACCTCATGCGACACCACAGAACCCATCTTGTTGAGTGATGAGTAAAGGAAGAGGAAGACCTTGGCATTGAGCATAACCTTCCGCCCCCAAATTAGATACTTCTTTGCTGTTTACTTCCTCCTTTATGAAATGAGGTCTGCTGTGTCTTTAAAAGCTACAGTTTTCAGGGGTACAGCACAAAACAAAAGCAGGCATTTTCAGAGGCTAATTTAAAGAAAATGAAAACTAAGTGCTAAAAGCAAAGCCTTTGTTCTTAACTGTGCCCTCAGTGGTCATGATGTCTGAAATGGAATGTGGCTGTCTTAGAAATGGGTCAGACAAAGCTAAGTGATAAAGATCCCATTTGGGGAAAGATTTTTTACTTAATTTGTTTTTTAAAACTAGGGAATTTTTGAGCAACAGGCAGGTTACTGTATAGGTCTGTCTGGTGGAATTCTGGAGCTTTGAACCTTGTATGCTAGTATTTTGGGCTAAGCAGTGACTAGTTAAGACAACCACTTGGGGTAACAATTCACCAACAATTCACCTCTGAGCATTTGTAAGCTTTCCATTCCCTCAGTAATTTTTTTTTTTTTAAACAAAACAAACACAAAGCCAATGAACTATCTAATATTCCTAAAATAGAGGTAGGAAACGGCCCTTTCTTTCCTTGTCTCATGAACCTTGGTATGCTAAAGCTCGGGGGCCCTCTGACGAGTCTCTTCTGCCTTTCCCCAGTCTGCATGGCCAAGTACTTGAGGATGGATGGAGGTAGCACTCTAGGGCCACAATGCTTCTGGGCTGTATAGTTTGCTAAGATCAACAATTCTCCAAATAACCCCTAATTCCCATGACATTCCATTTGAATGAGATTCTACAAACAGCCTCCTCCTTAGAAGAGTCAAAGAATAAAGCTTGCCTAGAGGCATGCCCACTTGTCTTTGCTCTCATTCTACTCAGACCCAGCCAGAGGCTCAGTTTGCGTTTCAATCTCACTTTCTGAATTGTCTTTAGAGGAAATGGGAGAGCTCTTCTAATTCAGAGAAGATCAAAGAAAGGAAGGGGAAGGGAGGAGGCAAGCTTGGGAGTCCCATGGTCTTAATTTGTCTTAAGAAGTTCAGAGGTATTGGAATGTGAAAACTTAGAAGGATGAAGAAACTGGCTAAGGTAAGATACCTTTGTTACCATTGAGCCTTTATTCCTGGTAAAATGATTTATAAAACTATGCAATAGTTATGTAATAATATTGCCTTGTATTTATACAGATCTTTATTTTTTGTTTGTTGACCTTCACGTATAGAATCAGGATACCCAGCACTTATCTCTTGCTTTCACATAGACCATGACCTTAACCCTCATAGCACTGAGAGAGTTGTTTGCCCCTTTTACCTGAGAGTGGTCACACAGCATTAGGTCAAGCAACACATGATAGCCTGTACTCAAATCTGGGACCAAAATCCAGGTTCATTTTGTTCTGTGCTGCTTGTCTAACTACCTGTAGTCCCCACCTAGATCTGTGGGAGAACCTGAGAAAGGGGTATGTAGTCTCATTTTCGGGTGACGAAGCTGAGGTGACAGATTTTGGGGTGTGCCTTAGGCAGCGTGACCAGCAAGCAGCAAATGTAAGACTGCAATTTGAGTATACTGGTTTTGGGGTCTCTTGCTCCACCCCCACTTTGAGCATGCAAATGTATGGCATTATCATCAATGAAGTACAGTGTGACTCTCACACGAAGCCCTGTGCTTTTATTGTCTCATTTATACAAAATTAAATTTTTAAAATCTTTTTTATTTTTATTTTCTTAAATTGTTCATTTTTGTTCAGTGTTTGGTCTACACGACTAAATACCAATCAACACAGTTTTTGGTAGTTCACAGAGCCCTTTTACATACAGAATCATTCGTAAGAAGTTCAGTGATTTTTCTCTTCTTTCACTTTACCCTTCAAATATAGTTTATAAGAAGGCACATGCAATTGTTTTGCCCAGTGTCACTCCATATCATAAGATTCAAATAGAATTAAATTCAATAGAATTTTAAATTCAATAGAATTTAAAAATCAAATTGCATGTGCCATGGCTGACCCTGACAGTGACTATTCTTGTCCCCATGTCTGGGAATGGAGACACCCAAAGATAAATCATGTGCCTCTGCTGAGATTAGGAACTAGTTAGGTCTGTGTGTTCCCCCCAGCCTCACCCGCATGTTCAGAGGGCTCAGAAGAGAAGAAGATCAGGTCTGAAGATTGGGATAAATCTGTGACAGTGACCCACCAAGAGGTCAAACATACACTCCTGAAAGAGGTCAGCTGGGATTTGTGACTAACAAGACAATTTAACTGAGTTTCATATTGTGTATTTGTCCTCCTAAGTGATGACTGTATTTTCTTGGCTTAAGACTTCCTTCATAAATGATTCAGAAAAGCTACCCAGGTGATTGTGACATAAAGTTAGGTCTGGGAACCATCACCTCAACATTGCAGTAAACAGTGCTTTTCCACTTTGGCTGATTGTTGGAATTGCCCAGAGCACTTTAGAAATGTTGCATTCCCAGACCACAGTATTTAAAATTCTGAAGGTGAGTCCAGGATGCAACCAAGGTATTGAGCCACTCTAGTCAAACTGTCACACCACCTATATTTTTCGTCAGAGGTGAGGGGCTCCGGCTTAAGGTGTGTTCTGTGTGTGCAGAATGTTCTTGTGGTTTCAGCAAAACAGGACACTTGACGACACTGTGCTGAGTTGTCTTCCATGCCTCTGCCCACCCTTGGCCGTTAGAATTATATGACCTAACATTTCTATTTTAAGTGGATGTACCAAACATTTTATTTATGAGGAAACCAATATACATACATACATTTTACATAAGACGATTTTATATTCCTCATTCAACAAACTGACTTTTGACATTTTTACTTGTATTTCATCCCCAGGTTTTCCACAAACTTGCACCCAGGTTCAGGATCCTTATCCTGCACAAATCATGTGAGCCTAGACAGTTCATATCCTTCTCCAGCTAGTAACAACGCTCTCTCCCAATTGAATTCCAGCTCTCAAAGTCAGTTGCCACCCACCTTGTTCTGTACAGTTTTTGATAGAGGAGGAATGACTACTTGTCAGAGTTGGCTAAAGTTATCCTTTTTCTTGGGGTAAGTCCCCTCTCTGTTAGCTAGTCTTGAAGTGGATGGGAAGTCTGAAGCCTCGTTTTCCTCAGTTGCCAAGAGCTATCAAACTTTTATTATGAGGGCCTCCCCGGTGGTGCAGCAGGTTGAGCACAGCGCTGTGAAACTATCCGCAGCCTCTGCAGCGTGGGTTAGATTCCCGGCTGGCCAGGGAGATTCCCAGATGGTGCAGCAGAGCTCTCCTGCCTTGCCCACTGCTCCCCTCAGCAGCGTCTTCGGTCCATCTGCCTGTTCTGCTCCCCGCTGTCTCTGGTGAATCCTCTCACCCTCCTGCACCTCTGGCCTGTACCCCAGCTCTTGTATAAAACATAAATAAATAAATCTTAAAAAAAAAACAACAAACTTTTAGTATGAAAGAACCAGGCCTTGTGATGGACGCTAATTGTAAAACCAAGAAGTCTTACCGTCAAATAAGACCAGCAGATGTGTATTAAGTGCTGCACAGCGATGCAAAAATGATAGTAAAATCATCATTTGGGCACACAGGAGAGAGACTGCATCAACATACACACACAGTCACATACACCCTTAACACAGTTGACCGTGAATTTCTCCAGATTTAAGAAGGGAGAAAGGGGTGTCTGGGCAAAGCTAATCCTTCTGTGCTTGGGGTCCTCTCCCTTCCCTTGCACAGGCAGTTGTCCCTCCCTATACCTGTTGCTTCTCCAGTTGCTCTGCCATCCAATGTGCCTAGCCTTTTTGGGGTCACAACCACTTTAAGAATCTGGTGAGGTTGGGAAGTCTCCCAGAGAAATGCAGATTGAAGCAACAGTTTTGTGCTCATTTGCAGGCTCCCTAAGGCCAATCCTTGGATCCTCTAAAACCTGCATAACTGCCAGTGACTCTTTGTTAAGTGGGGTCACACTGTGGAACCTAGTCTTTTAAATCTGGCTTTTTCTGGATTCTCTCCCTGAGCAAATGGCAGCATTCTTCCTACCACCGAGACTGGAAAACCAGGAAATTTTCTGCCTTCTGTATATCCTTAAGTCATTTCAAAAATGTTTATTTTATACCCTCTTTGTGCAGGCCTAGTGTTAGATCCTGGGTGCCAAAGCAAATAAGGTCTACCAAATCCTTTTCTCATGTTTCTTTTGGGAAAAAAAGTCTGGATTCCTTAATGTGATTTCCTGAGTTCTTCATAATCTCTTCCATCTTCATCTCTCTACTTCCATGTATCTTTCCTGCAGCCTGGAGGCATGTACTTGCTCTTCCCTATGCCTTTGCTCTGCTCACACTTTCCTCATCACTTCTCCCACTCACCCCTGCTACTTTGCCTAGCTTTAGGTTTCTTTTAAGATTTGCTTCTAGTCCTATCTGGGAAATCTCAGACTGCCCTATGGCCAAGGACATATTTACAAGTGTAGCAAAGCACGATTTACTAGGTATCAGGAGTTTAACTGTGCTTTGAAGTGAAAAAAATCTGGATTTAAAGTTGTCTATATAATACAGTTCCAATATAATGTATTTGCATATACTGTTAAAAACATACAGGTAAATCAGAAGTGGAAGAAAAGTAGTTAAGTGACTTGTTCATAGCTATACAGTTGGTAAATTGCAGAGCTTAAACTTAGGTCCTGGGATAATGGAATTATGGATGACTAAAAGTTTTTTTCTTTAACAATAGTTTTTTATACTTAATGATTTGTTCTAACAGTTGGCAATAAATGGCAGGAATGTTATGACCATCTAAATATTGTCCACTGCAGATCTAAGTAAGCTAAGCAGATCTAAGCCTGCTATAATTGTATTTCATTTTTGGAACAGCATTTTTTTTTTTAATGAAATTTCTAGCTGCCTTTCTTTTCCCCTTTATACTCTACTTTTAGTACATCCTTGACTATTTTCAAATTCTCCATCTGATTAGATAATCTGTTGAGTGTCCTGATTTTCCCTTATATATTTCCTTTCCAGGTATCTCCTGCCTTCTGCTGTAGTCTGTCCTTGGTGTTATTTCTGCTGACTGGTCTCTTGTTATCCTTGGCTCTATTGTGTCCTCTATTGTGTCTATTGTATCTTCTTCTTTCTTCATTTACCCCCTCATTTGTCTGCCGCCTATCATTTTCGTCATCTGTCAAGAAAGAGTATGTAGACATAAAAATTGTTGAGAACTTATGACTAAGACAATTTTTTCTGCTTTCACACTTGATTGGTAATTGGGCTCTGAAATTCTAGGTTAAAAATTAACTCCAGAAACTTTCAGTCTTATAGCATCCGCCATTGCTAATGAGATGTCTGAGTCTGATTTTTATTTCTCTGACAGTCAATAAATACTATTTACATTGCTATGATGTGTCCCCACACCTCCATGCCAGGGGGCTTTTAAAAGGCTCGTCTTCATCTTTGGTGTGCTCCATTTCTTAAGGTACTCAGTGGAATTTTTCAATTCAGTGACTCAGGTACTTCTGCTTTTGACAATTTTTCCTTTTTTTTACTCTTTCTAGAATTCTTGTCAATCAAATGTTGGACCTTTGGGACTGATTCTCAACTACTTTATTCCATTTCCTTGTTTCATGCCTCTGTCTGGGCAAGTATCTTGATTATTTTTTGACCTTTCTAACATTTTTTGACCTTTCTAACATATTTTTTGACAGTAGTTTAATTTCTAATCCTCTTCTTATTTTTCCCTTTTTGTGACATAATCTCTTTTTAGAGCTACTTTTTAAATCTTAATATTCCAGTTAAGAGGTTTTCTTAAGTTTCTTTTGTTACTTGAAATATCCCATCCCTGAAATAGCTCATCCCCCTGTTCTCTGCATCCTTTTTTCTCTTTGTTACCCTGTTTGCCCTCATTGGAGACTTTCTCAAACGTGTTATAATTCTTACTACTACACAAATACACATATATGTCTGTGCATATCAAAAGCCCAATTGAGACCTTTGAATGTAGAAGGAATTTACCCAATAAAAAACTTTCTACTAGAGTAGAAGGGAGACCTGAATGCCAGAACACAGAGATCTTTTGCCTGGGCCTTATATTTCTTTAGCAACAAATGCCTCTTATGTTATGCCTAGATTTGAATGCTATTATAAGCATGTTGATATCATTTAGAAAACTATCCTAAAATGCAATACTTTGGCAGTAATTTATATACTTAATATTTTTACAAAACATGGACAACACAATCTAAGTGACTAGCAGTAGAGGGATGACTGAATTATGATATGATGAAATACGATGTAACTACACAAATCATTATTTAAAGAAAATTTAGTGGTGACAAAATTTTCACAGTATTAACAAACAATACAAAATAGAGTATGGAGAGCCCAGATTTCTAAAATGTACATGCACAGAAAAAGTGGAAGTGGGGGGGGGAAGTGGAAGGAAACAAATGCTTTGGTAGATTAATAGAGGTTTGGTTTTCCTGTGTCTGCATTTTCAATGATGGTTCTGAATTATTTTCTGACCAGTAGGGGAAAGTTAATAAAAGAGAAAGACCATGGCTTGTTGAGAGTGGTAAGATGTACTGGTGGGTATGGGATGAGCAATGGGGAGCAACAGAATAATGGCCTGGGGAAATACCCAGTTACCAAGGGCTTCATTCCAGGTGAAGTAGTTCCTTCGAAGACTAGATGCAGTCCCACTATTTTCGACATATTGCCTGTCATGGAGCAGGAGTGTGGAGGCTGGGGAGGGGAGAAAGGCATTCTGGAGATCACACAGAGTCCAAAAGAGATTGTGAGATTATGAAGCCAGAGCCTGTGCTGCTTTCTCCCAAGGTACTCTCCCCTGCTTCCCCACCCCACACTCCTCAAGTGCCCCTCTTCATCTCTAAAGGTTATTTGTTAAATTGAAAGAACAATTCTTACAGGTAGCAAAAAGTTCTAAGGTGCAAAAATACACTAAAAAATAAGGCGGCCCAGGGTAGCCCAGGCAGCAGTATTTAGAGAAAACCATTGTAAGTTTCTCAAGGCTTTCCAGAGAGGGTTCATCCATTTACAGTCTTAGGTATCCCTCTTAAAACAGGAACTTAGAATCTTACACACTGTCTACACCTTGTTTTTTTTCCTTAGCTTGTTTTAGAGATGGTCCTATTATCAGTCTATAAGATCTACCTCATTCTTTTTTTTTTTTTTTTTTTTTTCACTGCTGGGCAGTAGTTCCATCCTTTGGATTTATCACAGTTCATCTGGCCGGTGCCCTGTGTAGACTTCTAGGTTCTTTTCTATCTTTTGCTATTACAAGCCATGCCGTGTTGAATATCCCTGGTGCACGCCATCCCTGGTGTGTGTGCTACTTTGCCAGCAGTTTAATTGATAAAGGGTAAGTGCATTTGATATTTTGATAGAAATTGCAAATGTGGTTCCCTGTATGTATGTGAAAAATGCCCATTTACCTGACTCCTCCATAAAGCAATTGTTTGGTCATTTATGTCCTGATAAAGTGAAAAACGCTGTTTTAATTTGCGTTCGATGTTTTCGAGTGAAACTGGATATTGTGTTCAATGTTTAAAAGCCATTGTATTCTGCGAATCTCTTGTTCATGTTCGTAAGCCATTCTTTTCCACCTGTTGGGTCATTGATCCTTTTAAAAATTGATTTGTACAAACTCTGTAGTAAAGAAACTACCCTTCTTATCTGCCGTATGTTTTAAACATTTTTCCCAGTTTATAGTTAGTCCATTAATTTTTGCTGTTAAGATATTTAAGATGTAATAATGTCAAATCAAAGATTTGCTTTCAAGACTCACCCATGATTGCCTCTAGTCCTTTGAGATAAGTCCATTTGAAATTCATCTCACAATAAAGGCGGAGATGAATTCTGACCCTGACCCGGCCCTTTCTCTCTGGGGTCCAGAAAGATCAACCCAGCAGAAGAGCTACAAAGAGACACCTCCGGGCTACCTAGAGCTGCCAAGCAAGTGCCTGCAGCTGACTTCTTCCCGGGGTTGGGTTCGTTGAGTGGTGAGCGGGCGCGCATTAGCGAGCAGAAGGTCGAGGGTCGCCAGGGCCACCTCTCAACTTTGGGTGAGCGGGGTGGGGTTGCAGTTCAGAGGTCAGCAGCTGCAACGAGGGAGAGAGCTGAAGGCAGAGCTGGAGGAAGCAGGTAGGCTGCGTGTGCAGGGGATGAAGGAGGGAGACCCAGTCCGGTGAGGGAGGAGGAGCAGCCTGCACCTGCAGTCCTGCAGCCTGCACTGGGAGGGAGAGGGAAGCTGCTCCCTCAGGTCAGCTGGGGGAAGAGGTAGGCAGCGATGGAGGTGGGAGTGTTGGGGATGGGGCCAGGGCTGCCCGGGGAAGTGTGGAAGTGTCGGGCATGGGGAAGAGCCAAGACTGGGAGGTGGTGGAAAGGGAACAACTGGGGTGGAGGTGGGAGGGGACCGGTGTGGGTAGAAAAGGTGGAGCTCAGACTGGGACAGAGGTGGCTCTTCCTTCAAGACCTTGGGGCCCCCATCCTACCCAGGTGTTCGCTACCATAGGTGGGCTGGCCATGAGCCAGGATGTGCTGTTGGGGACTAGTCTGGCCTCTCAAACCTGGTGGTGAGGAAGAGTACATTGTTGATGGGCCCTGCCCCACACCTTCAATCCTGAACAAACCCCTGTGCTGGAAACATTAGCCTTCCCGTCCTGCCTCCACCCAGGCCTGTAAGTGAAGCCTGGACCGAGTCAGGGATTTGAAATGGCCACCTTTTAATACACACACCTTTCACACTCCTGCAGGAAGAAAGGATAGGTGTGGATTAAAGAAGGAATTATTCATGAATGGAAAAGCTTTTACTTTAGCAGTTCTACATAGGGCTCTGTTCCTACTGACTGATTTACTCATGGGTATTGATGCTTTTCATCCCCTGGTAGTGGTGAGGCCTGGACTGGGCAAATGGGAGGAGGCAGCATAGGGTTCAGTCAAGTTCAGGTCTAGCCCTGGAGCTGGGCTGGATTCTGCATCACTGTTAAGGGGAGAGCTACACCAAATATGCTGGAACCCTTAAGTATTAAGAAGAGGCCTTGACTGATGATGGGACAGGAAACAGGTGGAGGAGGAAGGAGAAATGTGAGGTCAAAACTCAGGTCTCAAAAAATAGACTATTTAGACTAGCGTGCAGGGAGCCGAGGGATCCAGAGGATACCTAACAGGAAGTAAGGGCCTCGGGCAAGGTCTGGGCTTGAAGTGGGAGCAGGGTGGGTTTGTACCTGGTCCCGAACAGCTGTGGGGACAAGCACCTTTCCTTCCATCCTACTGCTCAGTGCTGGGCTTTTGGAACACCAGGCACAGACTCTTGAGCTGTGTTTCCAGGGGGACAGGTCCCAAGGTTGACCCTGCCTCTTTCAGGATCTGATGACCCTCCTAATGGACCAGCCTCTGGTGAACAGTATTTACTGTCCTTCAAACCATACTATGTGAACCCAAAACTTTGGGTGCTTCATGCTGTCTAACCCCACTTCCCTTCAGCTGTAAACCACAGTCACCATTACCAGTGGAGCAGAGAATTGACATTTACCTTGCTAAGCATTTCATGCATATTAATATATTTAATTATTAGGACATCACCATGAAATTGGTACTGTCATCCCATTCTACAGATAAGAAAACAGGCACAGAGAGGTCAAGTGGCTGCTCATGGCAGAGGTGGGCTTTGACCTCAAACACTCTGGTCCCAAAGGCCACACTCTGGCCCCAGTGAATGATGCCAACTTAGGGGTATTGTTCACTGGGCTTCCTCAAATCCCTAAGTCTTTCTCACCTAGAACATAACTGACTCTTTCCATTTGTTTTTGCTATATATTATTTGTTTTTATTATATATTATATGCTTTTATCTTCTATGTCTTGCTCAGATAAAATTGAGTCCATAGTTGAAAAGGAGAATTTTATTCTGGAGCCAGCAAATGTGAGAGGAGAGTTCTCTGGACGACTCCAGAGGGGAATTCCAGAAGTCTATGCTTTGGGGAAGCCACAGAACAGGGGAGCAGGAGAGTAGAGCCTTCTGAGCAGCCTGGAGACAATTCCATGAGGAGAGACAAGCCAAGCACCAGCCAGAAAAACAATTTCCAGGTGAGAGAGGTCAGAACTTAATGGAACTAAAGGGAGGTACCTCCCAAGGTGCCAGCCTGAGGTCCCAGCAAAAACCTTTATGCATGTGGGCCTCCCCAGTGGCGCAGTGGTTGAGCGCTGGGTTGCGAAGCTGCCGGCGACCTCTGCGGCGCTGGTTCGATCCCCGGCTGCTCCCCGGTCACCAGAGGAGGGTCCCACATGGCGCGCAGACCTCTCCTGCCGCCCGCTGCTCTCCTCAGCAGTGTGCTTCGTTTGTCTGCCTGCTCTGCTCCCCGCTCTGGCTCTGGTGAATTCTCTCACCCTCCCGCGCTTCTGACTGTACCCAGTGCATGTATAAACAAAAACGAACGAACAAACAAACAAATAAATAAATAAAAAACATGCCTCTATAAAAAAAAAAAAAAAGAGCCAAAAAAAAAAAAAAAACCCTTTATGCATGTACTGAGTGTGGCAAGGCCTTCGGCCATAGCTCACCCTCATTGTGCACCAGAGAATCCACACAAGGGAGTACAGGTGTGGGAAGTGTAGGAAACCCTCCATGCATAATTCCCACCTCATCCAGCACCAGAGGGTGCACACACGCGGGAGAAGCCCTGTGTCTGCAGCACGTGTGGCAGGGCCTTCATCCAGGGCTCAATCCTCGTCATGCACCAAGGTGTGTGCACGGGGCCAAAGCCATATATGTGCTCCGAGTGTAGCAAGACCTTCAGCCGCAGCTCTCGCCTCCTGGTGCACCAGCGCACCCACAGGGGCGAGAAGCCTTATCACTGCCCAGTGCAGGAAAGCCTTTAGCCAGAGCTCCCACCTCATCTTCCACCAGACCATTCATGCCTCAGAGAAACCTCAGCCTGCCTCTCTAGTCAGAGCCCAGTGTTGATGAGGGTCAAGTTTTCAGCTCCAACACTGGATCCAACTAAGAGGAAGCCAGGCCTTGTCATCAATCTTGGTCTGTGTTGGTATTTCCAAACAGCCCAGGCAGGTTCCCATGAGAGCCTCCAGTGTCTCTGGAGATAAGATGCACACACATATATGCACACAGGAATGACTGAAGGACCCTGGAAGACAAGCTATGATAAAATGCTGAGCTGTGTACAGAGAAAGCAAGATCCATAAAGAGAGGAACACGTTGAGGCCTCATGGACTGGTACTGCGTTATAGGGAGGAGGGGACCTTCAGCAAAAGCCTAAGAATGAGTCTAAGTGGTCCTGTGAGGGTGGATGTGGAATCACTGGGAGTGGCAGGCCCCAGATGCACAGGGGAAAATAGGAAGACTGAGGTCAAAAGCCCTGGGGCATGGAGTCTGCATACCAAGGCTGAGGCTGTGCCCACAGGAATTGGCTTCTTGCACCAGTGTGACTCTGGTGAGCCCCTGAAGGCCTACGCCTCATTTTCCATGGTGCTCTGATGCAGGAATTAGACACAGGCACTTTGAGCACTCCTTTCACTCTGACATATGACATGTCAGGAGCTGTGGAGCCTTTGGCAGAAAGCACCGGGAGGTGTGGGGAGAACGATGCTGGGGGTGACTCAGTATATGGATAGGAAGGGAAGAAAAGGAGATTGATCACATAGGGGGCAGCTAGAGAAATCCAGTTTGTTCATCTCAGACTAGGGTCCCTGCAGCAGGTGACTGCTCAGAGTTCTTTTTGTAGTCAGCATCCATTCATTTTACAGCTTACTGCCTTTTGTGTAGAAAGCACCATGGTGGGTGTGCTGAAGAATCAGTGAGTGAGGTCCTTCTCAAGGAATCCTGCAGTGGGGGTAAAGCCAACATAAGGTAGAACATGCTGGGGCCAGACAATCTAGAATAATTAGGAGAGGCAGGAGAGGGTGGAGTATGAAGAAAGTGGCATTTGAGCTGATCCTTAAAGCAGGGGAAGTGGGATTTTGAAACCTGCTGAGGGAGAGTTGTGCCTAGAAGGATCTCTGAAAAGCTAGGAACAAATTGGGGATACTGTGTATGGACTGTGTGTGGTGTTGCCTCCGGAGACAAAGATGGCATGACAGTTAGGCTCTGGATGCTTGGAAATGCTCATTTACATGAGTTGGAGTGCCCAGGAGCCCCAAACCCTTTCTAGCACTGGATTTTATAGCAGAAGTTTTATGAATAAAGAAAATGTCTGTGCTTTCATTGTCACTAAGCAATGTTAGATTTGAAACACTGATGTGGCCCAATGTAGTAAATGAATCAGTTGGATGTACTGATGTCCTGGTTGCCAGCAGCTTCCAGATATGCTGGTTATTTTTTCTTTTTTTCTTTTTTTAGCCCAAACCAGACTGAGACATGGCAACCTGCCATTGTGCAGGCTTTGGTTGTCTTGTGCTGGGGTCCTTTGGTTGTCTTGTGCTGGCCACCAAACCCAGCTCGCACCAGGAGGCCCCACTTTCAATGACATGCTATTCTTTTTTTTTTTTTAATCTTTTCCACTAACTGTTAAAAAAATGTAAAAACCATTCTTTGGGGACTCTCTGGTGGAGTAAGGGGACTCTCTGGTGGAGTATAAAGCTATCTGCAGCATGAGTTGGATGCATGGCCAGGGAGCTGACCCACATTGCGCAGCAGACCTCTCCCGTCCTGACCACTGCTCCCCTCAGCAGTATATTTCAGCAGATCTGCCTGTTCTGCTCCCCACTCTGTCTCTGGTGAATCCTCTCACCCCCCAACCTCTGGCCTACACCCCAGTTCTTATATGCATAAATAAATATTTAAAAAATGTATTTAAAAAAAAAAGCATTCTTAGTGTGTGGTCAGTGCAACATGGGGTAGGCTGGATTTGACCTTGGCTTGCTAACCTTTCAAGTAAGCAAAAACTGAGCTTACTTTCTAGACAAGGAAACACACACTGGTAAAGAAATTCTCTAATTAGCTCCTTGAGGGGATTTATGTGTCAGGAAAGTGGGGCTTTGTGTTTATTGATATTATGCTAATTAAGCTTGCACCCTTGAAAACTGAAAGGAGTCCAGAATCTCTGAACTTCAGGGTTGGCTAAGTCAGCAATATGGCTCTGTTTCACTTAGAATTCCTTTCTTTCCCCGTCTGGGTAATGGCTTCATCCTCAGGCAGAGACCAAGATGGCTATACTCTTCTGATTCTCATATCCACTCACAACTTTCTCCATCACTGTTACTGGAACCTCACTCAGAATGCTGAAAGTCCTTCCCAGGAGCCTCCTTTATCTCTTCCTATCCTCAAATTGTTACAGGGCAGGGAGAGGGGCAGCCCAAACCCTGCAAACTTGCCTATTCTAAATGGGTTCTGCCATCCGCCGCATCAACACAAAACATGAGACTTTAATACAATTAGTAAACAATACAGAAAAGGCAAAGAATATAGTTTCTAAATCAAGCACCTAAAGTTACCCGTTCCCTCGTGGGTAAAAGTCCACTCAAGCAGGATTGGCCCAGAGCAAGGCCTCGAAGACTGCCACAGGTCTAAAGCATCTTCTGGTGGGGACCCACAGAAAAGCATCAAAAACAACCACACAAGTCTGGAGCAAAAAGAGCAAAATCAAAATCAAGACAAAAACTGCCATGGTCACCTCCCCACGGGTCTCACCCACATCTGTGTCACGCAGTCCATGATCAAAAGACAAGTGCAGTTTCTTCACATGTCTCTAGGCTCCATGCGCCTCCTCCAGGTCTCCTTCTGGCTCCATCCTGCTTCCCTCCTCAGTCTCCTCTGCAGCTGCTTCTCTTTCTGCTCAGCTCCACCCTCCATTTGGGTGGGGCAGGGAACCTGGAACCTCCCCCTTTCCTGGGGACCACCCTGTTACAAAATGAGTCAACTGTTATAAGATAGATTGGATAGATTGTTTTGTTTACACATGGTTGTCAACAACTGGATAGATTGTTATAGGTCAGCACTAAGGGAAGACAGGGTGACCTGGGTGTGAGTCCTCACCTGCATGCTTAAGAACTGGGGACAAGATCCAAAAGCTGATATGCAGAGATAATTTTTTAATAAAAAGTTTGTTTACAAGGGGAATTATATTTCCAAGAGGAATTAGAAGAGGGATAACAGAAATAGAGATTGACTGGTCCTCACATCTAGTAACACCATCTGAGCTGAGATCCAGCATGCAAGTCCAAAGCCAAAAAGCCCAAGCCCGTGTTTTTGCTATGTATCCAAGCATGGCTGCTTTACTCCACCGCTAGTTCTCTGCTATCCCTAATTCAGGAAGTCAGGAATTGTAGCCTGTAGTACCTGAGATCTCTTCAGCATCAAGGGGGGGATGGAGCTTGTAAAAATTGGAGTTCATTCCAGACATCAGGGGCTCAGAGTTTGCCTCTTATGCTAATGTGATTACACATTCTTCCAACTTCTGTGTGAATGCCTCTTTGCGATGTGATTTACATCGTCCCACTAAGTGATGGGGGTTCTCTTTTTCTCTACCCCATGGACCTGGATTCAGCATGTGAGTTATTTTAACGAATGAAATATTCGTAAGCTTGTTACAAGCAGAGACTTACAAAGTGCATGTACATTGGGGCTTGCCATTATGGTGCTCTTTGAAACTCAGAGCCAGCCCTGAGAAAACCCAGGAGAGAGAACTGGTGGAGCGATCACGTGGAGCAGAGACAAGTTGTCCCAGATCAGGTGCCCTCTACACCAACCTGCCTGGCAAACTTATTACACAGGTTAAGTGAGACCGTTGAAAACAGCCCACCTGAGCCTGCTCAGACTAGGAAAACTACTAAGATTACCCACGGTATTATGAGAAGTAATACATATTTATTGTTTTAAGCCACTATGTTTTGTGGATTGTTAAGAAACAGCAGTTTGGGGCCTCCCTGGTGGCACAAGGGGTTAAGCACAGCACTATGAAGTAGTCCGCAGCCTCTGCAGCATGAGTTCGATCCCTGGCCGGCCAGGGAGTGACCCACATGGGGAGGCAGACCTCTCCTGTCTCCCCGCTGCTCCCCTCAGCAGTGTACTTCAGTCAGTCTGTTCTGTTCCCCACTCTGTCTCTGGTGGGTCCTCTCACCCCCCGCATCTCTGGCTTGTACCCCAGCTCCTGTATGCATAAATAAATAAATCTTAAAAAAAAAAAAAACAGAAGTTAATTGATAATATGCCCATTCGCGAGGCAATGGCAGGCAAAGAGAATTGTATTGCCTGGAATTGAATGAAACGACTCCGCTGGACAGCTCCCTCGGTGCCAAGCTGTTTCCATGACAACCATGTGTAAACAAAACAGCTTTGCAAGAAGTAAAAGGGGTTCCTATCGGGGCTATTTTGAGCAGATGGCGTGTACTAGTCCCCATGGAGATGGCCCACTCTCGCACTTGACTCTTCTGCCCCACAGGTGGGTCTGCGTGGTCTACACGTTACCTGAAGGGCGAGGTGAGCTCCGTGTCCTGCAGCGGGCCTTCTGGAACGCGGCTTGGCTGGGAGGAAGCGAGCAGGCGCGCAGGGCCTTCGGGCGGGCCCCCAGCGCTGGGAGCCCCCGCGCGGCGCGCGTGGCGAGGGCGCGGGGCGCGGTGACGCACTACCGGCCGCGCCGCTGCTCTTCCTGCCCGGCGGCCGCCCCGGCCCTGGCCGCGCGCACCCGAGACCCGAGTCGTCGCCCCGCAGGCCGCCAGGACCTCACGGTGAGGGGCCGGGGCCCCAGGGAGGGAAGGAGCGGCTGCGGGGCGCGCCTCGCCGCGGGGCGGGTTCGGGCCTGGTTCTCCCCGGAGGGCCTGCGTGCGCGGGCTGCGGGCCCCTGCGGCCTGGCTGAGCCCCGCTCTCTCCGGGCGACGCACTGAGATGCCTAAGGGGAGGGAGGGAGGGAGTGTTGAATAAATGAACGAATGAAGGTTAAATGACTAACAGGTAGAACCTATGTTCACAAGCGCAATCCTGTGGGTCAGAATTCTCGGTCTGGAGACCCCCTACCGCTTCCAGCCAATGCTGCTGCTTAGAAACTTTTGATGGGACCTTCGTAGTAGGAGACAGCGAAGAATGTAAAACTCACTAGATTGGGGAGCTTCGAGACCCGGGCTATAATTTCCAAGGATTCAGAGGCTGCTGCTTGACCAGTCTGTGGACCCTGCTTCCTTTCTTTCCAAGGCTCAGGTGACAGCATGTTCCTGATACTAAGTATGCAGAGTTTTACTGTCAGTTGCTAAGCATCGCACAGGTTTTAGGGACGTGGTTGCAGAGTAAGTGACATTGAACCCGGCCAATGGGAAAGTACTTACAGTCTAGTGCTGAAAGATATGTATGAGCATTTTTTTTTTTGGTAATATATTTTTAAAGATTTTATTTATTTATGCATAGAAGAGCTGGGGTACAGGCCAGAGATGCGGGGAGTGAGAGGATTCACCGGAGACAGAATGGAGAACAGAACAGGCAGACTGCCTGAAATACACAGCTGAGGCGAGCGGCAGGCGAGTCAGGAGAGGTCTGCTGCACCATGTGGGTTGCTCCCTGGCCAGCTGGGAATGAACTCATGCTGCAGAGGCTGCGGATTGCTTCATAGTGCGGTGCTTAACCCCTTGCGCCACGAGGGAGGCCCATTTTTTGGCCTTTTTTTTTTTTTTTTTCCGGTGGGACCCTCGCCGGCGGCAGGGGAACGAACTGGCACTGCAGAGGCAGCAAGCAGCCTCTGCAGCCCAGCGCTCAACCGCTGCGCCACCAGGGGTGGCCCTTTTTGGCAATATTTTAAGGTGCATTTATCTAGCACTGTTCATAGCATCTGTGTTACTTTGTTTAATCTCAGCATCACATTATCTGTGGTTTTAATGAGGAAATTGAGATACGGGGAGATACATCTTTTGCAAGGGCTCATTTGTCAGTGATCCAAAGCTAGGAGAGAGTGTGGTGGTTTTTTTTTGTCCAACCAAAATACCAAGGACTTCAGAGAGTACATTTACGTGTGGTGTTTTTTTTTTTTTTAAGATTTATTTTATTTATTTATGCATATAACAGCTAGGGTGTAGGCCAGAGGTCAGAGGTGTAGGGGGTGAGAAGATTCACCAGAGACAGAATGGGGAGCAGAAAAAACAGATGCACTGAAATACACTGCTGGGGGAGCAGCAGGGAGACAGGAGAGGTCTGCTGCAACTGTGGGTTTGCTCCCTGCCTGGGGATCTAATTCTTGCTGCAGTGGCTGCCAACAGCTTCATAGTGCTGAGACTTAACCCCTTGCGCCACCAGGAAGGCCCCATTTAAGTGTGCTCTTATAGAATGGATTGTTTCAAATTCTTGAAAACCCTTCCCTACTTACCCAGAATCCGTTAGCTTAATATTGAGGGGTAAGGAGGTCGCAATCAGGAGAAAGACATGAGACCTGAGGAGGAAACCAGTGTCCTGTTGGTTTCACCAGGATGAGACTATTAAGCTTCTTACCTTTCATCCTTCATAATATTCATCTCTCCCCAAATCTGGATTTAGACAGTTCTTTAGCATCTTAAAATCACTGACAATCAGGTTAATTGACAGGAGGCATTTGTGGGAGCACCTGCACATTCCTCTTGGGACCGTTTGTAAGCCAGGGAATTCTAAACTTCCTTTTAAAAAAAAAAAGGTTTCTTTACAACACAGCCACACCCATTCATATTGTCTAGTTATGATTTTAAAGAAACTACAAAGGAAAAGTTGAATCCTTGTGACAGAGACTATATAGTTCATTTTGCCCACAAAGCCTAAAATATTTCCTTTCTGGTCCTTTACAGAAAAAGTTTGCAGTTTTACATAAACTACTTAGAGCTGAATGTTCCACAGTTGGAAGAATGTGTTCATCACAAGATGTCTTTTCTCCATAGATTTTACATAATAACAACAATGCTTAATCACTGTTGAGTGCGTATCATGTGGCAGGTGTCTTTTTAAATGCTTTATGAATTCTTTTAATGAATACTTCATAGAACGTTAAAACTGTAAGCACTTGTGAATATTATCTAATTTGAAAACTTTTTCAGTTAAATGCCTGTCATGTAGTTCCTCTCAGCTGGGCTATACCAGCAAAGTTTCCTGCCTCAGAGTCCAATCCATTTTAATCTTATTCTGAATGGGAGGCCAATATGCAATCCTTTGGTTCTGGCCTTTTTGTTTTTATTCTTTTTGTTGCAGAAACCTTATGAACAAAATCTGACCTTTTAAAAATAACTTTTTCTCTGACTATAAAAGTAATACTTGTTATTGTGGGGAAAATTAAATGAGTAGAAGAATATAAAGGATATAGTAAAGTACCCGTTCAGTGGCCTAGAGATAAATATGTTAGCATTTTGGTGAGCTTTGTTCTGGGGTGTGTGTGTGTGTGTGTGTGTGTGTGTTGTATGTATCTGTGTATTAAAATTGTTTCTGTTTATTGAATTTTTATTAAGTGCTGGTATGTGCATATTTTTTCTTGTGTTTTATATCCTTTTTTAGCATACTGCATTTTCTCATAAATATTCTTTGAAAACATTTATTTGTATTTTTGATATAGTGACACATTGATCCATTTTTGTCCTTAGAAAAGTATTCTCTAACCCCCAAATCAATCATTTCTCAATATTTTACTTTGCAGTTTCATTTTTTATATTTAGTCCTTTAATGAGTTTAGGTTTATTTTGGTTATATGGTATGAAATAGACTCTTACTGTTTTTTCCCCACATACTTAAGAAAGAATGCCAATATAATTTGTGAATCATGAATTTATGCTAGGAAATGCCAATATCATATATATTAAATTCTTTTAAATATTTTAACCTTTCAAATATTTATTTTAAAGATTGATTTATTTATGCAGACAAGAACTGGGGTGCAAGCCAGAGGAGTGGCGGCAGGGCAGTGAGAGGATTCACCAGAGAGACTGGGGAGCAGAACAGACAGATTGACTGAAATACACTGCTGAGGGGAGCAGCGGGTGAGACAGGAGAGGTCTGCTGCACCATGAGGGTTAGCTCTCTGGCAGGGGATCGAACTCATGCTGCAGAGGTTGGTGACAGCTTGATAGCACTATGTCTTTAACCCCTGCACCACCAGGGAGGCCCAACTTTCAAATATTTCTTATAGGAAATTAGGAATCTTTAAAATAAAAAACCAGGGTTAAACTTTTAAATGTGTGGATCACTGTTGAAGTTTTCTTGCCCACACTCCTTTGATGATTTTATATTACTCCTTGGATTTCAGTTCCTTTCTTCATGGGAAAAACTCTAAATGTTACGTATGTTTTCAGTCCATATGTCTCTTCTCTATTCCAGATATGTGTGCCTACTTTCTAAATTTCAAAATGAAATGTATCTTTCTCCTCCCCAAAACAAATTTCCACTCTCACTAAAGGTTGTTGTCATCACTGACACTAGAACCTGGCAAACTATCCTGGCTTCTCCCTCTCCCGTTCAGCCCTCCCCAGCATTCATTCAGTCCTGTTGATTCTGTCTCTTAGTTACTCCAGCCCCCTTACTGAATCACTGAAACAACCTCCCAAGTGGCCTTCCAGCCTTCACCTAACCTCCGTGCCGTGCACCCCTTAGACACCCTTTTTCTCTATACCGTAGGCAGAAACATATGTTTTCTTAAAACAGTAGATCTAATTGTGTTGGGTCTTTTCTCAAACCTTTTAAGATCCCTTTTATAGCTATCTGCTCACTTTAGAGTAACTCCTTTAAAATGGTTGGCAGGATTCTACTTGACCTGAGCTTTGCGTCAAGTCCCTGTCTCATTTTGATGCTTAATATTTTAATTCTTAAAATTAATATTTTGGCCTTACTGGATCTTTTTCATTCTTACAAACACTGAGCTTGATTCCTCTTGTATATTCTGTTTCATCTCTATGGTATAGTCTTTTCCTCTTTACCTCAGTCCTGTTTATCTCTTCATCATCTTTATTTCCCAGGCTAGATTAAATTCCCTCCGCTATACATTTCATAGCATTCATATTTATACTTTCATAATTCCCATATTTGTAACTACTGATTTTTGTCCAGTTGGGATGTAAGCTCTGTGCAATGATGTCATGTCTGACTCCTTCTCCATAGTCTAGCTTTGATTATACCCAAATTCTGCTCTAGTTCACTAGTCTGTAGGATTATGTGATAGGTCCCTTTTATGCTCCTTCTGTAAAGTAGAATAAAAATCTCAGCTCAGGAAATTATAGATGGGCTCCTGTGAAATGTTTAAAATGCAATACAGGGACAGACCTTGATGAGAAGCTTGTGAGACCAGTCCTGCTATCTGTACCTCAGCACACCCATCCTCTTCTTCCATGCCTCTGAGCCCTTGATGATGATCAAATCTCTTTCTAGTAGTGCTGCCAGTTCTGCTTTCGGCTGCCAATTCAACTTCTCACTTCAGTGGTATGTGGAGAGATAGATTTGGATGAACAGTTGTGATTTTGACATTTCAGACGTCAGAAACTGCTATTTTTGCAACTTGTTTGTAATTCAAAATTACTTCACGAAGTATTTTTTTAAACTGCAAGTTACATTCTTAGAATGAGCTGTGCCAGAAGAAAAACATTTAATTGATATGACATCTAGAAGAAAAGACAATCAGTATATCTCTAAGTTATATCATATAAAGAGAGTGTCTGATTCTATGCAAGAGAGTATAGTTGAGGTAAATGGATCAGACTTAATGCTTTAGCCTTACTGTGAGGCCACTATCCCATGCAACACTTGATTGTATTGATTGGTTTTTCGTGTGAATTATTGTCTGATGGACAGGGTGCACTAATTGATGTGAATATTCCTATCCACTTCATAGTTACCTTTCCAATTATAAATCACATTCTCATTATTCATCAAAAGCTTGAATGTTTGCTGATATGTCAGTCTGTCTGACTGCCACTTCTTGGATAGCTCACAGAGTTTGTATGAGTTTGTGAACCTAGAAGGCTGGAAGCCAACCCTGCTAGTCACTGACACCGTTGCAACAATGTTCTGACAAGTTTTGTGTGAGTTGTCAGGGAGTGTCCCTGTGCAACAGTGCTTTTTCATTTTTCTGCTTACAGCAACAGTGATATTCCCGACCCTACCTTTTTTCCCCTATGAGCAGAGCTCCCAGTTTCCCAACCTTGAGTATTTTCCAATCAAAACAAAGAGAAGATTTTGTGGAATTTTGTTGCATGTTGAATATGCAAGGTGCTGAAGAGGAAGACAATGGAAGAGAGAGTTGTCCAGGTGAGTGAACAAGTAACAACCAGTGGGAAAAACAGCAGGACTCTGAAAATTTTATAAGAGAAATTGAAGCTAAGGAGAGAAAAGTATTCTTCCTTTTAGGATGTTGGGGGGTGGATGTGGGTGAGCATCTCTTGGGGCCAGCTTCTCCCCAGTACTCTTTTTTTATTTGCCTTTTGTTTTTTTTTTTTGTTTTTTTTTTTATAGAGGCATGCTTTATTTATTTGTTTGCTGGTTTCTTTGTTTGTTTTGTTTATACATGCACTGGGTACAGTCAGAAGCGCGGGAGGGCGAGAGAATTCACCAGAGCCAGAGCGGGGAGCAGAGCAGGCAGAAGGACCGAAGTACACTGCTGAGGGGAGCAGCGGGCGGCAGGAGAGGTCTGCGCGCCATGTGGGACCCTCCTCCGGTGGCCGGGGAGCAGCCGGGGATCGAACCGGCGCCGCAGAGGCCGCGCGCAGCTTCGCAACCCAGCGCTCAACCGCTGCGCCACCGGGGAGGCCCTTATTTGCCTTTTGAAAAGAACTCCCTCCCGCAATTTTACAATAAGAATTTTAATTTCCAGTATGCATAAAGTGCTTAGAAAACGTTTATCCATATACCCACACCTGGACTCTGCAAATAACTTTTTTCTGTATTTGCTTTGTCACATCTCTCTCTACCCTGGTAATACACTAAATACCCCTCCCCACTGCAGACTTATTGAGAAATACATGTATCACTGTAACTTAAGGTTTCAGCACTGTGATTAGATTTTATTTACATATACTGTGAGATGATTGTCACAATAAGTGCTCAGCTAGCATCCTCATAAAGATACAATCCCTAGTACTTCTTTTTCTCAGTTCAGTATTTATCCTTTTACATTTTCCTGCTATCCAGTCTTTGAATATAAACTACCCATGTAGCCTGTCTTGCCTTTACCATTCCCATATTGTTTGTCATTTTTCCTTAATCTCCATTGTTCCTGGTTCACTCAATTGCCTCTTCCATGGAGTTCCTTGTTAGTGGTGATCACCTTACCCTCATTCTGTACTTTCCTACCACTCGCAACTCTGAGTTACTTACCCCATTTGTTTTTATTGGCCTTTACTTTAAACCATTACTGAGACCTGTCAAAGTTGGGGCCCTGCAGTTCTAGGGGCCTCCACACTCTCCTGCACAAGAGAAACTCACTCTGATGGTTTCTTTCAGGTTGGGCGAATAAGCCTGCCTCAGAGCAAGATGTCTCTGAAATTGATTCATCAGAGATAGTAACAAAGAAACTCCAAGGGGATGGATACCAAGATTCTGACTTTGAAAGAAATTATGCATGTGAAAGCATGAAGGAAAACCCTCTTGGAGATGTTCCTGGGCCATACCTATTCCAGGAAGGAGGTTTTCGGGAAATAACTTGCATCCACAAGGAAGCACCTCCTGACATGATTAGCCAAGAATATAATTTTGAGAAAAGCTTGCTTTTGACCTCAAACCTTGTTACACATATCAGGGTTTCTACAGAAGAGAGCCTGCGTCAGTGGGAGACAAGTAGTGTGTATGCCAATGAGATTTCAGAACAAAGTAAATGCCTAACTCTCTCCACTCAGAAAAAGTCTTGGAAGTGTAATGAATGTGGAAAAACTTTTACTCAGCGCTCATCTCTTACCCAGCATCAGAGAACTCACACTGGAGATAGACCCTATGCATGTGAGGAATGTGGGAAAACCTTTAGTCGTAGCTCATTCCTTGTTCAACATCAAAGAATTCATACTGGACTAAAACCATATGGATGTGAGCAATGTGGAAAAACATTTCGATGTCGATCTTTTCTTACTCAGCATCAAAGAATCCACACTAGAGAGAAACCTTATAAATGTAACGAATGTGGGAATTCCTTCCGTAAAAATTCACATCTCACTGAACATCAGAGAATTCACACTGGAGAGAAGCCTTATAAATGTAATAGGTGTGGGAAGGCCTTCAATCAGAACACACACCTCATTCATCATCAGAGAATCCACACTGGTGAGAAGCCTTATTTATGCAATGAATGTGGCACTTCTTTTCGCAAACACTCGAATCTTACACAACATCAGAGAATTCACACTGGGGAAAAACCCCATAAATGTGATCAGTGTGGGAAAACTTTCCAAACAAAAGCAAACCTAGCTCAGCATCAGAGAATTCACACTGGAGAGAAACCCTATAAATGTAAGGAATGTGGTAAAGCCTTTTGCCAAAGCCCATCCCTTATTAAACACCAGCGAATTCACACTGGAGAGAAACCCTATAAATGTAAGGAATGTGGCAAAGCTTTTACTCAGAGCACACCACTCACTAAACATCAGAGAATTCATACCGGGGAGAGACCCTACAAATGCAATGAATGTGGTAAAGCCTTCATTCAGAGCATTTGTCTTGTTCGTCATCAGAGAAGTCACAGTGGAGAAAAGCCCTATAAATGCAGTGAATGTGGGAAGGGCTTTAATCAGAATACCTGCCTCACTCAGCATATGAGAATTCATACTGGAGAGAAGCCGTATCAATGTAAAGAATGTGGGAAAGCCTTTGCTCACAGCTCGTCTCTTACTGAACATCATAGAACTCACACTGGTGAGAAGCTCTATAAGTGTAGTGAGTGTAAGAAAACATTCCGCAAGTATGCACACCTTAGTGAACATTATAGGATTCATACTGGTGAGAAGCCTTATGAATGTGTTGAATGTGGAAAATTCTTCAGACATAGTTCAGTCCTGTTCAGGCATCAGAAACTTCACAGTGCTGAATAAATCTGGCATTTAGGTTCCGACAATTGTCCAGAAAGGGTGACTAGGGATCTGGCAAGTGGGAGTCAGGTAGAATTCCTAGAGGGAGGAATGAAGAAGCCGTGGTTATAGCTCTCTGAGAAGACTATTTCCATACATGGAGGTGGGAGCCTAAAGAAAGCATAGTCTACTTCAGGTGGGCATCAGAATATAAGGTAGACAGAAGTTCCTCTTTTCTGATAAATCATTGATGACTTTAAGTAGGTAGCTACTTACCACTCCTTTCTCCCCTCTTGACTCATACTTGTGGAATTTAGTATGTTCATTAAGTACTGTGTTTCCCTTTCTAGACCCCTGCCTCATTATCTCACTGGCCGGTAGGCTGTGGTGCTTTTCCTGACACTGCCCATGTAGAAGTGTCTGCAGTTCTGAGATAGTGCTAAGTAGTCTACAGATTTCTGAGGCAGCTCTACTTGGAGGCTGATCTCTGCAGATAAAGGTGATGGAGATCTTTCCTGAGCCTCTCATGCTGGAGGGCAATTTGGGGACTAAAAAGGAAATAAGGAGACTTTCACTGTCTTCTTTCATTTTGAATTAACACTGTTTTCACGTAAGTTTCAGCTATGCATCCTTATCAGAAGAGATGATGCCAGTCTTAATGGTGTCAGTTTGTGGGAAGGAAATCATCTGCTCAGAGGGTCAGGAAGAGAAAGGCCCAACTTTGGTCCCAGAGGAATACGGACTTTCCTGGGAGAGAAATGCTCTGTGCTTGGCTGCTGGTAATGAGGAGGCCTCAGTGCAGGAAGTCTGTATGTGACCCAGCAAGTCATCTAAGTATGCCTGCTCTGGCCTGCTCTTGCACATTTGACTGGGCCACTGGTTTGCAGGGGCCAGGGGAGAGGAACCCACCAGGACTATTGGATCCAAACATCCATTAATTGGCCTTTAGGGAAGAAAGAGTATTAGTGATGAAGGAAGAGAGTTTTAGGTTGGCTTGAGTCGGCGCTGCTAGACCAGTCTTGAGACAGTGTTGGTGGCTTTACCAGGGAGATCAGGATTGATGTTGATTTCAGATGTTTCCATTTTTATTAGGGCTATCTTATTCTTGGATATTTACCCTTCCTTGTAGGTTTTGTGTATCTAGGGAAAAACTTCTCAAGGAATGAAACTGGAAACAATTTTAAAGAGGGTTGCCTTTTTTCAAATACCTGAAAATCAAGTTAGCATCATTTGCCACATATTGTGATGGCATTTTTTTATTCTTTTGAGAGAAAGGGCATGTTTTTCCTTTTATTTTCCCACTCCTTTTCATGTTTTTAACTGATATCCAGAGAGTGAACTCTGGAAGACTAAGTGAAGGTAGCATTTGACTGGTACTTGAAATAGTTTCTGTGTTCTGAAACTTACAGATTTAACAACAATGGATATTAAAAACAACTAAAGTAAGTTGATTCTGAAATGTTTGGTTATTTTAGAACTCAGTATTGACTTTTTCCCCCAGATCAACTGTTTTGTGTACATTGATCTGGGCTCTTAGTTGCTGCTAATGGGAATGTGGCAGAAATATCACACTTTTCTTTCAAGCTTTTCTTTCAAGATTATGTTTTTAAGAGCTGCCATGAGATATTTTTAATAGAGTAAATGAATACCTTATGGACAAAAAACGATCCTGTCAACATGTTATATTTTATGCACATAAAATATTATTGAAATCAAGTGACAATGTATTTATACTTCTAAACTAAAATTAAGGCTGGAATTCATGTTGGGTCACAGTAAATGTTCAATAAATATTCATTGAATTAACATGTTTGATCAACTGTTGCCCTCCCCAAACTCTAGCAACTTCCTGATATGAGATATTTCAAGCCATATCTACACATTACTATCCTTGGACTCTTGAATGGAGATTAAAGAGAATATTTCCTGAGGAAGAAATAGGAAAAGCTTAAAGGTGAAAACATTGCAGATTTCTTCTTATGAAGATTTTCCAAAATGCACTGGATACAACTGAGTTTTTAATCCTCAGGCTCAAAGTCTGGTATCATTTTCACCTCTTGGAGACTTGGGAAGGGAAGAATTCATCTTTCTACTGCTTCATCCCATTTTCTCACACATGTGAATATTTGTTACTGATTTTCTCTCAGTTGCTGACTCACCATTTGCTTGTCACTCCAGCTAGCCCCAAACCTGCGAATTGCTCTCTTCCTCAATCAGTCTTCATATCCAATCAACCCCTAATTCCTGCTGAAGTTAACTCTTAAATCTGGAAACCATTGACACTACTGTGACTGTAGTTTACCTCCCCAGTTTTGTTCCTGGATTATTTTCCCATTCAGTCGTCTAGTTTCTTGTCCCTTTCACATTCCTTCTGGATGGTCTTTGCAAATACCTAACTGTGTCAGCTCTTATTCTTAGAATAAAAATCCCAATCACTTAGGGAAGTATCTGAAACCCCTCCTCTGGCCTGTGCCAACATCTCCATTCTCAGTTGCCATTCCCTGTTTCCCACAGTGATCCGTGCTATGAGCTCCTGTGCATCTGCATCGCCACTGGACTCTTTCAGTGCCTTCACACTTCCCGTTCCTTTTGCCTCAATTCCTTTCCCTACTTCTTTTGTCCAGAAAGTTCCCAATTGTCACTTACAGATGTTTTCCAAGAACATCTCCTTAAAAACTGAATCTGATCTCAGGTATTACTATTTGTTTCTGTTTCTTGTACCTTCATTTTATGTGTCATGTACATTGTAACAGGTTGTTTACAATCTCCACTGAGCTATCAGTTCCATTAGGGCAGGGGCTAGCTGCTTTATTCATCTTTATAGCTACAGCATCTGGCACTTGCACTTAATGTGCTCAATATTAGCTGAGCTCAACTAAAATACAGAGTCAGGAATTTCTCCTTGCCAACTTGTCAGTTGGGATTTAGGTTACCAGCAGAAAGGAGTATACAAAGTGAGTATACAAGTGTGTCCATTAAGTGATTGCCAAGAGCAAGAATTCTGTACCTTTCTTCAAGATACAAAGTGTGTGGTTGTATTCAGCAGAATATCTCCAAGAAAAAGAAAAAATATTTACAAATTAGGTATTTCAATGTCCCATTATAGTTTAACAAAGTGCTTTCAGATGGGGTGATGTCAGGGTGAACAGGGAGAGGAAAAATGATTGTAGCTGTAGACGCAGAGTCATGCCAGTTAGAATGTCTATAGCGTAAGAGAGGCGGGAGCAGAACAGTGATGTTGGCCTGGTTGGAGAGTGTGGAAGCACATCCTGAGCTCATGGCTTTCTGGGCAGTGGAGTAATAAAGAACTGGGATGTGTTGCTTGTTCTGTGTGCTGAAATGTATTTGTGAAGTCAGAAGGATGCAGTTGGATAAGGCCACATCAGATCTTCAAAACAACAAGAGAAAGCAGAGGTGGTAGTTGCCCAAGGCCACACAGTAAGTGTCAGGTGAAATTAAACTCCACTGTCCCCTCTCACCTTTCCTTCAGATTTCTCTTTATTGGGCAGACCTCCCACACCATGATGCTTATTTACCCAGTTGAACAGGTAAGGTCTCCAACTTGCCCTGTGCTGCAGTGGCTGCAGATAGCTTGAAGCGCATTCCCTAACCCCTGCACCACCAGGGAGGTCCTAGATCAAGAAACTTTTTGCCTGCCAAATCAGACCTTCCTGACTGTGAGGGTGAGAAAGAAGTTGACTTTGTATATTGCACCATTCCTTCTGCCTAATGCAGAAATCTAGGCTTGCCCTCAGTAGCTCCAGTTTCACTCCTCTTCAGCTATTTGCTGGAGCAGTCATTTTAGTCTTGTGGAATCTTTTGGTGTCCATCCTTCCTATCAACTTTACACCTTACATTGAAAGAATCTTAGCCAAATTTGCTACCCAACACAAAGAGTTTGTAAGCCAGTTGATCAAACCAAATCGAAGATTTGTGGCAAGGAGAGTTTAATTACTGAATCACAAGGGAGACAAGAAGAATCATTCCCAAAGTACTGTCTCACTTTCACCTTCCTAAAGGGAGGATTTTTTTTTTTTCTTAATAGGACTATTGGTATTTGTCAGGACTTGGACAGAGGAATTCCCAGAATCTTGATTATACAAGTGCAGTGTAGTATTATGACCAGATCATACCTCTATGGATCTTATGTTCAGACAATGGTGGCCAAGTGGACCATTGGTGGGGGTTTTATTAGGTAAATGGATCTTAGTGAACCTAAGGTAATGATAGATCACCTAGTATCCTTTGTGTGCACATTACTTTAGGGTTTAACCAATTTGGGCCAGAATGAATACCTGACCATTAATTAAATAGTCTCAAATAGCTTGAATTAAATAGTCCTAAAGGATTTGTAAATCTTTTGCCTTTGGTAGCAAAGTTGCTGTTAAGCTCCAGATTCCTGATTAGTAACCTACTCTGTCTAGGGTACTCCTCTCCAAGGTTAGTTTCTACTTAGCAAAGTTTGCTGACTCTTTGAAGCTTTGATGTTAAGAGGGAAATGGTTAGACCTAGGCTCTCTGTTCTGTGGAATGCCAGAGGCTAATGTCTGGTGGAGATGGAAGAACTTGATTTAAAAGAAGTGCAAAGAATGACATTTGATAAAAAGTTATCAGCATTATTTCCACAATGGAGGCTGACAGTTCTGCAGTGGGTTCCCCTCTTAGCTGAAGGTGTTTGTGATCTCAGTCTGTGACATTTCCACTCCTGATTTCAGCCTCCTTTTAAAGGGACTCCATTTTTGGAAAATAGTTTATCTGGAAATTTAAGGAGGTAACTGTTGCATCTCATTTCGGTCCCACCCAAGTGTTTTCTGAGCACCTACTATATACTGCACATGAGGATATGATGGTAATCAGCCCTGTTTTTCTGAGCTCGCACATCAGTAGAAATGCCTGGAAGTGGATCAGGTGCCCTGCTGCCCATGCCTTCCTTCGTGGAATACACTTGTAGGATGCGCCCCTATGTGCAGAATTAGTTTTATTAAGTGAGGAAGCAAAATAGGAAGTTTTGTATAAGTAGGGCACGGAGCACTACCATGAGGGCTGGGGAGGTCACCAAATTCTATGCTGAACAGTGGGTACAGAAGGCTTAAGTGCCATAAATTCTTGGTAATTTACACATTAACCTCACAATAACCTATGAAATTCGGTACCACTATTATCTCTTTTATAAATGAGGAAACAAGTAAGCAGTTTGCTCACACCAAGAATCTGGGATTTAAGCCCAAAGTGTTATAGGACAGGGAGAGGGGCAGCCCAAACCCCACAACACGGATGGCTGTCCTAAATCTTCGTGGTCGCCAAATCTGTTATAGGACAGGGAGAGGGGCAGCCCAAACCCCGCAAACCTGCCTATTTTACATGGGTTTTGCCATCCGCCGTATCAACACAAAACACATGAGACTAATGGGAAGGATTTTTAATAAAACTAGGAAACAATACAGGAAAGGCAAAGAGTTTAGTTTCTAAATGAAGCACCCAAAGTTACCCGTCCCCTCGTGGGTAAAAGTCCATCCATATGGGATCGGCCCAGAGCAAGGCCCCAAAGCCTGCTACAGGTCTAAAGCATTTTCCAGTGGGGACCCACAGAAAAGGGTCACAAACAACCAGACAAGCCCGGAAGGAAAAGAGCAAAATCAACATCAAGATAAAAGCTGCCATTGTCACCTCCCCACGGGTCTCACCCACATTTGTGTCACCCAGTCCACGACCAAAAGACAAGCGCAGTTTTTTTACGTGTTTTTAGGCTCCATGCGCCTCCTTCAGGTTTTTTTGCTCCATCCTCCTTCCTTCCTCAGTCTCTTCTGCAGCTTTTCCTCTTCCTGCTCAGCTCCACCCTCCCTTGGGTGGGGCAGGGAAACTTCCCCTTTCCTGGGGACCACCCTGTTGCAATAGCAGAACTCTGGTTCATCTGATCAATTGTCTTAACCATCCCTAACTAAGCATTAGGGTGTTGGGACTCCGGCTCCAAGGTCAATAAATGTGTGTGAGGAAGGTTGAGATCACCTTTGTGACAACCTTAAAGACCTCCAAAGAACAGCAAATGAGATGAAAAAGTGTTTAGGCTATGAACGTGGCTAGGTTGCAGGATGAAATGATCTGCAGAAACAGCGCCTGTGACGATGACCCCCACTCTATTTTCCACTCAGCTTCCTTACAGGGGAAAGGGGCACGGTGAGGTCCCCTTGGGCTGTTTTAGGAAGCGGGCTCGTTAACTCGGTACAAAAACCCCTCTACAGGGGGCGGGGGGCGGAGGGACCACCGAGATGAACTCACTTCCGCCGCGTAAAGAGGTAGCGCGGTGGTACTCGGCCGCGGCGCGAGCTGTTGACGTCACAGAGGCCGGCGTCGGGGCGGCCTTGGAGTGCGCAGACGCGCCAGTGAGCTGGTGTGTTTGCGAGGCGCTTCCGGAAACCCGCGTTCGCGGTCCTCGCCTGTGGCGGCAACTCCTCGGAGTCGGGAGCTGGCGACCTCGACGCCTCTTCCAGGTGCGCAGGGACCTTTGTTGGCGGCGGCACCCCGGGGCCAGGTCGCTCAGAAGAGGGAAGGAGAAGACTGTTCGAGAGCCATGGTCTGGCAGTCGGGAGATCTGGGTTCCATGTGTATGTACTTGAACGAGCCAGCGGATGTCTGAGCGATTTTTTTCCATTTCCAGAAGCGAATACTGTTTATGATTTTGATCCTCTTCAGTGTTGTACAGGTTGAAAGAGAGTATATGAGTTATCTCTTTTAAGTTTTTATTTTATTAGCAACAAAATACGTATTATGTGAAGACAAATTCAACACTAATTGAAGAGCAAGTGTTTCTTACTGAATTCTTACCAGTTTTCATTCTTCTAAATACTTTCATGTATACATAATGCATCATCACCACTTTATGAAGGGTTATTGTTATTATTTCCATTTGACATTTGAGAAAACTGGAGTTCACAAAGGTTAGGTAATTTACTTAAGATCCCTTAGTAAGAAGTTACTAAATAGTGGAACAGGGATTTCAAGCTCAGAGTCCAAGCCGCAGAGCCCATGCTATACTGGTTTTTAGGTTTAGTGGAGGAAGACAGAATATAATGATTATTAAAACAGTGGAGAGTGCTACAGTAGAGATATTTAAAATTATTTCAGAATATTTAGAAAGTGTCTTAGATCATCAAAAAAATTTCCACAAGGAAGGCCGGTGTGGGAGTTCACATTTGAGCTGAATATTAGAATTTGACTAGAACGTGGAATAGAATGGTTTATTTAGTGTCAAATAAGAGGTGCTAGTAGTGGATTCAAATGGATTGGAGTGCAAACCATGTCTGTGTCATTGAATACGATGTTCTCTCTTTTCTACTTAGAAAGGTTCTTAAATTCTTTCCTGTTAGGGTTCTTTAACATAGTAAAAAATAGTAAAAAAATACTATTTTTCTTGGAGAGTCTTCATCATACAGAACTAGTTCTATTTTTCTGAAAAATGTTTCCTCTCTGATTGTGGAAGGATAACTGACAGGGAGTCTCCCTGCTGTTGACTTAGCCCAGTCTCAGCAGTACTTTTCAAATAAAATGAATAGGCAGCTTCAATCATCGGTGAATTGCAAAGGCTTGATTTTGGGTTTCTTTCCCTCTTACTTGTTTAAGCATCAAAGTGCCACAGAATATTTGTATATTAAGCGATAGTTAACATCTAGTTTTTCACTTTCGTATCACAGATAACATGAAACTGAGTGACTTGCTTCAGGTCATTGAACAAGTTACTGTCAAAGCAGAGACTAGAACCCAGACTTTTTAAAAAAAATTTATTTATGCATACAAGAGCTGAGGGGTACAGGCCAGAGGTGCAGGTGGATGCGAGGATTTACCAGAGACAGAGTGGGGAACAGAGCAGGCAGATAGACCGAGGTACACTGCTGAGAGGAGCAGCGGGCGAGACAGGAGAGGTCTGCTGGGCCATGTAGGTTGCTCCGTGGCCGGTTGGGGATTGAACTCATGCTACAGAGGCTGCAGATTGCTTCATAGTGCGGTGTTTAACCCCTTTGCCCCACCAAGGGGGCTCAGAATCCAGAATTCTTAATTCATTTCAGTTGCTTGTCCCCCTGGCCTCTACTGTAACATCATGGCCTTTGACTTCTGAAGTTAGTGACCACTTCAGTAGGTTTGGAGGGCCTTGGAGCTCATCTCCTGGGGTGGAATTTTTACCCCAGGATACTTGGGGCACCTGCACTCTTTCTTCAGGTATTGTCCACATGTCTGAGGTCTACCCACCCACTCACTCTTTTGTCATTGGTGATACTCTTCTAAGAGAACAAGGATAGTCATATGGTTACAGATTGCCTATTTCTGGCTTCCTGTGAATCCAGAGTATGAAGGAAGTAGGTTGACAAGTTAAGGGTGTCCTTTCTCTTACTTCTGTACCTCACATTCCTTCCCTTCCTCAAGAGAAAAGTCTCCCTGAGAAATTCATTGTTACTTGTATTCCTAATACCTGGGTAAGAGAAAGGTAACGATAGAGCTATTGATCCTGTTTGGAACAAGAACTGAAGTAATTGCAATTGCCATTGTTATTGGCCATCAGAAAGTAAATGACTGGGTATTTGTTGAACTTAGTAAGAATAATACTAGATGAACTGGATTTTTAGGTTCTGGGAACTTCAGGACATAGATTTTTTTTTTTAAAGATTTATTTATTTATTCATACAAGAACTGGGGTACAGGCCTGAGGCATGGCGGTGGGGAGAGGATTCACCAGAGACAGAGTGGGGAGCAGAACAGGCAGATTGACTGAAATACACTGCTGAGGGGAGCAGCAGGCGAGTCAGGAGAGGTCTGCTGCGCCATGTGGGTTGCTCCCTGGCCGGGGATCAAACTTGTGCTGCAGTGGCTGGGGATAGCTTCATAGGTTGTGTCTTAATCCCTTGCACCACCAGGGAGGCCCCCAGGACATAGATATTTATGTCCTGAAGAATTCAATCTAGTTTAATATGTATGTATAATATATGTACACATCTTTGTATCTATACATAATGCATGGAGAGATGCTTAGAAGAAAGTTAATCAAAATACTATTTTCTCTGGGTGGTAGGATGTCAATACTTGTACTTTTTTTGGACTGACTTATTTATAGAATGAACATTTTTTGTATAATTAAAAAAAAAGAAAACCTTTGAGACAATCAAAGGAAGTGGAAATGTGTTAAGAGTTTTGGTTTAATGTTTTAAACCACCTGGATTTCTACCACCTGGAGATATTTTTGTGTATTGTATACACATGCTTGATGTTTACATACAGAGACTATAGGTGGATGGTAATTTTCCTAGCTTTTAACTTACTCAAGATTGGTGTATTTATTCCTTCTATATTCTACAATTAATTACTCTGGGCGATTCCAAATTATCTGCATTAATTTTTAGTATTTGAGTGTTTACTTTTAGCATTTGGGTGTTTCTGAACTTCATGATAGGAAATTTTATAAATCTCCCAAGTCCTGCTACAAAATTGCTTTTTTCCTATCACCTTGTTTAATCTTTGTCCCAGGTGATTATGATTTTTTTCCATTATGGAGAAGAGGATAAAAATTAAGACAGGCACATGTGCAGGGCCCTTGTTCTACACATAAGGGCATTTTCTTTTATGAATTTGTTTTTCAGGCAAGAAGACCAAAGCTGATGCCACAGTGTTAAGTGTCTTGAGGAGGATTTGGAGAGTCATCAGGGGCTTGCACTTGGTGAAGATGCACTCTGAACAAAGAGCAGCAGGGGAAATCCTGCAGGATAACTGAGAGGACAACACATAACACCTGAACACACAGTGTTAGTCTACATCCAGATTCTACTGCATGTGAAGCATTCAAGACTTAACATGCAGAAGAAACCTTCAAAGTGTAGTGAATGTGGAAAATTCTTTACTCAAAGATCATCTCTTACCCAGCATCAGAGGATTCACACAGGAGAAAAACCCTATGTATGTAGTGAATGTGGAACTTGTTTCCGTAAACAGTCAAATCTTACTCAACATTTGAGGATTCACACGGGAGAGAAACCTTATAAGTGCAATGAATGTGGCAAAGCCTTTCAAACAAAAGCAGTCCTTGCCCAGCATTTGAGAATCCATACTGGAGAGAAACCTTATAAGTGCAATGAATGTGGCAAAGCCTTTTGTCAGAATCCATCGCTTATTAAACACTTGCGAATTCATACTGGAGAGAAACCATATAAATGCACTGAATGTGGGAAAGCTTTCAGTCAGAGCATATGTCTTACTCGCCACCAGAGAAGTCATTCTGGAGATAAACCTTATAAGTGTTATGAATGTGGGAAAGCCTTTAATCAGAGCGCGTGTCTCATGCAGCATCAAAGACTTCATTCAGGAGAGAAACCATACACATGTACTGAGTGTGGGAAAGCCTTTGCTCAGAATTCTTCCCTTGTTGAACATGAGAGAACTCACACTGGTGAGAAACTCTATAAATGTAGTGAATGTGAGAGAACTTTCCGCAAGCAAGCACATCTTAGTGAACATTACAGGATTCATACTGGAGAGAAACCTTATGAATGTGCTGAATGTGGGAAGTCTTTTAGGCACCGTTCAGCACTTGTTCGACATCAGAGGCTTCATGCTGGAAAGTAAAATTGGGGATGTAGCCAGCATGGAAAGTCTTATATGGGAAGTTTTCCCTCTAAATTCTTAGGAATTTAGGACTCAGTATTCAACTGAGATGATGTTTGTTGCACAAGAGGCAAAGATGTTCCCCGAAAAGTAAAGAGATCTTGGAACTAGAAAATAGATGTCAGAACTTGAGTTTGATGTCTTCTTTGCCACTCGATGTGTAACCTTACTTTCTCTGAGCCCCAGTGCCCCCACCCAAGAATAATGGGGGTATTTACTATTCTTTTCCTCCCAGAGATTATAAACAAGCAAACACAAACCGTACTCCTTTTTGCTAATGGATCTTATTTTCTACAACAGTTTTCGGCTCACAAGTCAGACAGTACAGAGTATAGAGTACCCTTAGGCTTCCTGCGCCCACCAGGCTGTCTCCTCTCATCAGTATCCCACACTCGGGTAATATATTTGCTATAACCAATAAGCCTACAAAGTGTCACGTCATCATCACCCAGAGTCATAGTTCCATGGGTCTGAACAAATATCTACCATTATAGTATCATAGAAAATAATTTCATGGCCCTAAAAATCCTCTGTACCCCTCCTCCCTAACACTCACAATCACTGATCTTTTTATTGTCTCCATAGCTTTGTTTTTTCCAGAATGTTATATAGTTGGCATTGGATAGTATGTGGTCCTTTTGGATTGGCTTCTTTCACTGATTAATATGAATTCAGGCTTCCCATGTTTTTCATAGTTTGCTAACTAGCTTTTTTCAAAGTGCTGAACAACAGACTATTATCTGGATATACCACAGTTTATCCATTCACATATTGAAAAACATCTTGATTGCCTTTTGATTTTGGCAACTATGAATAAAACTGCTGTAAATTTCCTGAAAATTTGCTTTTAAGTCCCAGGATGCTAATACTGCTGATCTGAAATTAACACTTTAAGAACCACTGGTCTAAGGGGGTGGGGAGAAAATATTGCTTAAAAAATAAAAAATTAAAAGAACCACTGGCCTAATAAAACAAACAAAAAACAGCCATTCATTCCATATTTATTATGCTTTTAATATGCTAGGTACTGTTCTGGGTACTAAGGATACAGCAGTGAATAAGACAAAATCCCTCCCTTCTAGACATTAAGATTTAAGGTAATTAAAATGAGGTGGGGTTTGTACAAGACATATAGTAATGGTAGATTAGAAAATCACTTGGCTTATGTGAGAAATGTATGTTAAAGACAACTGGCTTTAGGACTGTGTATAATTCAGAGCCTCTCAGGGATCCCTAGTCAACTCACCTACATTACATGACAGTAGGTCTTAAAATAGAAGATAGATGTGGTACTAAATGCATGATAATGGATGCTCTGAAATTCATAAGTTCAGATTGATGTGGCTGGTGAAGGGTGGAATTCTGACAAGTCCCCAGTTTTGGCTAACTTGTGGAAATGAGGAAAATTGTTAGGATTAAGCAGGGACTTGATGGATTACCTGGAAAGGCTCAGAATTTACAGTGCTTTTCTCCTTTTCTTATCCCAACATTTAGAGAACTCTCAGATGTATTTGAAGTGAGAAACAGACATCGTTCTGGGACAATTATTTGTGGCTAAGGATACTCAGATTAATTCCAGCTGAACAAAATAAGTATAGGTGTTTCTTAATCTATACAGAGATGGAGAAACAATAACAAAATCTGATAGATTACATAATTTGTAAATCAGTAAGGAAAATACTACTAAACTAATGGAATCCAAAAATCTAATCCAAAAAAGAAACACAGAATGGTGTGTTAACATTTGAAAAAGTTTAGCCTCCTTGGTGGATCCAAAAAATTGCCAATTAAATTTAACTATTAAAAGTTTTCAACACATAAATTGACAAAAACGTAAAGGCTGGTGCCAGCTGAAGGCTGGTACACTATTATCTGTATTAATCTGTGTTAAGTGTAGTGCCTCTTAAAGATTGTAAATAAACAAAATGGTAAAACCAACAAACACTCTAAAAACCACCATGAAAGTAAATATGAAAGCTTTAAAAATATTCAAATACTTTGATCCTATAATTCTGGTTCCAACTGTCCATTCTAAGGATATCACCAGAAATACACCTGGAGATTTCTGTAGAAGCATGTCCATCCGACTACTGTATCATGTAGGCAGCACGTACCACAAACCTGACATTGAAATAATATGGCGCTTACTCTTCTCTTACTCCAGTAAATCGAGGCCTGCATTCCAGGGCTGGTGCAATAGCTCCTAGAGGCATGCCATAGGATCCATGCTCCTGAGTCTCCACTTGACCCCCCCAGAGCAAGGGGCTGCCTGCCTTGTATCTGAAAGTGGCGCTGACCTCCTACGTCATCAAGTCTCCACTGTAGACAAGATGAGAGGACAAAGGTTCATGTTTGCTAAATCTGTCTTTTTATTTTTTTTTTTAATTTTTTTTTTAAATTTATTTTTTTATTTATTTATACAAGCACTGGGTACAGTCAGAAGCACGGGAGGGTGAGAGAATTCACCAGAGCCAGAGCGGGGAGCAGAGCAGGCAGAAGGACCGAAGCACACTGCTGAGGGGAGCAGCGGGCAGCAGGAGAGGTCTGTTGTGCCATGTGGGACCCTCCTCCGGTGGCCGGGGAGCAGCCGGGGATCGAACCGGCGCAGCAGAGGCTGCGGGCAGCTTCGCAACCCAGCGCTCAACCGCTGCGCCACCAGGGAGGCCCTAAATCTGTCTTTTTATATCAAAAAATCCAGTAGCTTTATTAGGTAGGCTTCTACTTGCAGCTTGCTCTTTTTATAGTGCTATCAACAATAGTCATGTTATATATTAGATCCTCACTTGTGTCAAGATCACATATTAGGCTTTCCTGGTGGTGCAGCGAGTTGAACACAACTCTATGAGGCTGTCCACAGCCTCTGCAGTGCGGGTTCGATTCCTGGCCAGCTAGGGAGATGCCCACATGGCACGGCAGACCTCTCCTGTCGCGCCCGCTGCTCCCCTCAGCAGTGCTTTCAGTCTGCCTGTTCTGCTCCCCACTCTGTCTCTGGTGAATCCTCTCACCCTCCCGCGCCTCTGGCCTATACCCCAGCTATTGTATAAATTTAAAAAAAAAAAAAAAATCTTAAAAAAAAAAAAGATCATTTATTAGATTCTCACTTGGAAAAGATCCACTTCTCTCTCTTATTTACCAGAGCTGTCACATGGTATGCCTTAGAAGGAGCTGGGGAGGTGTTCATAACCTGGGACATTATCATCTTCCCCATCTAAAATGGGATTCTGCTAATGAGGAAGATACAACAGGGGATCTGTTTAGTCATGAAATTCTTTGTAGATAATTATGTCAGGATTTTTAATTTTACTGACCTGGAAAAACACAATATAAAGCCAGAAACACTTAATATAATCTCAAAAACATAATACAATCTCAATTTTGTTAAAAATATGTAATTTACATAGATATACATCCTACATGAGAAATAACAAATAGTAATAGTAGTTAATATCTACAGAGTTGGCATTTCAAAGAGATATTGACAGAAGGACACAATTTTTATCTTACTAAATTTTTCTTGTAGTTTATAAATTTTCTATAATGACACTGTATTAACTACTAGGTTGTCAGAAAAGTTACGATGCATTTTTGCTTAAAAAACACAGAAAAAATACATCATAACTTTTCTGACAAGCCAATATACAATAGGAAAAGGTGTTATTTTACAAAAAACATCCAATGTACTCTTAAAGAAGACTAAGTCCAAAATGTTTACACTTACTCATTTTCATCTTCATTGTCAAAAGAAAGGAGACTACTATTTTTGATTTGCTTTTGTGAATTCTTAACTGAGTCCTGTTTGTTTATTTCATCTTTATTTGTCATCTTCTTTTTTGAGCTTGCTGTTAAACCTGAGTATTTTTCATTTGAAGAACGCTTTACTGGCTTTCGATACATGATTCTTCCATCAGCTGGAGCTGGTTCTTCGTCTGGAGTAAAACAAAGTTAAAAAGCATTCTTCATTCTCCATTATTTTGCTGTCATGGGAGAGTCACATGGCAAGAAAATCTCATACTGCACCTAAGGATGTTCTTGAGTCAATGCAGTGTGTTCTCTGCTGCCTCTAGCTTATGCGCATAAGACGGGTGGTCACTAAATAATAACTCACTGAAGTATTCAATAATATTGCCAGTCTTTACTTAAATATAATCAGGTTGTATTTTTAAATACTTTGAAAAGTGACTGCTTGGAATTCCAGTATGTCCCCCAAAACAATGTAATAAATATTTAGGAATAATGAGAAATATACTCTATGGCATACTACACCTTAAACACTAATTAAACAGACCTCTGTTGACTAGTAGATAAACCTAACCATCTATTCATTTTTAAATAGGATTTTTTTTTTTAAAGATTTATTTATTTATTTATTTATGCAAACACTGGGTATAGTCATTCACCAGAGCCAGAGCGGGGAGCAGAGCAGGCAGAAGGACCGAAGTACACTGCTGAGGGGAGCAGCGGGCGGCAGGAGAGGTCTGCGCGCCACGCGGGACCCTCCTCCAGTGGCTGGGGAGCAGCTGGGGATCGAACCGGCGACACAGAGGCCGTGGGCAGCCTCGCAGCCCAGCGCTCAACCGCTGCGCCAGCGGGGAGGCCCTAAATAGGATGTTTTTATTAACTTCTCAATCCTCAGAACAAGCCAGCAGGGTACACACAATTGTTGTCCCTATTTTACTAATGAGGAAACAGGGGCTGAGAGGTGAAATAACTTCTTCACAGTCACATGTTAAAAGGCAAAGTATGAACCTAGGATTGTCTCCGTCTAACAGGCCATACTATTACATAAAATAATCTCATACTCCAGGATCCTTAAAATTGTTAGAAAAACCAGAATACTGTCAAGACACACCTGCTTTGGCAGCCTTTATTTCTGCTTTAATTTTCATGACTTCTTCAGCTGACAGGTCTCCCTTTTTTAAAACCACCACCTGGGGCTGTTCATCTTCTTTGTCACTGTGATCACCATCTTCATCTGGGGGCTGAAGTTGGATTCGCTGGGGGAAAACATATACAATGTGTAGGTTCCTGACCTGGAACCACATACAACCACTCCTTTCTAGAGGAGAAATTGTAATTACTAAAGCGAGAAGGTAACTTTATTGACTAAATGGGTTTGGAGATGAATTTTCAAGTCACTATGAGCAGGCTGACCTCACCAAAGTAGGGAGAGGTCTACCTTCCAGACACCCAGGGGAGTCTGTTGGATGGCACAAATTTCTATGTCAGCAAGACCCCAGCTTGCTGGGGTCAGGAGTCCTCTGCTGCATATACTGCCATCATTTCTGCCAACCCAGAGCAGTGCTGCACCATCAGTTCCTTTTGCTCTTCATCAACCCTTCTCACTTCTCTCTCTTTTCAAAGTCTGACCAAAAAAAGCAATGAAATACACCGAAGTAGAGAAAGCTGCAAGTAAAAGTTACTCTTTCTCCACCTCTGCTTACTCTCCTCCCTTATAGGGTCTTCACTTGGTGGGCATACAATCAGCTGTTTCTAAATGTATACAAAGGTGGAGGTAAGAACTAACTTTTGGGATACAAACAGGACACTGGTAGATGAAGACCAAGTAAGTATTTCTTGTAAATCACAAAATCACAGATACTAAGAGTTTGATTTAGTGGTGGAGATACACAGGAGATTAAGTAGTTGCAATACAAAATGATGAGTATTACATATGAGATATAGATAACTTGAAGAACAGGAGTAATTCCTTGGGGGAGCTTCAAGGCAAAGATGAGGCAGGGGAGGTAAGTGTTAAAGAATATGGTGTTTTGGGTTCACCACATATTCACTAAATTGAGTCGTTTTTAAGTCAATCTTTTTGTTTCCTCTATTAAGCTCTAAGTGACTTGAGAGGTGGGTCTGAGTGCAAGCGTTGGACAGAGTGCTAAATTACTTCTTCACACATCTCTTAGCATACTAGTCTCTTCCCATCCAAAGAGGGCGTGTTTTGGTGGGAACCAGATTAAGAGCGGAAGCTCAGGAAGTTGACTTCCACCGATCCCCACCATGAACTAATCAGGTGTAGGTCTTTCCTGAAGCTCCGCTTCTATTCATATCCAGAATATTCAAGGCGTTTGCTTGCTTTCTTCTGGTAAAGAAAGCACAGGTATAGTTTCAGGGCATTCCTCCAAAGATGTTCCAGACTCGGTGATATGATCGAATGGGCTTAGTTTCCTTATCTGGAAAACGGGACGACGCTACCCGCCCTCCCCCATCCCTAAGGGTTTTGAGATAAGCAAATGAGACAGGAAAAAGTGACCTTTCTTAACCATCTACCAAGCACGAGGCGCTTTACCTGCGTCAAGTCATTTTCAAGAATACAGCAACACTCCGAAAACGACAAAGAGCTTCCTGTGAGCAAGAGGATGTGGTTGTTTGAAGCGGACCAGCCGGAGGTCCCAGGACCACCCGAAAAGGGGAAGGCGCGAGTGAGAAGAGACCCCAGAACCCCAGGATTCCATGTCCAAAAAATAGCCGGAAGTGGCGGGGCAGGTCGCGTTACCTCGGAAACGCGACTGGCCCGGGCTCACCTTGGTCTCTACGGTGGGCCCTTCCCTGTAGCCGACCCTCTCCTTGAAGCGGGCCAGGAATGCCGGCTCGGCTGGCCGAACGTACGACACCTGGTTCCGCTTGCTCATGGCAGCTCTGGGGAAAACAACTCCCCGCGGCCGATCAAAACTGTACAGAGACGCCGGCGCCTAATCGTGACGTCACACACGCGTCATTCCCCCTCCCTCTGGCTTAGGGCTGGGCAACATGGCGGCCTCCGTGCTGGCGTCAACGTCCCATTCGAGCGCCAAATTCAAATTCGCGGCCATCTTGAGCGGGCGAAATCCGGGTGTGCGACGCGGCTGGAGGTTGGGGCATCTGCTGCGTCGGTCTCCGGACTCGGGGTGAGGGCGCTATGTCGCCCGGCTGCAAAAGTAAGTAAGGAATCCGACTTTGTGACCTGGTTCCCGCCCCCAAATACTGCCTTGAAAGGACTGTTGCCCGCAGGATGGGCGCTGAGGGCAGGAGCGGATTGTGCGGCGCTGGGCGCTGGGAATCTGCGCTGCGAAGACCCGGCGCTGATGGAACAGCTGCTCCCTTCCGGGGCTCTGCGAAGGGGGCGGCCGTACCCGCCAGGCGCAGTTGTCGGCGCCAGGGCTGGCAGTGAACGGTGAACGGGAGACCTCATCTAGGAGCTTGGCGCCCAGGGGCCCTTTCCTTCTTCGCTCGCGTGCCCCATCCTGCCATTTCGTCGTTGGCTTCTTCGGGGTCCCGGCGCGGGCGGCCTCTCTGTGGTTGCCTCGGGGTCTGCCTGACTGTCACCCGCCCCTGCGTCTTTCCCCATTACTGCCCCTCCTGAACTTACTCATGTTCCCACATGTCTTTCTCTGTTGAAGGGCCCTCTATGCACTTTCCTTAGTTAAGGGACTTTTAAAGCGTAGACACTAAGTCAGTGTCTTCAGTGATCTCACTGCACCTATTTTCTGGTCAAGGGTTGTTTGTTTTTTCTTGGAGGGGAATATGGTCACTTTTACTTTTAATAAACCTTCAGATTTTCACTGGTTTCATAGTCCAATTCCTGTGTACTTTGAGGAGTCTTGCTTATTAAAGTTGATTTTAGCAGATTTGATGGATTTCTGTGAATGGTGTGAATTCTGTGAATGGAGGAGAAGCCTATGTTGGAAGAGTGAATAGATTGTGAACTTTTGGAATTTGAACCTTCCTATGGTAATGCTTCTAGCTGTCGCTTGTAGTTGTCATCTGTTATGTTTTTTGCTTGGCTTAGGTTGATCGTACCTTTAAATGAACACCTCTGCTTTCTTTCATCCATTTGAGATGTTCCTTTCCCTCCATTTTCAGCATTTAGGGAATATTAGCACACAGATTGATACATTGTTGGATTAAAATTAAAGCATCTTTTTGTTTAGTGGAAAGTGATATATGCATGTGGTTGTCTCTGAATGACTCTGTCCTGTCTATACACTTCATTTTTTTGAAGTGATGGAGCAAGGGTATTCACTGCACCTCTTTGTGATTTTCATGGGAAACTTTAGTTATTTAAGTTTGCAGGGAAAGCTGGGGTTGATAACCTCCCTAGTAAGTGCCCTTTGCTTTCCCACAGTCCAGATATTGGAGCATGAAGTAGGAACACATGGGAGGAGAGAGCTTTTGCAGTGCTTTCTACACCTTTTACTTTTATACTCTTGAAGGTTATTTCTTGTGATATTGTTGGCCCCGTGGGTTGTTGTCTTTGAAATCAGAGTGAGAATGTAATAAAATTGAGTTTATGATTCCCTTTTGAACTATGTCCGACTTAGCCTCAGTAACAGGCAGCTGGCCAGAGACAGGATGAGAAACTGATAACCTGCTCCCCCTGGGAAGACAGGCCTTCAGCTGGGAGTTGAGGGAAGAGGGATGCCACTGTTTTTGGCTGTGTGGTCTGATCTGAACTTTCTAATTTGTTTAGCTGGGAGGGAGGGAGCAATTGTGGCTCAAGTACCACAGACTTTCTTACAGATTGCCACAAGTTTTTTTGAATAGATGTTACTTCATTTGCTACTTGTCTTTACAACCATTTATAGAGGCTTTAAATGTTTTTTAAAAAATTTTATTTCATCAGTTTCACTAGACAATTAATGGAGTTCCTCACACTGTCATGCTGGAAGTTGACCTCTGGCTTCCCTTTTAAAGAATCATTCTGTCTTCTCAGTTGAGAATAAATGAAGTCAATGAATGAAGGAGTGAGAAGAGCAGAGAGACTTTTGTAATAACCTGTAACTCAAGGGATATTGCTGGCTTGACTCCATGGTGGTCATGGCCGTGGATTTGATATAGGATTCTGGAAATATTTTGAAGGTAGAGGCAGAGATTGGCTAACAGCTTGGCTATGAAGTATAGGAAAGAAAGGGGTCAGGAATGATTCCAAGATGTTTGGCTTGAGCACCTGGAAAAAGAGAGTTGTTACTAAATGAGATGGAGAAGCATGTTTTGAGTAAGGGTGTGGTGAATAGGAACTTGGTTTTGGAGACATTAAATTTGAGAAATTTCCTGTTAGAAATCTAATTTGGAGATATCCAGCAGGCAATAAAATATAAAAGAATTTGGGCTTAGGAGAACCTTCCAGGGAGAATTTGGGATTCGCTAGTGTGTGTGTGTGTGTGTGTGTGTGTGTGTAATATTTAAAACCATGAATCTGATGTCATCACCAATGGAGCATGTATGGATAGGATAGAGAGCAAGATCAAGCTGGGTCCTGGAACTCCCCACTGTCAAAAGGTTCAGGGAACTGAGTTGACTGAAAAAGGAGTGTCAGCAATGAACAGCAGGCTAGATAGGAATGGGATTGCTATTTTAAACACCTTTAATGATGTCTTATCTTTTTTTCTAGCTGAGTTACGCAATGTGACAAATGGACAGTCTAATCATCCAAGGTAAGGAAAAAACCTGTTGATGAAAACAAAGAATTAGGGAATGTAGTGTTCATAACCATTAGTGTAGTGAGTGGCACTTATTTTGAAATTAAGCTGGACCCTCAACTACCTGGAAATTTGAAAAACTCACATCATTCTCCCTTCCCTTTCTGTCTCCTCATCTTCTAGACTAAAAGATGGAATTAATAACATAATTCTCCCTTGCAATGATGTTATTGCTACTAAGGGAAATCAGACAAGCAGGGCTTGGAGCGCCTTAGAAATCACCGCCCTTTGGGTGGATTTCAAATTAAGTCTTCTGAACCAAGTCAGTAAAGTGTGTGTAGGCCATGTGAGACTCTTAAAAGAGGTAAATGTGAACAAATAGATCCTGGGCTTTGGGGGAAACTCAGTATGGAAACAGGAAATTGGAGACTGAGATCCCTTTTTAGTTTTCTCTAGTAAACTTAAATGCTACATTTTTGTCTTTAGTAATGAAGGTGATGCCATCAAAGTTTTTGTTCGAATTCGTCCTTCTAAAGAGGGTTCTGGATCAACCGATGGGGAGCAAAATTTATGCCTATCTGTGCTCTCCCCCACGACTCTTCGACTGCATTCCAATCCTGAGCCCAAGACCTTCACGTTCGATCACGTTGCTGACATGGACACCACTCAGGTAATGATCCTTTTGAAAACTTAGCTTTCTGCTTGGAACACAGAAGACTGTTATTTGTGAGGATTTCATTTCTGGTCCCTTTTTATCTTGATAGAGCTCAGAGAAGGATGTGCAAAAAGTCCATAAATATTTCAAATTGCATTTTAGCAAATATTTTTCTTTCTTCATCAATCTTTATACCAGAATGACATAAGCCTGCTTAACTTTCTCCATCTAGTAATAGGGGTTAGTGAGGCATCCTTTTCAGAGCTGCTTAGAGTGACAAGTACAGCTGAAATGCCTAATTTAAGGAGTGTTTCTTTCACTGTGGCATCAAATGTGGGTGGCTTAAACAGAAAACATTTCTCACAGATCTGGAGGCTGGGAGGTTTAAGATAGGACCAGCAGATCGAGTGTCTGATGAGGTGCATTTCTTGGCTTATAAACAGCTCCCTTCTGACTGTGTCCTGACGTGGAGAAGAGAGAGGAAGCAAGTTTTCTTACTCTGCTGATGATTACGTTCTCCCTCCTGGAGATTATCTGCTTAGGCACTACTCCCAATATGAGGTCTTCTTCACCCTCATGACCTAGTTATCTCCCAAGGCCCTATCTCTAAATGCCATCACATTGGGGATCAAGATTCACCATATGAATTTGGGTGGGGGGGGACATGGACATTCAGTTCATACCAAAGAGTGATCAACTTAGAGTTCTGTGATGTCAATAACTGCTTTTCTAAGTAACAACAGTTTAGTCAAGATCTAGTCAGCTCTATACAATAGAACTTTCTGCAGTGGTGGAAATGTCCTGCCTACACTTTCCATTACAGTGCATCTGAGGTAGTGCATCTACAGGCCTGACTTTCAAGTTTCTTAATTTTAACTTAAATTTCTATCACTATATGTGGCTAATGGCCACTGTGTCAAACATCACAGGTGAGACATTTAAATTTTTTTAAAGATTTGTTTATGCATACAAGAACTGGGGTATAGGCCAGAGGTGCGGGGAGGGAGAGGATTCACCAGAGACAGAGTGGGGAACAGAACAGGCAGAGTGACTGAAATATACTGCTGAGGGGAGCAGTGGGCAAGACAGGAGAGGTCCGCTGAGCCATATGGGTAGCTCCCTGCCCGGGGTTCAAACTCGTTCTGCAGTGGCTGGGACAGCCCCACAGTGCCGCGTCTCAACACCCTGCGCCACCAGGGAGGCCCCGAGACATTTAAATCTTTAGCTCTTTTATATTTTCATCCAGGATATGGCTAGACAGTGGAAATAAAAAGCATATATAAATTTCCTAGTAGCTACATTTTAAAAAAGTAAGGGGAAAAAAAAAATCCAGATAAAACTAATTTTATTTCTGTTATCTTATTTAACCCAGCATATACAAAATATCATTTCAACATGTAATTAATATGAGGCAAATTATTAATGAGATATTCCTCTTCCTCTTTTTTTTCATGCTCAGCTTTACAAATCTGCTGTGTGCTCTATGTTTTATACTTAACAACATCTCAAATTGGACTAGCCACGTTTCAGATGCTCAGTAGTTTGCAGTACTTACATGTAAAAATGAAAATAAAAAATATTGATTAGTACCAGTTTGTGAGAAAAGCACTGAAGAAAATATTTTTATTTTACTTTATGCTCAAATCAGAGTAA